TATGGCCTGTCAGGAAAAAAAACTAGTTTAGTCGTCGTCAGTGTACTGTAAACGTAACCAGAGTAAAACACATACCAACCGGCATGACATATTAACAATTTCATCGCACCAAAATTCAAACACACAATTAGGTTTTCTTTTCCCGATTTTTAGAATTAAAAGTTCACTACGGCAGTGGCCATTTGGTTGATTTGCAAGGTGGAGACTCGTCTGTAACGTTGCTGAGGTGAGATCATACCCAGGCCAGGTGTGAGGTCAGAGGTGGCGGGGTCAAGACAAGGATGACGACTGTCGACAACTTGTTTCCATTATGTGAATCTTTATGTTTCTGAAGCTGAAGGGACGAACCAGCAGACACACTCCCAGAGACAACTCATGGGACAAAACCATCTAGGCCTACTGTTTGCGTTGCAAGAATAATAAATTTTGAAATAGAAAATTGGGTATTGTGAGTTTTAGACATTTTATAAACTTTTGTCCGTATGAATATAATATGATTCCTCTGTTTTAGTGTATGCAAGAATATTGCCGTTAGTGCTGTTTAAGTTAAGAAATGTTAAACTCGGTTTAATAAATATAAATTTATTCATATTTTTTTATTATATACCTATATAATTTAATGTATACATATCAGAAAAAATAACCCCCAAAATCTCCTCAAGCTGTAGCTGATCCAACAAAAAATGAGTTTATTATCTATGATTAACATAAGCAACATATTATTTACAACATACACAGTTTTTGAGACAGTGTGGATATACAAGTACATGATAGCACTGGTTGTGTTAAGCCCTTTATAACTCAATTCATTCATATTTAAAATAAATGTAGTGAAAACGACGATAACGTGTAAACAAATATTTGAACAAAGAAGACCAACTGAACAAAAAGCTCAAAAACCTGATAAATCGAAATTATGAAAGGAGGCTTGGAGAATGAGGTTGTATTCTGATTAGGATATTAACATTATTAAACACAAGGTGCACAATGCAGTTGTCTGCTTGCAGTATTGAGCGGAGCTATAATCAAAATTTTTCCAAAATCATTAAAATCTACATCTAATTAACGGAAATGGGATGTACTTGCAGTATCATAAGTCAATGCTAAATCTAGTTCACGTAAATGAGATTTCTCCTTACAGTATCCAAAGTCAATGATACACATCTGCTTCACATAAATAGTGTGTCTACTTGCAGTAAGTAACTGATCCAAAGTCAGTGCTTCATCTGTTTTACGTGCGTAAAACGAGATCTCTACTTGCAGTAACAAAAGTCAACGTTCATCTGGCTCACGTTAATGAAATGTCTACTTGCAGTAGGCCTATCCAAAATCAATGGAATATTATTTGGTTAACATAAATGGAATGGTCATTTGGAGTATCTAAAGTCAATGGTGCATTATCCTAATCCCGGCGATCCTAATTGGTTATTCATTTTGTAGTAAATTATGCCCAACGATTCATACTATTCTCCTTCTTCCTCTGTATTTGTAATGTGCTAGTTTATGAGTTTAGTTGATTCGTTGACTATCATATTTGTTACGATTCTTTTGTTTACCTTTGTATTGTTATCTTACAAATTAATGTACAAAAAACCAAAAACCCGTAAGGCCCATCTTAAATTCCTAACAATTCAAATTAAAGTAGAGAAAATCCCTTTAGTCCGAGTTGTACCAAATAATTTCTTGCGGATCGGTTTAGCCGTTCAGGAGGAGTATTTGTAAAACAAAAGCAGGAGTGTAGTATAAGAGCTACGCTCACTCTGCTCAATTAGTAATTAAATTTCAGTATAGGTACTGTACGTATACACCTCTTTTCGCACACTATTATCATAGACAAATCGAAAGGGATTTTAGTTGCCAGAGCCATCTTGAATCTTGATTGTTTTGTTTTTCTTTTGACGATTGTCATGAACTTTGTACTTAGTTTAAACGACAATAAAGCATTTCATTTCAATCAAATATAGACCGACAACAGTGCTGCGACACAACTACATGGCGTGGTGCTCCCAGCGTTGAGGGCCAGAACCTATAACCGCAGCACTGCTGTCGGTCTATATCTATATATATAATACGTGAAGCCGTTTTTTGCTAACGCAACTCCTCCCTTATTTGTGGACCAATTTCAACGTTTGAGGTGTCAAAAGATTCGTCTCAATATGTAGTTTTGCAATAAGGTTTTAGAGTTTTAAAATTCCTGCTCTTAAGGGCGTGAGAACCTCTCAAAGGTCAGGTTTTCCCCATAAGAAATACATAGAACAAATTTAAAAACAAAAAACAGCTGTTTATAAAAATAAACTCATTAGCTTTTTGGGAGTAAATATTGATGTTTGTATATTCAGTAGGTTAAGACCAAGTTACACAGTTAATCAGTTTTGTTGGAAAAACTGAAAATGCCTCAAGTTCAAAGAAGAAATATTGAACACGGGAGGAGGACACAATTAATAATAAGATATATTGTGCGTATGAGGAGAGTAGAAAAAGAGAGGCCTGGTCCAACAGATACCCATCCAGATACACATTCACTTTGTGAGATGAATAAAAATTGCCAGTTCTGCTATGCAACTTACTTTGGAAGTGGAAAAATATACGAAGCTCATAGTGTTGTCACGGTGGGAAAGTAAACTTGCCTATAATGTAAGATCAAATGAATGCATGCAAGAAATGTTTACTTCAGACACTGACAGATTGAGATATTTCAAAACATTTAGTAGAAACTATAATAATTCCTTGACTATAATAAGTAGGCCTATAAGTGAAGTACAGTTAGTAGTAAGATTATACCAAATCTTGGCTACCTTATGTTTTTATCGTAAACTTTTGTATTACACTCTCTTCTTCAATTGGGAAAAACGTAAATGGATTGTTTACTACTATGTTATGTTGCCAGTTCCTTGGACAAACTTATACAAAGTTTTTTGACTGAATTCACCAACACAATCCAGACATTTCAAGTAAAAAATGAGAAGTTTCAAAAACTCATTTGCTATTGAAAGTTTTAGTGGAAATATTAGACCATACATAAGTGAAGGAATTAGTGTTTATGTATTGAACGATCGAGTAGTTACGGTCAAGTTTATTTTTATGATTCAGGAAAGGCAAATAATATACGCTGTTCAAAAAGAGAAAATTAAAATTGCTATCCAAATATTATAGCTACAAGAGTTATCCAACCTATTTCGACAAATGTATACATACTTTCAAAACTTTGGGACAGGAATTAAGAGAAACTGCACTGTACGTGAGAATGTTCTGATGCGGGGCATATACTGTTACTGACAGACAACACGCTAAAATACGTTCACTAACTTTCAATGGTGTTGCTGCCTTAGCCTATTCAAAGCAGATTATAGCTGTCCAGTTGGTAACCCAGAGTTTGTGGGTAAAAAATTGAGCACATGAAATTGTTGATATCACCCCACTTTTCAGGTTACTCTACGGAGAAAATTCATTTGATCAGGGGGATGTCTCAAATCAAAGAAATAAAATGACCATACTTAAATTACTTAACACAGGTTATCAGTAAGGTAACAGTGTTCTTCAATTCTCAATGCTGGAAAAACTTTGTTGCAATATGTTAACTCGAGTTGAGGCAGATCGTTTAGCATTCATTAGAATTTATCAGTTAAAACTGAGAGCAGAAACAATGTAGATGAACCTTGACGACGCCAATAGAGATATTTAAAATTAGTTTCTAACAAGTTTTCAAACAACTCTAAGATGTAACTAAAGTTACTCGAATTTAAGCATAATGTTTTCCTCGGCGTTATGTTTCATACTATGCGGCTCATTGAGCCGCATGGGTTCTCTAGTTTAATTATATTTGTCTATGCTATAATTCACATTTTTCATTACGGTAGTAAACTAAAAATTGATGTGTTATGCACGGTATATTAAATTCATATTGACGATTTGGACTACTTTTTAGTGCCTTATTTTTACAATTAATTTATTATGATTACTTTGAAGGTTGCACTTTAGTTTACGCCCTACATTTACTAGTCTATTATACATTATACATTATCTACCACTGATTATAAAATGAAGCTGTTCTAAACTAAACCTAACCTTAACCAAACTGCAGTATGTGAGTAATGTAGGACGTAAACTAAAGTGCTGCCTCACTTATATTTTTCTCTAATTGTACAAAGCTGTATGTGTAGAAAGAAACAAAATGTTATTACTGTATGCCGAATTCTAGGGTTGAAATAAAAATAGATAATATCATCGAGTTAGGTAACCTATATTTTTTACTCTGTGCATAGCAAAATATGAATATTAAATTGACTGGTGTACGAATCCATAAAATTATCATTTTGTTATCAATTTAAGACAGTAACGTAGGCTGAATGCAAAATGAGAGTAGAATGGGGTGTTGGTTGGATCAGATGATCTGTAGGCTATAACTTTCTTACTATCTTAAGATCGGCTGTTTCTTTAGCAAGGTTCGATTCAACCATTTTAAAGACCGATGATCAGACACAACTGGGTTCAAATTCTAACCATAAAAAAACTGCGAGATTTTCTCAGGACCGAACTGTCATCGCTCGATTGTTAGGTGAGCATTATAACCACTCAGAAACCCAATCAGTGTATAACATACATATAAATAATTAAATGCTTTATTTTCCATTAGGCATGAAATGCAATAGGCATTGTCAAAACAAATAGAAATATACAATTTTCATAGAAATTAAAACTAAAATGCAAAAATCACACAGAAAACAAAACCAAAAGCAAACTATGCACCAGCACCATGCAAATAATAGGAAAAGGAGTCATAAAGTACTTTTTGACTCAACGATGCATAAAAATATTTTCTGGATTCATTATAGTACGATCTATTTTTTATACCATGAGTACATATTGCGTGTCTTGGGAATTTTCATTCCGTTGCCTTTGAATGTTAGGTTAAACAGCTGACTGGCACAAGAAAACAAAGACATATGTGAAAGTGAGTAAAACAAAAACAAGGTGTTTTAGTCTGCAGTGTTTACCATTTTTATGTCATAAACACAGTGTCTTTGTGAATTCAATATGGCAAGAATTTTAAGACAAATTCTTGATTTTCTATGAATTCAAAATTTATTTTCTGGTTTTTTAAATATACATCCCTCGTAATAAAACACCTAAAATGTCTTGTCAAATGAATTCGTTTGGAGCTATTGTTGATTTGGAAGGAGTTAAAAAATGTTTATATGTTGGTGGATTAACAACTGGAAATTTGTCTTTGTCAGGTAATGTAGGGCTAGAATATGAGTGAATTAGGCCTATCAAGGCACTTTGGATAGTTTAATTTGTTTAGCTGTTGATTTTAAAGCAGTCTTTTGTCTACCAACAAATGGTGTAATCTTAATATGTGCCTTCACTAAGTAACCCCTAACCAAAGAATGATGATATTGAGGAGACCACCACTTATTAATTAGCAGGCCTACCTGCTTTATCTCGATTTTATACCCCCATCTTCACCCCCTAATGACTTAGGCCTATGAAAATCTTATTGGAAAGTGTTAAGTTATACAGAAAGATTAACCAAACTACAGTAATCCATGAATTTTGGTATTGAAAATAACTTAACTTACTTACTTTCGGTTTTAGTCCAACAAACATTTTTTGCTGTCATATATTTAGACTCTTAATAACTATGACATACTAAGCCTACCAGTACTTCCAAGATCTCATGTATCATACCGGTACGGTATTTCTTAATTTATAAGAATTGGCCATTGATGAAGACCTGTTATGTGACGTTGCCGCTTCATTTCACAAACTGTACTGTCCGGTTTATTCTGTTATCAAATGGAGTAGGCTACATTAGACAATGTCAATGTCGCTATGTTCAAGAAGTGAAACCTTTTTAAACAAGCTGCAATCAAATTCTATGATTTTGCTACTTGCACAATTTTTGGTCTATGGAGCCCAACCTACGCTTAAAAAAAACAACTAAGTTTCCAATCACTTTATAAGATAGGTACTTAGCAACCAAGCTGAGCGTTCTGGCACTTTAGACTCATCCCATGCAACATGTAGGCTATGCATTCCTAAACAATTAAATGTAGTTTATGGATAAAGGCTGGCAAAATCAGCACTTACAGCACTTGGTATATTTTAAACACACAGGAAAAAACACATCTATTGTAGAAATAAATAAACATAGCTTCTAATGGTCTGAAATGTTGTTCTTTAAAAGAGAATTTAGATATATGAGTGGCTTCTTCTGCATTAGGCTCTTAAGCTACAAACACGGCACTGCTACAATTGTGAATGGGAGGTTGGGCTTAGAAGCTATATAGCAATTTATTGCCAAACTTCTTAGATTCTCTGGAAATAGCTTACAATGTATACAATGCATCCGTCTGCTGCTTGCCCGCCATGCAAATGTACAGTTGAAATTTTTGTGTGTGTGTAGTTTCTTCGTGTTCTGTGTAGGCCTACTTATCGTAATTAACTAGACGCAGTCTATTCACTCTGCTATACAAATATACAAATACAAATGAAATCATTGAAGGAATCATGACTAACTTATACATTAGAAATCTAGAATACAGCACGGACCTAAATTCATCCTAAAACAATTGGTTTTTCAGGTAACACTCAAGAAAGTAAAGAAGCAAAACATGAAGATGCATGGAACTGGTCCGTTGAAGACTCCGATAAGCCTGTTACTCATCCTAATTGGTTGGAAGAGTGTAAAATATCATTATCTCCCTCAGGAGAAATTATGGCCTTGACTCATCAACAAAACCTTGTAATTCTTATGGGTAAGTGTCGTTGAAAATTGTGGGCCATAAAAGTGATATTTCATTACTTTGCTAAGACAGATTTTGTGTGACACATAAAGCTGAATTTGAGTGTAAGGTGAGTGTAGATTCGAGTGGATGATTTGTGAACCGTTGTAACTGCAAATCAGCTGTTTTCTTACATAGATTTATTAAAAGTTTGATTGTAAAGGCAGACATTAGTGTCTCAACTGTATCTGACAATGTCCAGTAGTCCTAAACAAGTTTTTGTTTTACAGCTAAATGGGACAGCAGTGAAGAATCAACTTCAAAAACAAAATACCATATGTTATGGCACGGGGATCCTTGTCAAGAGCACAAGTAAGTTTCTTTAAAAATCTTCTTGTGATTTAGTCGTAAGTAGGCTAGTGTGGTTTAAGTCTGACAAATATCATAATAAGTATTTGCCCAAACTAATTGTAGGCCTCATCATGAGCGTAATGGCTATTACCTGTAACATTAAGAGAACTATTGACTCTTTTTAACAATTGCTTTTTTTTGTAAAACAAAATCTCTGCTGTTTTGTTAGACTACCTACAGTTGTAGAACTCCAATTATCCCATCCGAATCAATTGGGACACTATCACATTCGTATTACTTACTTACTTACTCCTGTGGCCACACAAATCCCAAGTGATTTTTGGCCTCGCCAACAATGCCCCTCCACTGCTGCCTGCCCTCTGCTGCCTCCAAACTTGCTCCTAACCTCCTGAGGTCCTGCCTCACTTGGTCATTCCATCTTAATCTGGGACGTCCCAGCGGCCGTCGTCCTTCTTGTTGCCCCATCCATACCCTTTTAATCATACTGTTAACATCTCTTCTATATACGTGTCCCAGCCATCGTAATCTTCTGCTCTAGTTGCTATAATATCTGGGTCATTATAAAGTTCTCTTAATTCTTGGTTCTTCCTTATCCGCCATTCACCATTGTCATTAATAGGTCCAAACACTCTAGACGTAAGATTTTATTTACTACATCACATTCGTATTATGTACAAAAGATAGGCCGAGTCAAGCCGAGCTTTTACTATTGCGATCGGTTTGCGGCTTTGGCTGCGCTTGCGGGGTACAATTGTGATTTTCCATGGCCGCGGCTGATGAAGATGATGTCTACAAGACTGAGGAAAGTATTTAAGATTTTTTTCTCAATCGTGGAAAAAGATTATAAAGATTATTAGAGTTTCCATGTCCAAGGAGATATTCAAGATTTGGCTGCGATTGCGGAAAACATTGACGAGTTTCCATGACCGTGGGATACGATGATCATAGCTACAGGATCATGGAAGATATTTTGCATTTTTCCACAAATTATTAAAAAAAAAACTTTGATTGGGCCTATAAGTTTCTGTGACGGTGGGAGACGATGAAAAAAACAACCACAAAAGAGAGTTTTTCTGTGATCATAGCTTCTGCCTTCTTTAACTACAATTCTTCTTCAACTGCTTGGGTTTTAGCTATTTTTTCATTAATTTTTTATGTAAGAAATTTGAATAATCAGTGATTTGGATAATTAGAGTTTAAATAATTGGTGTTCTACTGTACATTATTTTGTTTTTTGCCCTCAGTGAGGTGATTACAAGTGTGTGTGTACTGCCCTTGGCGCCTCCTCAATCACAGAAGTCCCTGTCTCATGCTGCTCCGGACTGGACTTGTGTGGCTCTTGGTTTCTCTAGCGGAGCACTCAGATTCTACACTGAGGTTAGTAAATGTTGAGTGAGTTGTTGAGAATTAAAGATTTGCTAAACCTGTACCGGTACTTACTTGATATAAAAAAGTATACCTATTCATTCATTGTAAAATATATAAATGTTACGACATTGTATTTTGTATTTGTAGTAGACTTATATTACAGTAAGCAGTAAGTTTGGCTATATTAAATTAGATTTTACGACTCTGTCACAACTATGTCGAGCTATTATCAGTGGTAAGACGATTCTAGAATCAATTATTAGTTGTATTGTGGTGCTGAAGTTATCACCTTGTATAATTTTGTGACTAATTTAGTGCAAGATAGATTACACTCATTAGAGCCAAATAGAACTAATTAATGTGCTGGAGTGATATATAAATAGGCATCCTTTTTACCCTCTTTAAAAACCCAGTGTGTCCCGAAAATAAGTTAAAAAAATCAACTTGAAAACAAAAAGGACGCCAAATACTCTTAATTATTGTCGACTTTTCAACTTATTTAATAACCACTTTGTACAAACCAAAAGACAATATTTTTTTATAGAAAGGAGATATGCTATTGTCAGAGGTGCTGGATGAAGGGCCCGTAGTCAGTATCAAATGCCAAACCATGTCACCGGCACGGAACAGCGGCATGGCAGAACTGACAGAAGAGCTGCATGTCATATACTCGACTGTCGTCTGCTCCATCTATGGCTTTGTGCTCAGCAACACCCTGCGAGCCTGTCGCAATCAGCTAGCCAGAGGTTTGTTTTGAATATGTTGTAGTTGATAGTTTAAAGGTATCTGTCATAAACGCTACTAATTGTGCACACCTTTTTATCTTGTTATCAAACAGTAAACCTTCACCAAATTATCTTGGGAAGTGAGTTGATCTAGTGGTGAAGCTCAGTTCTTGACTAGATCCTAGCGTCCTAGGTTTTGAAAACAATAAAAACCTCCTTCATAAGGCCTGGACAGGTCTTGTTATGTAGGTAACTTATGTATATAACTACAAATTCTGATGTGGCCAGCAAACATAATGCATGATTGTTAACCTATAAGTTCAGAATCGAACTATCAAAGAATCTTTTCAGAGAGTAAAAACTATTTTTCATTAGTGGGGCAAGTCTCTCTCTCAATGTGTTTGATGACAAATTGCACATTTCAACAATTCGTTTAGCACTTGACATGCCAACACCCCATAACTGTCCTTAAATTTTGAGTTTTTGACCGAATTGTTTCTACAACCTCTATTATGGTTCCACTACACTCTATTGTTGTATTTTGGTGGTGTAGATTGTTGCTAGTAAGATCAAAATGAGCGAAATGATATGGAATGTATTGGCTTTAGATAGTTCGGGTGCCAATACAGTACCTTAGTTATTAAAACTCTCAGTCGTCGGAAATGTTGTTCTGTCTAAGATTCATTGTTGTCTATAGTACAGGCCAACTGCGTTGATGGGATCGTAGCTCCGCCTCTGTCTCTACACAAGTGGAGTCTGCCGGACCAAGATAGTCTAACGGACGCAGCCGTCGGGCTGCCTCAGTGTCCTTCCGCCTTCTCTCATTTGCACATCGCCTCAGGTAGATAGTTTGAAAAATGTACACTGTTTTTCAGAGTTTTTTTAACTAACTAAATATTAAAAACTACAGTACCTTACTACAACTTTACAGGACTTTACTACAAGTTTGGTATGCTTGGTACAGGGCTCCAGGCCAGAATAGGTTTGATTTTGTTTCAGATAGGAAGAGCAGACTTAGTTGTCCAGTGGATGAGATTTCAATAGGTGACACATAAATAAACACACACACAATTTAAATTTTTGTGGACACATATCACATTGTCAATCACGGTGCGGCATTGCCACACACCAACGCCGCGGCCTTTGTTAGAGGGGGCTAAGGTATAATTCTCACAAAAACCTTTGTTCTAAACTCTCTCCTTATTTCCTTCTTTCTTCTACATTAAAATTCCAACAATTCAAAGTCCAAAGATCTGAATCGCCAATTAACTGAGTCTCTAACTAAAAGAGTTTTAAAAACTTCAGTATTTACAATTGTTATTAATTAAAGAAGGCAGAAGCTGTGATCATGGCAAATACTAAACATCTACCCCGGTCCTGTGGTCATCATCATCGTCTCCTGCAGTCATAAAAACATCATCGTTGTCTACCTTGATTGCGGCTCAATCTTGATTAACTCCCACGCTCAATCAGACATCATCATTGTCTCCCTTGGTCACGGAAATTTCTTGAACATTTTCTGCAGTCTTTTAGAATCATCATTATCTCCTCCAGTCAAAGAAAATCATCATTGTCCTCCTCAATCATGGCAAAAGCGTGAATTTTTTATCGTAAAATCTTTGAAGACAAGTTCTGCAATCACAATAATAAAAGCTTGGCTTGACTCGGCCTATTTACTATAAAATACCCTATAATTTGGTAAAATCCAACTATCAGAATTTCTAATTTCCCAATGTGGTCGTTCTGTATTGATTTGGTTAGTTGGAGCTATACTGTGGTTTAATAACCCATCCATTGATCCAATAACCTATTTCGCCTCTGTGCCATCACAGTTCTAAAGGATCGAGTTACATGTTGTTTTTCCGCAGTGTGTGGAGGCTACAGTGCCTGGTACAGACCCTCCCCACCTCAGAGCTCCCTGGTGGTTGCTGTGGGCAAAAAGCCATTTGTCGGGTTCCACTACATCGTAGAAGGAACGTCTGCTCCAGTCCTCACCGATGTTGTGAAAGCTGTTGGCACTAAACTCAAGTCTGCCTTCAACCAGGCTGTTCCGTAAGTTGAAGTGGTTAACCTAGACTACCTAAACTACTTCAGCATTTAACATACTAGTGGTTAGCTAAGTGGTTGTGTAACTCAAATTTACGAACATTAGGCTTAATGGTGTAGGTTGTAAGTATTTTGGAATACAAGGCTAACTTGGAAAGCGTCTGTGAAGACTAAAGAAACACAATAAACTCATTAAACTCTACACAGATGAAGGTTTGAATCAGGAAGAAATATCTTTTGTCCCTTGATTGAAAAAAAAGTTGTTAAGAATCGTGAAATATTGAAAGTAATTTTGACTACTTTTTTTTTTAGTCTATTTGTATTGCCTGGGCCTCTTCCTCTTTGCTCTGATTAACTCTAGTCTATTTCATTCACAAGAAATAAAAGTGTAGTGTGCAATAAGAATAGTTCTAAATGTTTATCTACGATCTTACAATCTAAAAAGTGTTCGGGACTGGATCCTGCTGATGGTCTTGATTTAAGGCCTGACTGCCTAAGCCTGACTAAAATCAGCTGGCCTGAGTCAGTATTATAAATGCTAGTAGAAAATATAATTAAAATATGCAAGAGAATCAAATTGAAAGTTTTCCAGAAATATACACCCAGCTTCCCCTTGGCATTTTAGCGAATCAATTAAATATAAAACAGTTTTTAATAGCAAAATGTGATTCTAGAAGTTGGTTCTTGGGCGGTCGTAAACCAAATCCTGCTCCAGATAAGGAGAAGGTTGTGATTGAGCCAGCCGAACCAATGGTTTGCAGGTAATCCTTTTTGATTATTTTCGTTCAAATGAATGTTGTTAAAGAACAGTTAAGATAAATAAATAAACAAAGTACCATCATATTGTTATTGACCTTATTTATCCATCACTCTGCAACACATTTCCCCTCTCCCTAAAAATTTCTTCTTGACCCTTCCTCATTTTCCGAAGCAAAACAAGATTGATAAACTAGAGCTTTTGTCAAAAAGACTCTTGGCAGGTCCAAGTGGTGAAATTTTTTTTATGAAGTGGTTGGCGGCCTCTTTTAACCTTGCATTTGCCCGTCCACATAGACTACAGATCTGTGTGTGGAACGTATGCAGCAAAGCAAGGGGTGAGCCGGTACAGTACAAAAGTGAACTGTACTGATAAAATGTTTGTGGCAGTGACCAGGATCCGTACCCACGACTGCCTTGGTCCCGAAGTCCATGACGCTACCAACTGAGCCACCGACTCACGATATACGATTTCTTAGAATAATTATAGCTAATATTCTAATGAAAAGTGTTGTTTGTAGAATACTAAGACTGGTTTTTTTTGTCAGGTTTGGACTGTGTGACTTGTGGAGACAAGGGTGCTCAGTGGTCATGTCTCCTCAGCGGAACCTGAGCGTTGTCTGTGACTCTCTGGGCAGAGTTACTCTGGTGGACAACTCGTCAGGGATAGCACTGAGGTAACACACTTATCAAGCAAAATCTACATTTTACGGAAATCTTGTGTAACTTCCAAGTAAAAAATATAACTCATGCATGCAAACACAAATAGCCATATTCAAAAACTACAAGTGGTACGTATGTACAGGTTTCACAAAGGTTTTGTATGAGAAAAAAAGGGTTCATAGAGATAATTTACAGATATCATTGTTTAGTTAGACTGGATAATACATCAGTTACATTTGCTATTATCGGGGTAAATTATAGAAATAAAGACTAGTTAGTTAGAGGGAAAAAAAATTGGCTTGCCACCCAAGCCCAATATTATTTTCCAAACAAACTACAAACACGAGATAAAATGTGTGCACCCATCTTTAATTTATGAAAATCTTATTTGACGTTGCATCGCTATCATAGAATAAATTGTATGGACCCAAAAAAATCGTATTACCTGTTAGGTATTTAAGCTAAATTTTTACATTGTGTATGTTTGTTTGTGGTGTGAGATCTTCAATGCTGAGAAAATTCTTTGTGCCAAAGAAACTTATCTTTATTTACAACGTGGATTACATGTAATGATGGATTTCAGACCAGTATAATCCCAAACCTTACATAACCTATACAGTATACAGGCCACTTAATTGTAGATATTTAAGATTTTAATTAACATATTTGATTTTTAGAATTAGGAAATAGTATCAAATCACATACCTTAGAAAAAGTACAGAATATAGAACTCACAGGAAACACAAAATATTTTGTAACCTGGGATGAGTGTAGACAAGATAGTTCAACAAAAACAAATGTTACCCTACTCTTTTTGTCTACACTACTTGACAAAGTCCCACAGGGGATTTTTTTATGAAATTTTTTTTTTCTTTGTGTTGAGCTGTCTGTAATTCTTCTGAGGGAATCTAGTTGCTATCCTTATGTTCTGTTAATCAAAATCCTGGCCTAAAGCCCTCTGTTAGAACGTTTGAACATACTTTGTAAATGTTGCCCCGATGCCGTAGGATGTGGAAGGGGTACAGAGACGCCCAGTGTGGTTGGCTGGTGGCAGAGGAAGAACAGCCGCAAGCACATAGCCGCAAACGGCAGGCCTTGTTCCTCGTTATCTACTCACCCAAGAAGGGTGTAGTAGAGGTGTGGGCCATGCAGCAAGGCCCCAGGGTGGCTACTTTCACTACCTCCAAACACGGCCGGTACGTTGTGGCAGACATTGCATCCTCATTTGTGTGGGGGAACTTAAAATCAAATCAAATAAATCCTTATTCAACACAAACACATACAAACCAAGTGTATATAAATGAGTAATTTTATAGATTACTTGAGTCTAATACTAAACTTAATATTTATAAAGATATTTGCTGCAATTCCTTATATAGAATATTATGTCAAGTCATATATTTCAAACAAAATAAGAAAATAAGCCATCTTTTATTTGCTGTTCATAAATTCTTCTAAACTGTAAAATTTATGTTCAATTAGACATCTCCTAAGTTTTTTAAACAATTAAAGTTTTCTTCATTTTTTAATATTGAAAGGAAGGTTCCTCCACCAATCTCTGCACCCTAAGATATATATAGAATATGAGAGTTTAATTCTTTAAAAATATTATCACCATGTGTGGTACAATCGAGTTATTGTTAGGCCTAAAAGTTTGGTTTTTGTGTTATAATTAAGATGAACATTGCTGTTCTTAATTTTAAAGAGTTGTTCCTTTTATTGTTGCTAATTGTAATACAATATATCCATTATGTTATTAGATACCTTGATGTTTTTATACTGTTACAATTACTTGTGGATATTGTCATATTATGTTCATTCCCACCTGAAATGTATGGGTTTAGGTTGTTCTACATCAGCTACGGATTGCTTGGTGTTTCAAGTCTAAACAGCAGGAACGCTAATCGAAGCTCTACTCCGATTTTATTTATTGATGAATTTGGAGTTTTGGCCGATATTACTGCTCCTTTCCATTGTGCATTAAGGTATGTTTGCTTAAGTAGTTTATGAAAGATTGTTGGCATAAACATTACTGTTTCAACTTAACTAGAAACTTATTCAATTGCAATAGTCTAAAATAAAACTTAAATGTTATTGAATTTAAGAGACCCTTTATCTTTAACCAAACTAATTCACAAGTATAACAAAAAGCAGCAATTTTTAAATTACACTGGCAACATTTTTGAAGTTTGTTTTACAAGATTGTAAACATAAAAATCTAAAGGTGTCTTAGGACTTCTGAATTCTGTAACTCTTGAGGTGGAAAAATTCCTTTAAAGGATAAATGGCTATGCTTCTGAAAATGAAAAGTGTGGGAAAGTAACACCATAGAATTAACTTGTTTGCCTACAGAATCAGCGGAATCATCCGCTTCCAATAGACATAATCAATAACCATTTGTAGATATATTCGTCACCACTTCAGTGCAAAAAATAAATTGAATTCTCTTCTCCCCTTGGGATGGGTTTTTAGAGTTTAAAAGTTGTCCTCTACTGTTGATTATCTCTTAACCACAGTGACAAGAACAGCAAGCGTGCCAAGGACATCCACCTAGTGCGTAAGCTGCGTCAGGTGCTGAAGGACGACGCAGACGCAGACACCGTGACAGCGTTGTGTAGAGACTTGCAGACACACACCGTGAGAGCTCAGACACTGGACCTGCTGGCCTCTAGTAGGAAGGTGTCTGCCAACACACTGCTGGAGGTCGTAGAGGGCTTCCTGCATTGGTTCGAGTCTCAAGGTAAATAATTAGGTTTGCCATCAAAAAGCTATGTGATACGTATTAATACAGTAGTCTCGATTGTATGATACAAACGGACTGGGGCAAGGCCGAAAGAAGGGAGTAAAATAATAACCATCGTAAACGTGTTACGAGTTACAAAATGTCTTTGTTGTAAATCCTAAATCATACTTTATGTTTTGTATTTAATTGAAACGATTATATTACATTTTGAGTCCATTATTTGTAATATTATTTTCAAAACTGATATAGTAAATTCTAGGGTAACTGAGATGCTTATCTACTCAACCACAGGTTTCGGTATGTACTATAAGATGTGAGAGGCAGAGAAATATGTACATATGAGGTGTTGATAAACTATGTACACTCATTAAAACAATAAGAAATCAAGTCAAGGGTAGTTTCCAAAAACCTGGTTCTTGACTTCAAGTACACTCAGGTTTGGCAAAATAAGTTGTCTGACTCGCTACATTGTGCAGTCATCTCATGGAATTAGCATGAGATTTTACAGTACTTGACTGTCCACTTGAAGGGTCAGGTATCACAGAAGGTAGGATAATCAAAGTTAAATAAAGACTATATAATCAAGACTATATATCAAAGTCCCCTAGGGCTCGTACGATAAACTAGTCCAGAATCGTCATAACGCAGTGAAGTGTTATGGGTGGTGTAAAAAATGGTGGCATATCGCCTGTGCTAGCATTTCAAAAACCAATTTCGATCATTTTAAGTGTATTTTTCAAATGAAAGGAATAAATTGGTACTGCCAATCGTGTTCAGAACGAGTTGCGATCATACTGGCGAACGACTCCGTGAACAACTCGGGATTCGGAACTGATGAGTCGTCTAAGAACTGCCCACAGAACGCTTGGGATCTGACTCAAATCATTAAGGAGCTGAACGAGATAAGGAAAAGTAACTTGTCTATGTCTGAAGGGCTCACTAGACTAGAAAGTGAGAGCGAAATTATTAGATCTAAATTAAATCAAGTTTTGAGTGATACTTGCCAACCTACCAAGACTCTTGCGACAGAACCATCTCTCCAGAACAACTCCCGTTCAACCAGTTCCAAGCAGACGAATCAAGATCGGGAAGATGGTTCCTCTACCATAAATGTTATGATGACGCCGGTTGATAACCCCAAGAAAGCAGATTTTGACCGTGAACCATTACCCTGTGTTTGGAATATTGAGAAGACGTCTGTGAATGGAAATAACGTAATATCCAGTGACTCTTTCCCCGAAGTGAGTGCTTCTAACTCCATCAGAAACCCATGGAGGACAGTTAGGCACAAGAAGAGAACTACCGTGCAAAATAGGTCTAATCCTAACCTAGAAAATGGAAGGCCAGAACTAACGAATCAAGAAACTGTTAGGCCTACTAAACCTAAAGGAAATGGCAGGCCCACCCGGAAAGTATTAACTGGCACTGGTAAGTTGACAAACAGTAATGACAGTTCTAACCTGAAGGCAGTGAAAAGGACTAAATTTATTTTTGTTTCGAGACTTCAACCTTCGGTCGAAAAGGCCGATGTCGTAAACCATCTTACATCATTCAAAAGTGGCGATTATGTTGTTGAAAAGCTGAATACAAAGTATCCAACCTATAACTCCTTCAAAGTTGGTGTTCCAGAATCGCTATGGGATAGCATTTTTTGTGAGGACTTTTGGCCGGAAAACACTTTCATCAGTGAATTCAAACTTCCAAGGCGCAATTTAAACTCTCAACGCACGGCCGAGACTGGGGCAAACATAGCCTAAACCCAGTAAATGATAACCTTAATGTCTTGTTTCTTAATGTGCAGGGGTTACATTCCAAGGAAAACATCTTAGGCCTACATGCTGTGAGTAATCAGTATGACTTTCTCTGCCTTAGCGAGCATTGGTTGAACCCAAACGAGGCAGGTTATGTTATCGTTGAGAGTTATGAGCTTTCATCGATATTTTGTCGTAAAACCCATATAAGAGGTGGCGTCGCAATATTCGCCAATAATAGCAAGCCTACTAGGCCTACCTTCCAAGTGTTGGACATTGAATGTTTTTGTCATGAAATAAGCTTTGAATGTGTGGGAATAGTTTTAGATAATCCTAAAATCATAATTGTTTGTATATATCACTCTCCTGCAGGGGATGAACTTATATTTCTGAATAATCTGGAGCTACTACTGATCCACCTGAGTAAATTGAAGATGAATATTGTTATTGGTGGCGATGTAAACTCAAGATTTGATGTTACCCGAGATCAGCCTAGTGTTAGAAGATTACTTAACCTACTCAGGCAATTTGATTGTGTTTACTTAAATGACAAGCCTACTCGCAAAAAAGCTTGTCTGGACAATATTTTTACAAATGTCCCGATCAACTCCTGCTCCACACACATCGTTCACCCTGACATAGCTGATCACGAAGGCCTGGAGTTGAGGCTAATAACGGCATCAGAAGCTGCTAAACCATATATTGAGGAAATTATGCACCGCAGTCTTTCCCCAAGGTGCTTAAACAACTTTAAAGCTGAACTGGGGAATGTGAACTGGCCTAACATCCTGAACAGTAACCGTGCGGCCGATCAGTCAGCTGAAGAGACTTTCAATTTATTTTTTAACAAGCTGATTGATATTTTCAACTTAACTTGTCCTGTTAGTTACCTAACCGCAAAGAAGATTTCCGGACGTAAGGACAATAGGCCTAAAAGTGGAGTGGCCTGGTATAGTGATGACCTCAAGAAACTTAAGGAAACAGTTATGGCTTACCGTACTGTCTACATGAACCTTAGAACTGATGCCTCGTACAGTGCCTACAAAGAACTAAGAAACCTCTATAAAAACGTTGCGAACAGAGCAAAATTAGCCGCAAACGCTGACTCCATTGAGCGATCAGCAAACAAATGCCAAGCAGCGTGGACGATAGTAAGGCGAGTTTCTGGAGAGAAGAAGGAGGTCAGCAACAACCATTCTGCCGAGGACTTCAATAGATTCTTCATCGACTCCGTAAACGATGTTCGAGCCAGCATTCCTGTGAGTCCCCTGCCTGCGGATCACTTCCTGCAGCAAGTGAAGAGGCCCAGCACCCAACTTGAGTGGAATGAAGTGTCATGTGATGATGTGCTCAGTGCAGTGTCAAAAATGAAATCCTCAAAAAGCAAAGATGTGTATGGTCTCACAAGCAATATTGTTAAACACATTATCTTTGAAATAGTAATGCCCCTTGTCTTTTGTATCAACCTATGTCTGAAAGAAGGTGTTTTCCCAACCTCCCAAAAAATTTCTCGAGTCATCCCAATTTTCAAAAAAGGGGAAAAATCACAGATTAAAAATTATCGTCCTATTTCTCTGGTCCCTATAATTGGCAAGATCATTGAAGCTGTCATCAAACCTCAGGTATGTTCTTTTTTTGACACAAACAAAATTTTTTCAAATTTTCAATTTGGTTTTCGTAAAAGTTTGTCTACCGTGGATGCCCTGGACCACCTTGTTTCTAAGATTTTGAGAGCTTTTGAGGAGTCGAGCTTTGCTCAGATCACAGCTTGTGATCTGAGTAAAGCATTTGACTGTATTGATCACAACATACTCATCACTAAGCTGGAGTACTATGGCATCCGCGGTATACAGCTTAAGTTTTTTGATTCATACCTGAGAGAGAGAACTCAATTCGTTGATGCAGGAGGCAAGATGTCAAGCTGCTTGAAAGTTAGCTCAGGTGTGCCACAAGGCTCGATTATAGGCCCCCTTCTTTTTATCACAGTCATCAATGACCTACCAGCCAATATTAAAAGATCCTCTACCATCATGTTTGCGGACGACACCAATTTTTTGAGTGTTCATCCCAACTTTTATGATCTTATGTCAGTAACTGAGCTCACAACTGATTCAGCTTATATGTGGTTTAATGCTAATAGCCTTTGTCTTAATAAGAATAAAACTCAAAATCTATTGTGTAGTCTTAAAAACATTCCAGTAGAGTCACAAGATGTAAACAATGAAAATGTAATTACAGTTTTAGGAATAAAAATTGATAAATGTTTAAGCTGGTCTCCTCAGATAGATTTGGTTTGTGCAAGATTGTCCAGAGTAATCTGTTTGCTTAGAAATCTTATGGGTGTTGTACCTGAAACCTACATAAGGGTAGCCTACTTTGCATTTTTCCAATCCATAATTAGCTACGGCTTGATTCTTTGGGGAAACAGTAGTCACATAAGTGAAGTGTTAATACTCCAAAAGAAGGTAGTTAGAATAATAAACAAAGCTCCAATTGAAGAGCATTGCAAGCCATTGTTCATAAGAAGTAGAATATTGACTGTGATTAATCTGTACATATTTATGTGTTTACTTAGGGTTAAGAAAAATACTAGTTCCCATGTTTATAGGTTTAATATCCATTCACACAACACACGTAATCAGTTCCTATTAGACGTGCCTTATTGTAGGTTAAGTAAATGTAAAAATAGTTACCATGTTATTTCATTAAGATTATTTAATAAGCTTAGCATCAATGCCAAAGAATTGGACCTTAAGTCATTTAAAAAAAGAGCTCAGGATTGGTTACTTTTAAATCCTTTTTATGACTTAGAAGAATATTTTAAGGTTGACGAAGTTAACTTTTAATGTCCTCACATTTCCACATTGTTTTTTATTTGTAAGCATATGTATTAGTATAGCCTATTTTGACTTGTTTTTAGGCTTGTTTTGTTTTGCCTAAAAATAGGCTGTTTATGTACCGTAATAGCTGAATTTTCTTGACTTTTGTCTATTGCATTTGTTGTAAATGTTGAAGGACAATAAAACGTTTCTGATTTCTGATTTCTGATTTCTGATTTCTGATTAAAAATGTTGTGTTTAGTTTCTCTTTTGTGTTATATGGCCTACCAGCAGATCTGCAAGGTAGGCTAGATGCTATCCTTCATATTCTACAATTCAACATGTATTATGTCATTTAAAGATGTGAAGAGTAAAGTAAATAAATTAAATGTAAACTAGTTAGTTCAGACGATCCAGAGGCCATTCCACCATTAAATGTAAAGTAGACTTCCTCTCACAAGTTTTGAAGTTTACTTAGTGTTATCTTTGTTACAGATGAAGTAAGGCCAGATGCTAGTGGCAAGGTTCTGATGCAGAGATGTGTTAAACTACAGAAGCTGTTGATATTCTACATGTTCTGTGCGGGACTGCAACAGAAACCACCTGATTACGACACAGTGGTGGCCGACTCTAGTAACGATTTTGATGTGAGCTTTCAGCTATCATACGCCCATTCTAAGTATCCAAGCCAATTTCTAAGTATAAATTTTTCAGGAAGGATTTAAAAATCCAAAGACTCAATTAGCCAATTGGCTAGATTTAAGAATCGAATATCAAATTTAGTCAAATCTGCCAAATGGCCAAAATACCATAAGACCATTGTCAATGTTCTTGATAGATTCTATATGATATTTAATTGAATACAGCTCTTGCATTTACAATTTTAGAAATTGGGATCTCACATTTTAAAGGATTTTGATTCAAATTCTGTATTCAAAATCTAAAATTCGTGAATTTTACAACCATTAATTTAAAACTCCACTTAGCAGAGCCCCCCTACTTTGTTAGTTTAGGCATTTACAGATGGTACTGAGATAAAAATAAAAATAAATAAATAAATTCTATCTTCTGAAACAGCTCATAGGTATTTCCATCAACACAAGAACTCTTTTTAATAAGTAGGCTATTTTAAAATTAGTAATATAGAAATTGATTAATTTACTAAATATATAAATTTAAATTCCAAGAATAAGAATGGAAAATAATAGAAATCTGTTAAATTATACATACTTTAAAAAAAGAAACAAATATGTACCTATATACATAGGCCTATTATGTAAAATAAATAAGAAAATAAATAACTTCTCCCTATTTACTATTGCCCCGTTTGATAAAACAAACAACCTATGACTGGAAAAATGGTTTTTCTTTCTTAGGCCTACCGGGCTATGATAACAGCCCGCCACCACCGGGCTACAGACATTAGCTCGGGCTATAATGACAACCCGGGCACTGTACCTGAGCCCGGTTTGCCCGGGCTATGATGACAGCCTGTCACCACCGGGCTAAAGACATTGGCCCGGGCGATTTGGCAAGCCCGGGCTTACCGGGCTATGATGACAGCCCGGGCACTGTACCTGAGCCCGGTTTGCAAGGGCTATGATGACAGCCCGTCACCACCGGGCTAAAGACATTGGCCCGGGCGATTTGGCAAACCCGGGCTTACCGCCACCACCGGGCCACAGACATTAGCCCGGGCGATTTGGCAAACCTGGGCTTCCCGGGCAATGATGACAGCCCGGGCACTGAACCTGTACCCAGTTTGCCCGGGCTATGATGACAGCCGATCACTACCGGGTTAAAGTAGGCCTAATAATACAGTACGTTAGAGACATTGGCCTGGGCGATTTGGCACATCCGGGCTATGATGCCCCAAAAATTACATTTTATGAAACAATAGTTCATAAAGACTAAAATGCCAGTAGGATGAACCGTTTGTTCGGTTGGCACTTAATTTTAAACTTATACTAAATTAAACCTTCTTTATATACTTTAAAAAAAGAAACAAATATATATATACGTATTATGTAAAATAAATAAGAAAACAAAAAACCTGTCCCTTACTATTGCAATAATATTGCCCCGTTTGATACAACAAAGAACCTATCGACATTAGCCCAGGCGATTTGGCACACCCGGGCTTACCGGGCTATTATGACAGCCCGGGCACTGTACCTGAGCCCGGTTTGCCTGGGCTATGATGACAGCCCGTCACCACCGGGCTAAAGACATTGGCCCGGTCGATTTGGCACACCCGGGCTTACCGGGCTATGATGACAGGCCGGGCACTGTACCTGAGCCCGGTTTGCCTGGGCTATGATGACAGCCCGTCACCACCGAACTCTAGACATTGGCACGCCCGGGCTATGATAACAGCCCGCCACCACCGGGCCACAGACATTAGCCCGGGCGATTTGGCAAACCTGGGCTTCCCGGGCAATGATGACAGCCCAGGCACTGAACCTGTGCCCGGTTTGCCCGGGCTATGATGACAGCCCATCACTACCGGGTTAAAGTAGGCCTAATAATACAGTACGTTAGAGACATTGGCCTGGGCGATTTGGCACATCCGGGCTATGATGCCCCAAAAATTACATTTTATGAAACAATAGTTCATAAAGACTAAAATGCCAGTAGGATGAACCGTTTGTTCGGTTGGCACTTAATTTTAAACTTACACTTAATTAAACCTTCTTTATATACTTTAAAAAAAGAAACAAATATATATATACGTATTATGTAAAATAAATAAGAAAACAAATAACCTGTCCCTATTTACTATTGCAATAATATTGCCCCGTTTGATACAACAAAGAACCTATCGACATTAGCCCGGGCGATTTGGCAAACCTGGGCTTACCGGGCTATGATGACAACCCGGGCACTGTACCTGAACCCGGTTTGCCCGGGCTATGATGACAGCCCGTCACCACCGGGCTAAGGACAGTGGCCCGGGCGATTTGGCACACCAGGGCTTACCGGGCTATGATGACAGGCCGGGCACTGTACCTGAGCCCGGTTTGCCTGGGCTATGATGACATCCCGTCACCACCAAACTCTAGATATGGCCTGGGTGATTTGGCACATCCTGGCTATGATGCCCCAAAAATTACATTTTATGAAACAATAGTTCATAAAGACTAAAATGCCGGTAGGATGAACCGTTTTCGGTTGGCACTTAATTTTAAACTTACACTAAATTAAACCTTCTTTATATACTTTAAAGAAAGAAACAAATATATATATATATATATATACGTATTATGTAAAATAAATAAGAAAATAAATAACCTATCCTTATTAACTATTGCTATAATATTGCCCCGTTTGATACAACAAACAACCTATCGACATTAGCCCGGGCGATTTGGCAAACCCGGGCCTACCGGGCTATAATGACAACCCGGGCACTGTACCTGAGCCCGGTTTGCCCGGGCTATGATGACAGCCCGTCACCACCGGGCTAAAGACATTGGCCCGGGCGATTTGGCAAACCCGGGCTTACTGGGCTATGATGACAGCCCTGGCACTGTACCTGAGCCCGGTTTGCCCGGGCTTGATGACAGCCCGTCACCACCGGGCTAAAGACATTGGCCCATGCGATTTGGCACACCCCGGCTTACTGGGCTATAATGACAACCCGGGCACTGTACCTGAGCCCGGTTTGCCTGGGCTTGATGACAGCCCGTCACCACCGGGCTAAAGACATTGGCTTATGCGATTTGGCACACCCGGACTTACCGGGCTATGATGACAGCCCTGGCACTGTACCTGAACCCGGTTTGCCCGGGCTATGATGACAGCTCGGGCACTGAACCTGTGCCCGGTTTGCCAGGGCTATGATGACAGCCCGTCACTACCGGGTTAAAGTAACAATACAGCACGTTAGAGACATTGGCCTGGGCGATTTGGCACATCCGGGCTATGATGCCCCAAAAATTACATTTTATAAAACAATAGTTCATAAAGACTAAAATGCCGGTAGGATGAACCGTTTGTTCGGTTGGCACTTAATTTTAAACTTATACTAAATTAAACCTTCTTTATTCATGTTTTAGCAACAGTCAAGAATAGAACTAATTAAATGTCATCAAACATGTTCATAAAACCTAAAACATAAGCTGTTGAACTAAAATAACATTATCCATCACACTTATGCTACCACAGAAGTATATGAGTTATCAATCAAAAGTTTACTATGGATTAGAAAAGTATCTTAAATTTCTAATTCAACCTTTAGTAATTTTTCAGAACCTGTGTGAGTTCCTACGCATGAGCAAACAAGAAACCCAGCGAATACTGAAGTTCCCGGAATCGCAGGACAGGGTTCGGGTTAAGTTCCAGGAAGGCCTGGAAGGATTGTCTGGATATCTGGCTGGGTTCAAAACAGACTCAACGGCTGAGGAGACAATTCAACTGGTGGAACCGACTGGCAGTCAGAGCCTTGTCCATATTAGTGAGTTACAATTTGGAGAAGATGTCATAGAAGCTCATTCAGAACGCAACTTAACTGTGCTGGAAATTTTTGTCATGGGATTCAAGGGCCTTTGGCCTTTCCCCAGAAAATTTTTGAAATGAAAGTAGTTAAAGACGAGTTTTAATGCTATTTGGAAGTTAACATTATGACTAGAATTTTTGTGCTCTAGGCTATGTTCTTTAAAAATGATTAAAGCAATATTGTACAACAATTTTGGAAATTGAGTGTCTTTAAAACTGTGGCGCTCGCCTTTTGGCCCCTTCACTCATTACTCCTTTGCCCTTAACATAACAAATCTGGCAATAAATTTTGATTGGCTTGTGATTATTTTTTCCAAAAACATCTGATTGGACCTTACAACTGGCGGAACCGGGACGGATTAATGACAGCTCTCATTTTTACACAAATTACCAGAGATATGATGCCGTAGCTGGATACGCACTGAGTGTAGGAATGCTCTGATCTTCGCAGCAATAGCCATGCCCCGAGTGGCATTCATGGGTAATGGCTGTTGCTTTCTGGGTGGCCCTCGTACATTGCTTCAAGATCATAATTCTGTTTAAACAGTGGACCATTAACTCTTTATTATGGTGATGTTCCCTATAAACCTGGGTGTTATTACTTAGAATGGCTAAGGTTATCAAGGTTTGGACTTGTTTTTGATTGGCCTGGTATGTGTAGGTGAGGTAGTGTGTGGCAGTCTGGAAGGTAATGTGACCGAGTGGGCGAGTGCTGCTACAGACAGTAGCATTGCTCCCTCTGCTCTAATGAGACTAGCGGTAGTTGCTTGGCTACATAGGCGCACTCACCCCTCGGTGGCTGACACTCTCACATTCGGACAGCTTGTGTCTGCCATATGCAATATTGCAGGTAAACACTGTTTAGTAACTCACTTCCAAATAAAATAAAATTATGATAAGTTGTTTAACATTTTATACTTTTTGATAGTAAAACACAATAAAGTAGTAAGGTAATTTGATTTGGTGTTAACACTAAAATATCTAGATGTTAATGTACTCTTCAAACCATCTAAGTGGTACGGACAATTTCTCAAATACATTTGACACTTCAAACAAACCTTAATGTTATCAAGGGTGACTCCTAAATTAAGTCTGTGTAATAATTACCATCAACCGTTTGAAATCCAAACCTTAGCAAAATATCTTGGCATTTAAAGTAAATCATTGCATGCTGGCATAAAGTATTGCAATTTAAAGTTGCTGTTGTTTCCCTCAGGGGAAAAGGTAGAGGAGCCAGAATGGTGGGAGGAGGTGAGATGTCTGCTGAGAGAGAGTGTACAATCTCACCTGGCTATATTGGCTGCAGCTGTGTGTAAGGCTGTGGCTGTCACGTTTGAGGAGACTGCAGGTAACATCACCTAAACAATAATATGTAGAGTGTTTGTCATGCTCATAACTTTGTTATTTTATTTTTATTATTCTAATGTTTTTTATTTTAGTTTTCTCGGGTTTCATTGTCAGTGGTATTTTTATGCTTTTTGATTGGGAAATTTTTATTACTCTAATTTTCCTAGATAAAGAAATAGACTCAGTAGGTCTACTTTCTAGTCACCCTCCTAAACTATCTTTATTTTTTTTTTTGCTTGTGTCTACGCCAGTGGTATTTTTAATAGATGTCTAAGTTAGTTTTAACGCTTTTAAGACAAATCAGTCCAAACCGATCAAAGTTTTGTAGATGTGCCGGGAATTGAACTCGTCCCTTCTGCACCGAAGTCCGAGATGCTAACCACTAGGCCAGCCCCCTGTCTTCAACAACCCCTCTTTTAATCTCTCCATTCCTAACGCTATTCTATGTTGTATCACTGTTAACGTCCCCAAGAAGTATATGACATTTACTGTAATTTAATAGTTTTTTTTGTACATTTTCTACAGTGATGACGACCAGCGCTGGTACAGACGACAGTGAGTCCAAGTCTAATGACTGGGAGAAGGTGACCCAGGAGAGTTGTACTTGGAGTCAGCTGATCAGCCAGCTGGAAGATGTCGCTCTCATCGGCTCAGTGCTCAGGTATCCTAATCAAAATCCGGTGACATACTCATTTTATATTTTTAAATGCGCTTTTAAAAAAATTACCTTTTTATTATGTCAACTCCCCATCTCACTGGAACTTCTAGTCTATGCGGTAACCTAATGACAGTGGAGTACCATTGCAGTATAAGCCAATGGGCAACCAGTGGGGACTTCATATATTTATAAATTTATATATTTATTAATTTAATATATTTATATATTTTATATTTTTTTGCAGATTTATATATTTTTTAATACTAGAACTTATTATATTGATTTATTACATCCAAGTATTTATTTGCTGTATTAATTTATGTATTTTATGACGATTGTTAAAACATTGTGAAATGTCTACAACAATAAATTTGATTTGATTTGATTTGATTTGATTTGATTCAGTGAGGAGATTATGCAGTCGGCAAGTCTTGGGACAAATAATATCAGCCTAATGCGATACCACTTGGCGGCTGTTTTCGGTTAAACCTATGAAATAGGGATATTTTTTTACTGACAGTTTTCCTGTACGCCTGTAATAAAAAACCTTGGGTTAGTTGTTTTTTTATGCAGAGAAATGACTGTTGCCAGGGCCTGATTTGTGCTGCACCACACAGGGATGTGAACATTAATGAACTCTTGGTAAATTAATGAACTGTTAAGGAAAATGCCAAAACAAATGTTGATGCTGATTTTATTTTACTACCCATCTAAAATTCTAGAAACAAATCACTGATCGCAACCAAATCATTTGATTGAAAAACTAGATAAATTTAGGCAGATTTATTTAAAGATTGATAAAATTGTGCTTTATTCTGATTTAGTTTGTTAAAACTTAGTTCCTTTTCTTGCTTGGTTCAAATAAAATCAATCCTTAGTTTCAACAGTTTGTACATATCATAGAAATTTAAAAAAGATGTTTCCCTGGTAGGTACTCATTTTTCCTCCTCATAATATTTTTAAAGTTTCTTTTTGAAAACCATTAGCTGTATTTTTTAGAATATAAAGGTAACTTATTCACACTACTTTTGGACGTTGATTTTGATGTCTTTTAAATGAGACACAAACAATAGGTAATTAAAGATTAACGTTCTAATGGTTTTAATTTCATTGAACATTCCAGCAAAAAGTTTGTATGAAATGTATAACCATATACTGTGGTTAATTTCTCACTTTTTTATACAATACTCTTGTTTTTAGCCAAAAACCAAATTGCTCAAAAGTTCCAGCGTTACATTGCCTGCACTATGAACCCCCGGAGCTGTCTTTGCAAAACTTATGCTCTAAAGGTCGAGGTAAATACTTTATTTATACTTCAAAAAGTTCACAAATGTGTAGTTTAGCTTTAGAGTTCTTTGATTTTATACTAGTTTACATGTATTACATTTTCTATTACTGAGTCAGAAATAATACATATTTTTATGAATTTTTTTGAATGCATGATATGTATCCATGGATGTATATGTATTTGCTAGAAACTGGAACAACATCTAATAATTAGCTTAAATTTTGAAGCCACTTGAATGCAAACAAATTTTTGACCTCACTAACAGCTCTTGCTTTTGTTTTGGTCTTTCATCCCTTTACATTGAAAATACTTGTGTAATTCACCAACTGATCACTCCATTGACGTCTAAAACGGAGCATGGTCCTCTGTCTAGCAGAGGACTATTATTTTTTAACCATTCTGATGGTTTTATTTATTTTGTTAGAGGTTGTGAGGACAAACTTGTAACATGACTTGCTATATTTCATTCTTAAATTTGCCTTTTTCACAAAAGATAATTGCAGATCTATTATGATTGATGTAATCACTATTTTCAAGTTTGACTGTTTGTTTGCAGGATGTGTGTCTGAGCTAGTTGCCAGATGGATTGCAAGTTCAGGGCTTGATCCAGCCTTGCTATTGGAAGGTTCCCGAGAGTCTTCCCAGAGTCCCGACTCTTCCAGGAGCGATCGTCTGGGATCCGGGGTATGTAAATAACACATTGATCTCACATAGCAAATGTTTACTCTCTCAACATCCTTCAAAAGTTTAGAGTTTTCTTGTTGTTTCCATCCATGTCATGCTTCCAAAGCCTACTCCGTTCCTTCTAAAAACTCTTATTTGAAGAAGTGGGAAGAATGCAAACAGAGTCAATTGTGGTGTAGCGAAGGAGAGGAAAAACTAATCGAAGATGGATATATGAAATGAAGAGGGAAGTGGAGAAGAAAGGAGGGAGATGGCCGAGGAACTGTGGATAGGAGAAGATGGAGAGGCCTAGTCAGCATATAAAACATGGGAATAACGAGAGTGATGTAGGATATTATTTTTGCATGTAACATTTTGTCCTGCGCAGGTGGGGGTGGTAGAGGGCCAGCTACTGTCTGCAGACGAGGGAAAAGAAGCACAACCTACCAGCCCGGAGGAGAGCTTCCTACTGGCTCGTCTAGCCGAGCTTAGGTAACTTAACCTGACTCCAAATAAGATGATTTCAGGGTAATTATCGATATTCAATCTTTTGCAGATGAATTTTACATGAAATGTAAGGGTTTGTTTAAAGTTTCAAATCTTTGAGGTTGGGTCAAGAAAATTGTACTAATGTCAAATACATAATTTTAAAGAAAGTTAATAAAAGAAATGTCTTATAACACTTCAAATGAATCTATTGTAGCGTATGCAGCTGTTTCGTTCCCTTCAGTTCAGAACGTAAAACCTTAGACTAACCAACACAAGTAGACTTCTCACCCCATTGTAAATTTTGAAGCACGTTTTTCGTGTCTAGTTCATGTACGTGACACATGGGCACTAGTGTCGACGAAACTTTGTTTCTATTATTTTAGGGTTAATTTCTTGATTTGTGCTTTACTGTTTGGTTATATAACTAGGGGACAACTTATTGTTTATGATTAGATCGTATTATTTGGTTAAACAAGGTTTTAAATGGCTGTAATAACGGGAATTTTAACAAAATTTTAAGAATGATATATGGACCAATACAAGAAAATGGAGAATGGAGAAAAAGGCATAATAGGGAGATAAGGAATATGTACAATGATTATGATGTAGTAGCACACGTGAAAGCAAGGAGAATAAGGTGGGCAGGACACGCACTACGGAGAGAACGAGGTTCACTACTAAAAGAAGCAAGTATAGGAAAGCCAGAAGGGAAACGACCATTAGGAAGGCCCAAGAAGAGATGGTGGGATAGTGTTTCCAAGGACGTCAGAGAAGTGGGGGCAGAAGTGGAAGAGGCAGAAGATCGAGAGAGATGGAAAGCAGTTGTTGGTGCGGCCAAATCCCGCCTTGGGCATAAATGGCCATGGGAGTGAGTGAGTGTAATAACGGGAAACAAATTGTAAACAAAACACGACCTCTAGATAAACCGTACAGAACTAACAATAAAATTGTCTTCAGCTGTTCCTTAACCCTCCCAGTGTTACTTGACGAAAATTCGACAAGCAGCACACTTTGTGTAGTGTTACTTGTCGATTTTTCGACACGCAGACATCGTTTACGGCGAAGGCTCTATGACTGACTGAATCGGATTGAACTGGATCGAGTTAGGTATCGTTCTTTCCGTAATATTCTAAGCTTTCTCCAGAGGTCTGTCTCTAAGCGATATTCATTTTAGTTCCGAAAATATTGTAGCAGACAGCTGACGTGCGTGTATTTGTAAACAGCTAGGTTCCCCCGGACCGATGACTGATGTGTTTTATTACGTTTATCATTGTTTTAGTGTTAAAAATCAAAAGTAGTGATATACGTGGTGCATTATAAGAAGATTTAAGTGGTTTTGAAGTGCTGGTTGATGATCCTGAAGAAGTAGGTAGTGATATTGATGTAAATTATCAGCCAGATTCCTAGCTATGGTTAGGCTATGCATTCTTAGCTAAACGCTATGTACTGAAATCAGTTTTTTGCCCATAACTTATTTATTTGCAAATATACTTCCTTATATTATTATATATTTGTAATCCTCATAAAATTTAGAACAAAGTGGCTATTTTCAAATATTTATAGGCCTATAATTTATACAATTTCATTGAGCGCGAACTTATTTTTTTTTTTTAATTTTCAAAATTATATTTTTTTTACCTAAAAATTTTTTTTTTGAAAAAATGTTCCTTATGTTTTATATATAATATTGAAGCCCATGATTTTCCAAACAAAATGGTATATAGAACATTAGAATTAACATTGTTTTAAGCTTCTCAGATCCGTTTTAATAAAACCTTGCAAATGCGCCAAAAATAGGTGGACATTAAGGCCTAAACTATGGACACTTGGAGGGATAAGGATGAGAAATCTACTAAGGGAGGGGAGTATGTTTTATCTATGGTAAAAAACTGATAAAAAAATCCAATCCAGAGGAATTGTCAGAATTTGAGCACTGTATCTGGAGTTTAATTAGAAGTTGTATAAAGTTGTTCAACCAACATTAAATGTTACGTTATGCTTATGTTTCTCTCCTATGTCCCTTTTTATTATAAAACGGATGGATTTTGTGTGGGGTTTTTTTTCAGTTTGAAGTGGACCTGAATATGTGTTCAATGTTCCTCATCACTTCACAGTTAAAAAATTAAACTCTAGTTGGTTGATCGGACATACAGGTAATCTTAACTATTATTTGTGATTCTGATTCTGATGATCCAGAGGCCAATCCATTGTGAAATTTACAATGAATAGGTGTCACAATTTTTGCACTTAAAATTATGAGTGTTTAGTAGGAATTTGATTTGATTTAAATACTAACATTCCTATTTGCCTGTAGGCAGCAGTTCCCCTACAGCCTGGCTGATAATGTTCTACTGGCTAATATTGCCTGGGAGTATGTTGTGGCCTGGACAAAACAGGTAATCATGTTAAATGTTATAACTGTTAATTATTTTCATAACTTTTTTAACTTCTAGTCTCGCCATATACTATATCTTCTGCACTTCCAACAAACCTTATTCCTCCTGCATTTTGAATATCAGGGAAAGGCAGGAATTTGCTGTAGCACTCCTCTTCATCAATTAGCTTCAATTTTTCTTTTTGTTGGTCCCTTTGAAAAAAAAAAAAACACATAAAATGCTTTGTTTGCACTGGTTTTAATCATTAAAGTATTTATTTCCCTTGCTCTTGTGCTGGACCTTTCTCTTATTAAATTAAGCCTCCTTAATAGGTAAGACAAGGGTACAGAGACCAAACTAATTGAAGAGAAGAAACAAAGACCGGAAAAATACACTAATAGAGAATCACAGAGCTATGTCATCAATGAAAAAGCTACAATGTTTAATAGGTTTTCTGGATAGTATCTCTCAAAGCACCAAACATATTGGTGGTCCAACCGTAAAGTCTATAGGTTAGATGAACATGTTGGGGGTTTGTAGATTTTTTTAAATCTTTTACTAACTAATCTTTCACTAGTAATTTGTCCATCGTGTTTATTCCAGCGCATCGTGCGGCAAGGAGCGGCCCGGAATCAGTCAGGAACGGGTATACCCTCGGGGACAAAGACCCCTACCCCAGTTCCCCGGGGCCTGACCTCCGTTTGCCCAGCACCGGATACCTGACGTGCCGGGGGTCGCCCGTCACAATGCAGAGCCCGACCTCTACATCCATGCCGCACTCCCTGACCAAGGACCGAAGTGGCTGGCTTCTCACGACCCACTAACACGATGGATTTAAATAAAACCCCTCATAACACATTTTTGATTAAGAGCTCAAATGAGCCAGAAAAGACGTTGGAAGTGGAGCGGAACGCTTTTGTCCGTAGCTCCAAGGTGCAGCGGTCGCCACCACCGAAAAACGTGAGAACATCTCCCCCACCTGCCACCTTCAAATGCACCAAGGAGTTCCCCCATTTAGGAGCTCCTTCGGAAAGTGGAGCTGGGAACGGTGCGGAAAGCGTCGGAGATGTAGGTGTCGAGCTGGTGTTGCCAGCAACTCTCCCCCACTCTGCCAGTTCTGCTGTAGGGATGCCGGAGGAGCCATTCAAAGCACCGCTGAGGTCGGAAGGCTCTGAGATGGTGCTTCTGCGTCAGGAATATCTTGACGCAGAGAGTGACATTGAAACCCGGCTCCAAGACATGGAAGCTACGATCAAGGCTATGCTGGACACCTTCCGGACCCAGAAAGCCGTAAATCAAGTGGTCAAAAACGGCATGGCCAAACTGGAGGATGACCTTGGCTTCGTTTTTGCCTGCCGGGTGGTGAGTAAGGCAGCCATGGAGAAGATTGCCGAGAAGGTTGTGTCTCTGTCTGACGAAAGAACACTGCCTTCTAAGAAACGTAAAAGGCCTTCCACATCGGACAGTCCTCAAAAAAGAGAAGAAGGCGTCCAAACCAAAAGGACCACGGTAAAGGCCAAGGCAACTCAGACTGATCTATTGTCTGCTGTGCCCAGATCCTTTTCGGACATAGCTGCAGCTCCTGCAAAGAGCCAACAACCACAGCTACCTACGACCCCCCTTCAGGGAAGTTCCCGAAAGGGGTCAGTCGTAGAGACACCTGGGGCTGCGTGGGAAAAACGTCGTTCCCGAAAGGAGAAGAGGCAGTTGAGGCGGGCGGAGGTCGCCTCTATAAAGAATGTGGCAGTGAAGGCACAGCCGACCGGCGTGGCCCAAACTGGGCCCGGCTCGGTCTCTGCTCCGAAAAAGTCCCGGCCAAAAAAGCCCAGGACGGAGGCAATCCTGGTCAAGCCCTCAGGGGGGAGATCTTTCGCCGAGGTCTTGGGTGCAATTAAGGCCAAGGCTAAGCCAGAGCAGACCGATACGGTTGTACGGTCGATTAGACGAACCCGGGACGGGGACGTTCTCCTTGAACTGGGTAAGTCGAAAGACAAAGCAGCCTTTACTGCCGAACTGAAGGCAGCTGTTGAAGGCCAGGGCACCGTCCGTGCTCTTGAACCAAAGACATCAGTCGAGGTTCGAGACATTGATTGTGTGTCGACGGAGGTTGATGTTGTTGAGGCCCTGAAGAAAGCTGTCCCCGAGCTTGGCGGGCAAACGGCTTTATTTAAGGTGTGGCTCACAAAACCGAACAGGAGTCAGCAGCGGATGGCGGTCGCCGAAATGGCAGACGCACATGCCACGAAAGTGCTGGGACTCCAGCATCTGAGAGTCGGCTGGGTCAACTGCAGGCTCAGACGGAGAGTGGAAGTGAAGAGGTGTTTTAAATGCCTCTGTTTCGGCCATTCCTCCCGAAACTGCAAGGGACCCGACCGAAGCAAGAACTGCCTTCGGTGCGGGGAGGTCGGTCACGTCCGTAAGGACTGCCAAGTCGAGTCCTGTTTCCTTTGCAAAGAAAATGGGCTCGCTGACAAACACTTGAAGCATATAGCTGGGTCTGGACAGTGTAGTGTATTCAAATCTGCACTACAGCAAGCGAAAGTCCTTTCACGAAGATAAGAATCCTTCAGTGCAATCTTGAGCGATCCAGGTCGGCTGACGCACTTCTATGTCAGCTTGCCCTAGAACACGATGTCGACGCGCTCTTAGTCAGCGAACAGTACCAGTACCGTGATAGGGACCCATCTTTTTGGTTCCCTGATAGTCTTGGTACTGCTGCATTCTGGGCGCGTAATGCAGCGAAAGTACAAGTACGGGGTCACGCGAAGGGCCGAGGTTTCGTTTGGGTTCGGTGCCGGGATGTCACTTACTTTAGTGTCTACCTCACTCCCAACGAGGCCATCCGTGAATTTCGTGAGAAGATAGACCGCCTGGAAGAGAGCGTGCGCAATACCACAGGACACGTCGTCGTGGGTGGGGATTTTAATGCTAGGGCTGTCGAGTGGGGAATGACCCTCACCAATTCCCGGGGCAAGTACATTCTGGACTTTGCTGCCAGAGCCGGACTCGTTGTCGTCAACGAGGGAAACACGCCAACTTTCCGGCGCCCCGGGATGCGGGGAACGATCCCAGACATAACCCTTGCATCTGAGTCCCTTTTGCCAAGGATCAGAGCCTGGAGAGTTCTGGAGGATTACACGGGCAGTGACCACCAGTACATTATTTTTGATGTCCTGGATGGTCATCAGAGACAAGTAGCCGCGTTTCGTCAAGTGCCCGTTCGATGGAATATTAAAAAATTGGACGTGGCAAAATTCAATGAAGCCATCTTACGAGGAACACCGGTGGTTCCCCCCGCAACTAGTGTGGCTCATGCAGAGGTGTTAGTTACATCCATGATGGGACTAATCGTCTCCGCTTGCGATGAGTCTATGCCTCGCGGAAGATCCCGGTGCAATAAGCGACCTGTGTACTGGTGGACTGCCGAGATTGCGGAATTGCGTCGGTCAGCATTGAGAGCCAGAAGACTTGCTACCAGGGCCAGAGAACCTGTAGACAGACGTCGTAAGTCGGATGCTTACAGAGTGGCTAGGAGGTCTCTTCGTCGAGCCATCAACCGGAGTAAACGTAGTTGCTGGGAGACATTAAGGGACGATATCGATTCCAATCCGTGGGGCTTGGGTTACAAACTGGTAACCAAGAAACTTGGCACCCGCTCTCCACCTTCCGTCATGGATGGGGCCACTATGGAGAGGATAGTCGAGTCCCTTTTCCCGGCTCACACGTTGCGCCCACTGCGGGATTTCGGAAGGGTGGATGACGTACCACTTTTCAGTCTTGGAGAGGTGGAGGCGGCCGTCCTATCCCTGAAGAACAATAAGGCTCCTGGACCCGATGGGGTACCCGGCGAAGTTCTCAAAAAGGTTTTGACTATTAACCCCTTGATCCTTTTACGCATGTACAATGCCTGCCTAGTCGAAGGAGTTTTCCCTTCGTGCTGGAAAACAGCTAGGCTTGTGCTTGTTGGGAAGGGGAAGGGAGATCCAGACCTGCCATCCTCTTACAGACCTCTGTGTATGTTGGATACGGCTGGAAAAGTCCTCGAGAAGTTGATACGTTCCCGACTGAATTCAGCCGTAGTCGCTGCGGGGGACCTGTCCCCTCGGCAGTATGGATTTAGGATGGGGCGATCTACGGTTGACGCTGTTGAAGAGGTGAAGCAAGCCGTGATGAGAGCTGAGGATTTTAACCACTACTCTCGAAGGGTTGTGCTGCTCGTCACTCTCGATGTGCGAAACGCATTTAATTCGGCGAGGTGGTGCGATATGCTGGATGCTCTGGAGAACACCTTTCACGTCCCGGCATACCTCATGCGTATCATAGAGGATTATCTCCGGTTCCGCCTCCTCTTGTATGACACTACAGAGGGCCCACGGACGATGAGTGTCACTTCCGGTGCTGCCCAAGGTTCCATACTCGGCCCGGACCTCTGGAATGTCGCGTATGACAGCCTCCTGAGGTCTGAAATGCCTGAGGAAACTGTTTTGGTTGGGTACGCGGACGACGTTGCAGTTTTGATAGCTGCACGTAGCGTTGAGCTGGCTCAGCTAAAGCTGAACCGAGTTATGCGTACTATAAACGCATGGATGACAGACCACGGTCTCTCGCTTGCTTTGAGCAAAACTGAGATCGTGATATTAACAAAAAAACGGATTGACACCATCGTGCCGTTGAGGGTAGGGGCCGTTGAAGTCCAGACCGTTCGTTCTGCCAAGTACCTTGGGATTATGGTGGACAGCAAGCTTAGCTGGCGGGATCAGATTTTCCGTACGGCGGACAAGGCCGCTAGGGTGGTCTCCTCTCTTAGCCGGTTGATGGCCAATGTCGGAGGGCCTCGGTCCAGCCGTAGAAGGCTGTTAATGTCTTCTGTCCAGTCCGTACTCTTGTACGGTGCTGAGGTGTGGGCAGACGCTCTAAATAAGGAGGTATATAGGATGCGGCTTGCCCGAGTGCAGCGTCAGGCAGCACTAAGAGTTGCATCCGCCTACCGAACAGTGTCCGAACCCGCCGTCCTGGTGGTTGCTGGAGTCATCCCCGTCAAACTTTTGGCGGCGGAGAGAAAAGCAATTTATCAGCGCCGTGGGGAGGACCAGGCACGAACAGAGGAACGCACCCGCACCTACCAGCTGTGGCAAGAGAGCTGGGAACAGGAGACTCGGGGACGCTGGACCAGGCGACTGATAAAGCAAGTCCAACCTTGGGTTAATCGGCGGTGCGGAGAGGTGGACTTCTACCTCACCCAATTTCTGACGGGTCACGGCTTTTTCCGGTCGTACCTGTTCAGGATGGGCAAAGCCGTGTCACCCGATTGCATATACTGCCCAGGCATTCCCGATGACGTGGAACATACATTTTTCCACTGCCAGCGTTGGGAAAGGCCCCGCCTGGAGGCTCAACAGTTAGTAGGACTGCTGTCGGTGGACACGGTCATACCGATGATGACGGAGGGTGAGGACAATTGGACCTGTGTGTCACATTACATCCAGGGTATTCTCCGCGCCAAGAAGCTCGACCTTGACCGGGATGCGGTGTAGGTCTTAAAGTATCCAAATGCCATAAACGGTGAGAGCCCTGAGGGCTTAGGTAACATGTTGGCCTGACTTGAAGTAATGTGACAAACAATTCCAGGTCTGTGTCCAACAGAGTAGAGGGGGTTTTTTAGTGAGTAGTCTGCGATAGATTCAGGAGTCTCACACTACAGGCTGGCTACCTGTGTGCGTAAAAGCATTTTTACCTCCTCTCCCTTAAAAAAAAAAAAAAAAAAAAAAAAAAACTAGTAATTTGTCTATCTAGTATCCTTCTGCTCTACACTGTATATTGGTAAAACTGTACCTACCTAAAACAGTATTATTTCATTGATTATGTGATGTGTTACTTTTTTCATTTAGGTTGACAACCTACAATCTCTTCAAGCTGCTGTTTCCTGCCTTAGAGCCATTCCCGACTCTCAGCTCAAACAAGGTAGATGATTTACCAATGAAAATTATCAAAAAGTAGGATTATGTGAACAAAATTTGTCATGTTTTATAAAAACTTCTATTTTTATAGTAGTTTTGTTAAACCAACTATGTAAATTTGAGATGTTTACATGACCGGCTCAGCAAAAGATGTCTTAAACAGAAAATGTCATAGAACCTCAATTTCTAATCCTAGATAATGGTAGTCACAATTTTCAATCTCAAAAATATTAATGGTCTTACCTTGTTACTTTGCTTTCAGGCTCTCATTTGAAAATGTAAATTTATTGGGCCTAAAGAGTGCTAAGAGTTTTCTGAGTGTTCTCAAAAGCATTAAAATTGAAAAAAGTTGAAAGCACTTCAAAAGTCATGCATGACTTTCTTAAATTAACAAGGTACCTAAGGTTTTAAGATATAAAAAACTACTTTTTTTAAAATCCTAAATTATTACATCCATTAAAACGGAAGCAAAAATCATTTAAATCCTCGGGTTTTGAGCACCGCTACTTGTAAATACTAACTTTTGTAAGGAATTAATGGTTGACTATTGAGTTCTGTGAATAAATTATTCGTTGTGGGTCTTAATTCGGTCTTGAATCAGAATCGCATCCAAGATTGAGGATAAAAGTCAGTATTTTAATGGTGGAATCTTACAATTTTGGAACCGGCCCATCACTTCAGCTAACACCATTCAACATTCATCTTTTACTTATATTCACCTTAAAATACACAGACAGGTGTGTTGGTATTGTATAGTCTAATACCAACATGTATTGTCACACAGGTGTATGCTCTATGACGTGGATGATGCATGTGAAAGGCAGGTTCGAGTCTACACTGAGACTCATCAACAAAGTAGGCAAGGTGCCTAAGGAACGTTTATGCCGTCAGGACATCGGACTGTCTGAGCTGCAGATTGCAGACTTCTTCAACATTTGCTCAGACTTTTTTGACATATTTTTAGAGGTATGTTAGTGTCTAAAGTGAAATAAGTAAATTGTCAAGTTTTCTGTACCTATTGAATTTCATTATGGACTAGATATTTATTTCCAAGCTATTGAGTTTAGGGTATCCTGGAGTAAAATTAAGGTAAGAAAAACTTATGGTCATTCATAGTACAATCAATAGACTCCCTCTTATGCTGATACCTTTTAAGGGAACATCGGTCTAACTGCGCTGCACTCGGAAGAAAAGAGATCTCTTTAAACAGAGAGTTTTTGTCAGCACATTGGATTACACAGACTGGATCGGCAGGAAGTGGGCGGTACTGAAACAGCTTTTCTGATAGGAAAAATTTGAGTCCATTGATCGTGTGTCTAAATACAATAGTTTCCACATTTTAGTAAAATATTTGGGTTAGTTTTCAAGTGATTCCCTTGGCATGCACGTATATCATTAGTCACGTACTATTTCTTTATTATTTAGCATATAACTGTAGTTTTTTTATTGTGTACATATGACGAGAAGTATTTCTATAAAAGAAGCCATCCATCTTAGTCTTAGTATTAGCTTCTAATGACTCGGCCTGTTTTACTTTGAACAAGAGTCTGGTACCAAGGTGTCTGCGCAAGAAGGACTGATCTAGTGCCATTAATAGAAAGAGAAAGGTTAAAACTTTTGAGTTGTGCAGATCAGTTGAGGTACGGTATCTGAGATATTTTAAAATAGAGGAAAGCACATTTCTTTGTGGCTAAGCAGTTCCACACTACATCTTAAATGTCCCTGAAACTTTTATATGATTTAAAATAGTAAACTGCCAACATTATCCTGAAGGTATTCTCAAGGTATTCTCAGTTGTTGTGTTGGCAATGCAGTGTAGAGCCCTGAGTGAGGAGTCGCCCAAGATGAGGGTGAGACATGAAGACTTGTGGCACAGCAGTTCTGTTCCCCCACTCCAACAGCTGGCGTTGGACCAGCCGCTAGCCAACTACGATGTTCTTCTTCTGCTCTCCCAGTGTTGCCGGGCACTTCACATCATGGCCGCCTTCTCACTGCGCATCCAACGGCCCATCAACGCCTTCTTTGACTCCATAGTAAGTGAAGTGTTGTAAATTGTAACTCACTCTTTGATTGTTTCATACAGCATAGCATGTACGGTGTCATACAGGTAGTAAGGCCACCAATATAATAGTTCCCTAAAATGTATATAAACAACTTAATGATACTCTCATAAATTAAGGGTGCGCTCTACCTCAGCTCGGAAATCTCAGAACGATGTTCGAAGTGTCCGCCAGACTGCGCCGTGTCGGTGCAACCCAGTTGGAGGGGAAGTGGTGGGAGGAGCTAGGAGGTCGCAAGTTGACTGCTACGCTAGGCAGCACCCTGCGGAGCTCCCGACGCACACGCGCGCAAGCGCAACCGGGTTCTTATTCGCGCGTCCGCGTATCTTTTGTTTCTGCTCAACCTCCATCATGCCCTGCCACCGACACTCACTGGCAGCAACGTGACGTTCGCTGTCGCTCCCGTAAGCTTATACAGTAAAAAGTAAAACATTCCTAAATATTGAGTCTTGTATGTCATTATTGAATTAAAAAAAAATACTTTTGTTATACTTTGTAAAGTATCGGTACATTAAATTATAGTAATCTTTAGGGTTTTTTTTAATCAACTGTTATATTTATTTATTTTCTTTTGTTGATGTTTAAGATTTTCATTATTATTTAACTCTATTCCAACTGTAGCTATACTGTAATGGGCACAGAATCAGTCGGTATCTCACACATTCTTGGGGATTATAATTATGTAATTAATGTTTACAAAAAGAAAAAAGGCAATGGTGATGTGAAAATTTCATTTTTAAAGTATCTTTTATCACATAAAGAAAGAATCCACTCATTTATTTTTCATCGTTCATTATTAAAACCAATCATTTAAGTAAGGTTGTGTGGTTAACAAATAAAGCAATCTAAATGACAATGGTCCATTTGGTTCACATAAATAAGATGCCTATTTGCAGTATTCAAAGTCAATGTTACGTTGGGTTCACTTTAAGTCAGAGTTGCTTATGTAAAAACCGCAATAGATAGAAATATGCAGTTTGCGGGAATCATCTATTGACGTAGGGGGCCAAATTTTTTTTAATTCAACGTTACATTCACATTCCCCCCTCACCCCCTGCCCCCAACTTAATTTTTTTAAATAGCAAGGTGCCCCTTGTGACATATTAAATGAAAGAGTATTGCTGTTAGTTTTGTGGAATTATTACGAGTAAAATTTATTATAACAAACTTATGGAGTTTTGTTAGCAAATATAATCAATTTAATTACTTGCTCACACTTTACAGACTATGCATCAAAAGTAAATCTCAGAAGAAATTTAGTGATGTTATGAAAGAGTTCGATTTATTTATAACCTATTTGAGCATCGGCCAAAACAAAATATCACAATAATATTTGATCACATAAGCATGTCATCATTTGCTGATATGATCCCCAATTATTATTGAGAGACTTAGCAACAAGCAAGAATATACATTTTGGTTATATTACAGTATTGATCAATACAGTATGCATTCATTGATTCAACGATTTTTTTAAAACTATAGACTACAATAAGCAATAAAATGCATAAACATACGCTTGTAAATTTAGTTACCCATCCTTCGTAATGTAATGACGTATTTAATGTGTATTATGATAATTAAATGCCAGAAACTGAGTATCTAAATCCTGTAAACTGATGCCTAAATATCGTACAAACACCAGGCGGCCCGCTGTCAGTCGCGGGAGAGATTTTTGTTTACAAATATAAATCTGTTTAAAAAACACCTTTGTTCGTGTTATAAATCTGTAATATTGGTGTTATTTATTGTGTCACGACAAACACGATGGTATTTGGAATGGAATTTTTAGCGTCTTATTAACGATGTTAGCATACGTTTTAAAAATTAACAGCAGCATAAAAACTATTGCGAGTAAAAATTTTACAATGCATGGAAATGTTAACAATAAACCTACCAGTAAGCCATAATTCAGAAAGATTGGCTCAGTGATTTGTTTACAATTAAATTTTAAACTTCAGAGTTAGTGCAGAGTTTCTTAAAAACCGGTACTTTTTAGGATCTTTCAAGGTATTTACTCAGGGGAGGTATAGAAGAGGCTACGATGACAGCTGTGGGCTTCTCATTAGCTGAGGGAACGCCATTACCATAACAATACGAACTGACGCCATCGGCCTCGCTGATCTAGTGGTTAGCGTATCGCGTTGATATGCTGAAGTCCCGGGTTCGAATCCCGCTGGTACCATTAACTTTTTGTCCAAGATTTTTTCATTATCAGCAAGTTTGGTTGGTTTGGTTCGGTTATGACGGTTTAATTTTATTATTAAGTCATTATAAAATTTTAATTGAGCAATTTCTAGTTTTATTTAATAAACAGAATTATTTTGTCTATTACTAAACTTTTGTTATATTATTTCATCATCAGCAAGTTTGGTTAGTTCGGTTAGGTTATAATAGTTTAATTTTATAATTAAAAAATAATAAAATTGAATTTGAGGCATTTATAATTTTATTTTATGAACAGAACTATTTTTGCGATTAGTAAACCTTCTTTGCCAAAGTACTCTCTACTGTACTACAGCGCTGTTCACGGAGGAATTTTGAACTAATGCCTCATTCGTACCTCCCCTAAGTCAGACCCATCTTTCAACTATATAAATTTTTCTGGTAAACGGATTTTTTTATGTTGTTACCATGTAAAATTTATTTAAACCAGCTTATATTTTATTTTTGTTTCAACAAACTCGGATAATTCATCTAAGAGATATTTAGGCTCAAACTCTAGTGCACATATTTATTTCCCCGACAGTAGCCGGCCGAGCTCCTAGCGCCAATGCCGCACCAAGCGATTTTATGCCCATTTTTAATCGCTTAAAAATTATACAAGCAAACTCCGTATCAAAAAAAGCTTCATATAAAAATAAAATTCATACTTTAATCTAAAACTTTGCCGCAGGAATTTTTTTCCTGACCAAAAAATAAAAAAGTTCCTCGCTTACTACATTTTTCATGTTTTTAGTTGTGTTAAAAAACTATCATCAGTTTTAATTTGCCTAAATAAATTATAAAAAATATGTTTAGGTTAAAACAAACTATACAGTAAGAAGCACTGTCTTTTCCAGAAAATAAAAATAAAAATTTGAAATTTTTACGTTGGCAAATAAGTGAAGCAGGGCAGGTTGAGTGAAAGTATGTTTGTGTAAAAGACAGAGGTTCATTCGGCCCGACAGGGTATTTTATTTGTAGACCCATGTTATGACTTGTAGTGGATTTGAACTTGAAGTTGAATGGCTGAGTGGTCAATAGTCTAGCTAGAACATTTGAGGTATCAGATTCAAGTCCCCAACTTGGAGGGGTTAATTACAAAAATTTAAAAATGCTGTTTTAATACAGTACTATTGAGTACTGGTTTCCTTAACACGTTCGCTGCTACGGACGTTCCGGAACGTCAGCCGGGCCACGGCGCCAGGAGCTAAGAACGTTCCAGAACGTCACCGTTCATTGTTGTTTAACGTTGCTATGGATAAGCCAGCACGTCACAAGCGTTCTATATTTCTTTGCAGCTCGTGGGGACGTACTTTTCTGACAATAAAAAATATAGTTTCCCAAATCACCACCAGGGTTGTTTGGAACAGGGCTTTGTTTTACCTCTTTCCTGCTAGATAGCGACACTACTTTACCGACTGTAACCTGGGTAGTGCTGCTATCCATCAGAATCACTTAGTACTATATCAAATGCCAGTATTATTGCAGAACATTGCCATCCAGTATAACTACTGTTGTTTTTACTGTAATTCAGTGTATCGGTGGCAATGTCACGCAGCGGCCGAGCGTTAGTTCAGCAACTGGCGCCGTCCCGGCATCTAGCGCTCAGCAGCGAACGTGTTAAAACACTTTTATTATGGTTGTTATTACAACAATCTCATACCCGACGTTTATAAACAGACTTATATTTTGGTAAAGTTTTAAAGCTGTATCTGTGCAAGCAAGTTGCGTTGGCTGAGTATAACTGTTTACAAAGAGGACAGTATACTCATATGTGTAAAAACGGCGACGACGCAAAGATAGAACAGAATCAACCGAGAGGAGGGGAAATATCGATCGATGGCTGTGGTGGGAGAGCCGACGACAGGTTGAGCCGTTGGCCGCATGGCCGCGTCACTGCACGGCGCCTTGAAGAGCGCTTGCAAGCCTTTCGAGTCTGCGTGTTTACATAGTTATCAAAGAAACTTTTTAGTAAACTAATTCCAGGTTCTTGTTTTTAAGAATTTATTGCAGGTTTCCCGTTTTTTATTTTTTCTCTAAAAATTATTTTAGTGTATTAAAACTCATGATAAAAAACGCCTATTTTTACATCTTTCACCAACCTTTGAGACCAACTTTTTTTAAATTATCAAAATTTTAAAAAACGGGAAACCTACAATAACATTTAACAAAAAATATGACACCAAGATCTTTTAAATCGGTTCACAATTGGGGCTACAATCAGGAAGAACTAAAACCCTTACATTTGCGCGCGCCAGACGGGTAGAATGCACCCTTAAGGCGGGGACGCACTTGTCATACACCCTTCCGATCCGACTCCGATCATACTGTGGTACGACTGTCGGAGAGGGGAATGGTACATAACTTTAAACGTGGTTGTTTACACCTCTCCGACACGCGTCACGTCATACTCCGATCCTACTCCGATTTTGGCTCCGATCACGCACCGACACTGCAGTCTATTCGTTTGTCGGATGCAGGATGGGTTGTTTTTTTTAAATCACCTTTATTCTTAAGATTTAAGAATAATGGTTTAAGATAAATATATGCCGATGCTTGATGTGAAATCTGTGCGTGCATACCTTCAATTTGAGACCTCGATCATGAAAATCGGACGGGTAGAAGAGCCAATCGAACTCGAGAGAGAAAACCCAATGTGCTTAATATAGGATGGGCACTTAAGTAAGCCACCTAACTTTCTTTCCATACAGAATGAACCCAAATTCTTCGTTTTCCACTGCCCTTCAGAGATGTCTCACTTTCTTCCTCTTCATCTAGACAAACCGCCATCATGGGTGAATCCCGAAGTCCAAAGTTTTTGAACATTTTTACCACCTTCTGCACGTAGTTTACAAATCAGACTGGCAAGTGTTGATCGACCGGTGGAGGAAATCTGAGATGGGTCGGAATCGTGTATGACATGTGTGTTCACCCCCTCCGATCCCGCACCGATCCTTCTGGAATCCCGCAAATCGGATCGTAGTAGGATCGGAAGAGTGTATGACAAGTGTGTCCCCGCCTTTAACACCCAACCCCAATACACAATTCAGTACCATTGAGAAATTAGAAATCACATTTAAATTTTCCTCTTAAGAAAGAGGTCAAACTCCTTGAACCAATGGGAAGTATGTGTCCTCCTTTTGCTGGTTCATATCTGACTGGAAGGGCCATGATGTTTGGATGTGTTTGAGAGTTAATATGACAAATTTAAGTTTGTTAGGTAATGTAGAATATTAAGAGGTATGGATCTAGACTAAACTTGTAATTGCAATCATTTACAGCTTGCTTCCAATTTTTTATTTAACAGAGGACATGTCTTGTATGTAAAGTAATAGCTTTGGATGAGTTAGTAAGTGTAAAGTGTGAGTAAGTGTAATTGATTTCAAGTGATTAGTGAGAGATATTGAAGGAGAGGTCGGATAAAATACCATTAGCAATTGAAATTATGTGTTTAGTAGTTTAGTCTGCAAATTAATCTAACATAGTATAAGTACTACTATCAGTCAGGGTCACATTTAAGTTTTATAATGTTTTTGCAGGGCCAGAGTGTGCTATTTGCTGACATCAGTGCTCACATACAACTGCCCAACCACGTGGTGGATACAGCTCTCACTGACACCAGGACACAGTTCCTGTTGAGGGCAATCACTGCTGCCATGGCAACCATCACACACCACAATGGGGTTAGTCCTAAAAAACTTTGATAAAAATATTGTATTTCAACCTCAGTGGCTTATATTTTTTGCCTCATAAAGTGGCCAATGGCCATTAGTAAGCCAGTAGATACGTGGCCTCATCAATTGCCTCTCCAGTAGGTTCGATCTTCAGCATCCTCCTAATTAAGCCCAACTTTCTTATACTCCTCTGAATCAGGTCTCACCAACTCGATATGAGCCTTCCAGCTAGTCTTCTGCGTCCAACAACATACCTCAATGTTCTCTTTTATCAATCTAATGATCGAGTTCAGTATAATGTTTTGTTCAATAACTGATAATATCTTATATACATGACAGTAACATTTTAACTGTTCGTAGGAGTACAACATGAGCATGGCTGTTGATTGGATGAAGCAGTGTTTATTGCTGGCTGCTGATTGGTCTATACCGGCAGATCCCTTGAGACGACAGCAGTGTTACGAGCTCTATGCAAGGGGCTATGATCGGTTGGCGGAGGAGGTAGGTATCACCTTGTGTTGAACTTTGAGTAGAAATAAAACAACAGCCATAGATAGCTAAGGAGGACTTTAGGAATATAAACACTTCAGTTAGCTTAAATGAGAATGAGTCCAGTGGCTGAAGTTGTGACAAATAAATTAACACAAAACATAACTCTGATACTTCCTAATATAAGAGTTCTACAGAAAGTTGATTAATGGGCGATGTCAGTTAAAATTCGAAACTTTAGTAGTCTGAAGCATTGGCAGCTGTGAATATAAACAATATATAAAGAACGGTTTGCTGAGTCAAAACAATTCTTAACCAGCCATTTGGCTTACCACTAAGACACAATTCAGTTTCAGGCCTTTGACATTTATTGGAAAGAAGGCCACTTCCAACAACACAACAGTAACAGGATCCAAAATCCTTCTACGCAGTGGCAGTATACAAAAAAAACCTATAGATGTAAAATACAACCTACTGAACTACGTTTTGTCAAATTAGCTGTACAATAATTTTATATTTTTTTACTACAAAGAAACACCTCTATACAACATTTATGAATCCTCATATTTGGAATCTAAATAATGTTACATTTGTATGAATATGGAATAACATAATCTTACATATAATATCGCAGGTGATTCCATCAGTAAATGATACATCATTGCTGGGCTCTCAGCTGTTGACTGTGGTCGGACACAGATTACGTCATATCATGGCCGAGAGCAGCTCCCAGTTGAAGGAGCAGATCGCTCACATGAGTCCGACACTGTCCTCTTGGATATCTGGACTGGTATGTACATGAGTTGGGAATTAATGTTTACCGTTGTATCCTTATTCCTTGAATTAGGGCCCCTGCTTTTCTAGTGCTATCTATGTGGAATGAAAGATTCTTTAATATATAATAAAAATTCAACATTATGTTGACTCGAATTTGGTCATATCATCCAACTCAATAGAGCAAACAGAAATGTTCGCTTATGTAGAATTGGAAAGTATCGGGAATTATCTTAATAACCATAACTTGATGATGTATTTACAAAAAACGAAATTTATGAATTTTAAGACAAAACAAAATAGACAGAAGGAGCCAATAACAATAAGCTATAACTTACAAAATATTGATGAAGAAATTAATACCAATTTTTTGGGTTTAACACTAGATCAGCACTTGAATTGGGATAAACATGTCCACAAAATTTTAAGTAAAATTAACCCTCCAAGTGTCCATAGTAATGGTATTATTGTCTGCTCATTTATTGCGAAATTGCAGGGTTTTATTAAAATGTATCTTAGAAACTTAAAAACAATGTAAAGTAAAAGTATACTGTTTTATATATAATTTTGTTTGGGAAATTATGGGCTTCAATGTAATATATAAAACATTACAAAAAAAGATTTCAAAAATTTTTGTGGGGTTAACATTTCTCAAAAATTATAAAAAAAATGAGAAAATTTATGTTTGCGCTCAATAAACTTATATAACTTATAAGTCTACAAACATTTTAAAATAGCCACTTTGTTCTAAATTTTATAAGGATTACAAAAATATAATAATATAAGGAATTGAATTTGCAAATAAATAAGTTATGGGTGAAAAACAGATTTCGTACATTTAGCGTTAGCTAAGAATGCATAGCCGAACCATAGCTAGGAATCTGGCTGATAATTTACATCAATATCACTACCTACTTCTTCAGGATCATCAACCAGCCCTTCAAAATCACTTAAATCTTCTTATAATGCACCACGTATATCACTACTTTTTATTTTTAACACTAAAACAATGATAAACGTAATAAAACACATCAGTCATCGGTGCGAGGTTAACCAAGCTGTTTACAATTACGCACGTCAGCTGTCTGCTACAATATTTTCGGAACTAAAATGAAAAGCGTCTAGAAACAGACATCAGGAGAAAGCTTAGAATCTGCCGAAAATAACGATACCAATCTCGATCCAGTTTAATCTGATTCAGTCAGTCTCAGAGCCTTCGCCGTAAACGATGTTTATGTATATGTATATGTGTTTATGTATGTATGTGTTGCAAAAGCGACGCATAACACCACGGCGGGTGTGTTGTGCGTCGATTACGTGATGCTTAACACTCGGAGGGTTAATTCCAGGATTCATGCTTTATCAAGTATGTCTTTTTACTGTGATTTAAAACCTTTAAAAATATATATTTTGCACATGTGCATTCACATATCTTGTTTGGCATAGCTCAACAAAAATATGTAATCTAGATAGCATTTTAAAGGAGCAAAAAAGAGTAGTTAGAATCATGCTTAAGCTATGCAGCGTGATGAGTCAGCTAAAGAAAGTTTTAAGGTCCTAAAAATCTTTACTGTTTACGGGCAGTATATATATGAATCAATAATAATTGCAAAAAAACAAGAAGTATATTCGGAACCAAAAGAAAAATTCCATTCTTATAATTTAAGAAATAAGAATGAAAATGTACAAACCACACAGGACTAATTTTTTTGAAAAGAAACCATCTTATGCAGGTAATAGATTTTTAAAATTTATTCCAAAAAATATTAAAAATAAACGGTATCAGCATTCTGACACATACTTTCTCCCATAAGTTTGTCAACAACCTTTATCATGTGTAAGCGGTGAGAGTAAATATACGGAAATGGGATTTGTACAATTTTCTTCAGAATTTAAAGGACTATAACATACTAAATTGTTATCAAAATCGTTCGGGCCAATTTTGGGGAAATCTGATTTTCCGTTATTTTATGGGGTTTTTATGGGAAAATAACATAATTTACAATAACTTTTGAATCGTAATTTTTACAGAAATGGGATTTGTACCATTTTGTTCAGAATATAAAGGACTATAACATACTAAATTTTTATCAAAATCGTTCGGGCCATTTTTGGGAAAATCCTATTTTTCCGTTATTTTATGGGGTTTTATGGGAAAATCCCCATTAAAAATAAAAATTTCTAAAAAGTGAAAAAAAAACTATCAAAATTGTAAGGACCATAACATACTATGTTAAATCAAAACCGGATCTTTGTCTAAAACCCTATTTTTCGTTATTTTATGGGTTTTTATGGGAAAATAACATAATTTACCATAACTTTTGAACCGTAATTTTTACAGAAATGGGATTTGTACCATTTTGTTCAGAATTTAAAGGGCTACAACATACTAAATTTTAATCAAAATCGTTTGGGCCATTTTTGAGAAAATCCGATTTTTCCTGTTTTTTATGGGTTTTTATGGGAAAATCCCCATTAAAAATCAAAATTTCAAAAAAATGAAAAAAACGCCTGGAGATACCATGGATTAGAACCTACATACCAAATTTCATCGAAATCGGACCACAGGTGTAGTCTCTAGCTCTGTACACATCCAGACACACAGACACACACACACACACACACACACACACACACACACACAGACATCACTTCGAAAACCACTTTTTTGGGTCCAGGGGGACCCAAAACGAATATATCCACTCAAAACTCAAACTCGAAAATTTTGACGAAAACAATACTTTCTCCATATACTATGGTATAGGGGGAGAAAGTAAAAACAGATTCAAACAAATTTTAAAATACCCCCGCCGCAGCAAACCTGCAGACTAAGCGAATTTCCATTTGCCTGATTGGATTTACACTAAAATGTCTCCTTAAAAATATCACATTTATTCCCTATTTAAATAGAATCAGTTTAACACATACTTAGGTTTGCTGCAACAGGGAGGGTAAAAGTGTTTTTTATGTAAATTGTAATAGTTAGTAAGAAATAAAAACATTTTCCAAATTTGGGCAAAAAATGTTAATAAACAAGCAAACTACAACAGTTTACTTATTCTCCATAAGAATAACATGGGATTTTAAATTTACAATTTTTTGGAATTTTCTCCGTAACCATTAGGCGCATTATAACGTTTCAATATACTAAATTATTTGTTTTTTTGAGCTCTACAAAATAGTTTGAAAAGAAATTGCAAAATTTTATGTTTTTTGGGTCAAAAATGGGAAAACCCCATTTTTACCCCAAAAGCCCCCATAAACCCCCATTCCCATGGTCCGATCATGCTGGTTTGCGAACTCGTTCGAATAAACTTAGGTTTACACGTTTGTACCAAATTTCATCAAAATCGGATCATTTTTGCTCGAGTTATCGCGCTAACGGACACATATATAAATATATATATATATATATAAATACTAGCTGACCCGGCGAACTTGATATCGCCTAAGTTATAGGTTTCCCCTAAGACAGACCGATGGAAAGAAAGTACCGTTACGTTTAATTTTCAAGATGATCTCGTTCGCATCGCTCAATCACGTCCTGGTTGAAGTTCGTTCGCTACGCTCACTCACCTTTGGGTTGGAGCTCGTTCGCTACGCTCACTCACCTTTAGGTTGGAGCTCATTCGCTGCGCTCACTTGCCTTCAGGTTAGCTCGTTCGCTACGCTCACTCGCCTCCAGGTTGAAGTTCGTTCGCTAAGCTCACTCACCTTTAGGTTGGAGCTCGTTCGCTGCGCTCACTTGCCTTCAGGTTAGCTCGTTCGCTACGCTCACTCGCCTCCAGGTTGAAGTTCGTTCGCTACGCTCACTCACCTTTTGGTTGCAAATTAGCTGTTGTCATAAATATAAAAGAAATAATAGTGCTGCACCCTGTTGGTAATCCTTGTAACTTTAATGCTATTGAACATCATAGAACAGAATCAACTTGTTTAATTGAAACAGCTGTTAAGATTCATTAATTCCATTTCTCATAAGGTTAACATGGGAAACTCCAGAGCCACTGGGGCGGAGCCCTTTTAAGAATTTCGAAACGGGAAATAGTTTACGTCCGATTCGCATACCTACAGAATTTAATTTATACACCAAATTTCATTACGATCGGTGAAGTCGTTCCGGAGGAGTTTGCAGACAAACACTGTGACACGAGAATTTTATATATTAGATATATATATATATGAATTTGAACGGATGGTGTTTTTGGCCTCTAGGGACCTCAAAACGAAAAAAAAAATCGGTCCCGGGTCCAGGTCTTACCATGAGTACTACGGTAATAGCTTATTCCCTATATAGGAAATTCGCTAAAAATATTGAAAGAGTTTTTAATAAATTTAGCAATTTATTCTTTTGAAGATTTTTTCACATCCCTCAGTCGCCATGATAGTTAAAATTATCTTACTAGATTTGTAAAATGTATTTGTTGTTTTTATAACCATTCCTCATGTTTTGCTGTTTTTTATCCTGGAGAACTATTTTGACACTATTTATTGTACAATGTACATAAAAACAAATAAAGATATTTTAATTGAATTGAATTGAATTAGTAATGGTAACTCCACCTTAAACTTAGAAAAGGTTATTGAAATTATTATCGACCTATGAATAAGTTTTGGCAGAATTTCACCAAGTCATGTTTTGACGATGAAGTATTCAAGAATCAAGAATTTATTCACCATTAAATATAGAATAATATACAATAGGTGTCGTCAAAGTATTAACCCAAATCAATCGATAATGTCTTGAGTGTCACAGCTCAGGTACTCTTCAGTGGTATAAAATGACTTAACATATAAATAGCTAACTCGCCTGATGAAAGGTTGCAGATGAGTCAAAGAACACATAAAAGACACACATAATAATACTTGATTTTTCGCCTCTTTCAGAGGCTTCTTTAGAAGTAGGCCTAGATGGCAGTTACAAGAACAACTACTTCTTATCAAGTATTATTATGTGTGTGTTTTATGTGTTCTTTGACTCGTCTGCAACCTTTCATCAGGTGAGTTAGATGTGTCCTCTCCATCCTATATATTTATTTAATCCAAGCTAAATGCTTTTTCCTAAAAACTTAACATATAAATAACAACATATAACATATAAATAACATATAACACTTGCTAATATTGAATTCACAATAAAATAGTAAACAAATATAACGAGTTGTAGATAGGTTTATGTTTTTTCATTTAATTTTAAACCATCACCTACTTGGAGGTTGATAAACCCAGCAGAATTTCATTAGGACCAAGTCTTACCTTCCATTCTGTCTGGCAGGAACCATTCCGGAATTGGACTGATTTTTAGGGGACGTCCGCCAATTGCTGTTGATCAAGCGTGTCATCTATTGATCTTTTATTACTATCCGTGATGCAAAATATCCACAGTAATTTTTTGAATATCAAAAACGTACTATGAATAAAAGTGTTGTTTGTTTCAGGCTGAAGCGACTGTGGAGCCGTCCAACATAGATGACACTCTGGAGTTGGTAGTGGTGGTATCTAGCTTGGTAGAGGAAGAGAGTCAAAGCAAAAGGATAGCAACTCAGCTGCTGGACTCCTTAGCTCCTATTGTAAACAAAGGTTTGAAACTCTCCGAGCGCCTAGAGTCGATTAGCCTATTAGCCTAAGTATTGGTCAATAATCATCATAAAACCAGTGAATACAAAATGTGGCTATAAAATATTAAGAGATAACGAGACTGGTTTCATTAAAGATAAACTGCGTTAGCCGCAAGGCCGACCATATTTGTGTATCGCCTGTCCCCCCTCCACATTCTGGCCTGTTTTACGACACTAGGTTACTTATTTTGGCCACAGTCTTTGTTTTTAGCGAATTTCCCTATAGGGAAGTAGCTATTACCGTAGGTGGCACGGTAAGACCTAGACCCGGGACCGATTTACTTTTTCATTTTGATGTCCCCAGAGGCCAAAAACACCATTCGTTCAAATTTTTATATATGTATATATATATATATATATATAGACATATATATATATATATATACGTCCGTGAACGCGATAACTTGAGTAATTTTTGTCCGATTTTGATGAAATTTGGTTTAAAGGTGTAAAGCGGGATAAACTTGAATGAGTTCGCGAACCAGCACGATCGGTCCATGGGAACGGGGCTTTACAGGGGGTTTTATGGGGTAAAAATTGGTTTTTCTCACTTTTGACCCTCAAAACACAAAATTTCCCAATTTCTCTTTAGACCTTTTTAAAGAGCTTAAAAAAACAAATAATTTAGTATATAAAAGTATTTTTTTTATTGTTAGTAACAGAGAAAATTAAAAAAATTGTAAATTTAAAATTCCCATGTTATTCTTATGGAGAATATTGTCAAATGTTGTAGTTTGCTTGTTTATGGACATATTTTGATCAAACTTGCCAAATTTATTTATTTTGTACTAAGCTATCAATATTTTACTCAAAAACACACTTTATTAGTTTCCTTGTAGCAGCAAACCTAGGTACTCGTTAAACCTAATGTTATTAAAATATATTTAACTGAAAATCAATTCAGACAAATGGAAATTCGCTTAGTCGGCAGGTTTGCTGCGGCGGGGGTATTTTTTCAGATCACCTCTCGTCAGAATGCTATAAATATAAAATTTAAAAAATAACATGTCATTAAACCTTGATGTTATGTTGCAGGTAGACTAACTAATAGATGAGAGTCGTCTGATCTCCCTTGTTTGCGGAAGCTTGGCTGAATCTCCCATTGCATTTAACTTCCAATTCCAGTCTACTTTGATATACAGTTTGAGAAAAAAACTTTGCCACACACTTTGTGGCAGTCAGTTAGTTTTGATGATTAAATATAAACCACCATAAAGACGTTAATAATAAACATTCCTTTTGTAAACATGTGCTTTAAGATACACCAGTTAATAGTCAAAGCTAGAAATGGATTTCAGAAGTGTAATTTGATTAATTTTAACCTTTAACACCACTATAAACAAAAAAATTGGTAAAGTAAGCATATTGAAAGAGCAAATAGTTTTCATTAGGTAGTGAAAAAGTTATGTTTAGCTGTTTATGACTAAGACATTTTGGTTAGATGCAAACAATCCTATACCTTGTTAGTTTATGACTTCCGCAGCTAAAATATATACTTATTGTTCATAGACAAGTATGCCAAACGGTATGAGCACACATTTAACATTATATTACTTTAATTTACATTTTATTATGTAGTATGTTATTTTATACCAAATGAATTTTTAAGTTGGTTTTATTTTAAAACATTTTTATTTGTAATGCTGCATATTATCACAAGTTTTATCACAGTTTCTCTCAGCAATTCTAAATCTTTATCAAATCCTTTGTCACAATCAAATTTCTAGTATTTGAATATTGTTTGTCTAGTCTACTTAAAAATATTTATACATAATTATAAAAAGAAAAGTTAAATTCTTACATGTAAATAAAAATTGTTATAAATCAATGATAAATATATACCTTTTTCGATTGTTAGTTGGTTATTTTTACTAAAAAGCCTCTACCCCAACAAATAAGTTATAATATGCTGATATTTTGAGTTTATGATATGTTAAAAATGCTGTGTTTTATAGTGTTAAGGATTTTATTATTATAATGATAATGTTTGACCTAGATTACTTTTACTACGATTAAATTATTTGCTTGAACTTTCATAATGACAGTGTCTTTTAAAATCGACCAATTGGAATCTTATTTTATACAACAAAATATCTTTGTCAATGATTCTTGAACACATTGCCAAGAATTTTTAATATGATGCAACTGGCCAAAAAACTGTCCAGTGACTTTGTTTAAGTTTTTTAGCTCTATCTTTATTTATTTAAATATTTAGTTCCCCCCAGAACAATTAAAGCATCAAAAATTGTTCAAAAATTTCCGTTCTTGTTCTTAACCATTTGTAACTTTGTAACTGTTCAATTTTATAAGAACATGAAGAGGACCATTCTTGTTTGAAATTTATTGTAGATAATTTTTGTAAATTGCATATTTTGCGCTAAACGACATGGTTTTTGAGATATTTAATGAAAACCAAAAAACAACCACTTCAACTTATACTCCCCCTCGCCGCCAACCTGACGCTCAAAATGGTGTCACTTTTTACTGAATAACTTCTTGATCAGCATTGTACGTGTTATTTTTGGATGTTGAGGTTTAGGTCTAATTGCACGGCACTATTATAGTCACAAGACGATGCTTGGCTAAATTAAATCACTAGATCATTTATTATACACAAGGCATTCAAATAAAAGAAGTAATACAAATCTCTTTATTACATGCTCAACTTACGTAAATATTACATAAAAGCGGTAACATTATATAGACTAGTTAGACTATTAGCACATAAATAATATAACTGATGGCTAATTTGTTACTGAGCGTTTACATTTACTACAAAAGTGATATACCAAGGAGCTATAAACATTTTCTTAAAAGTCCTCTCGCAAAAAATACCACTACTTTATGATGTTTATAAAAATATTTGATCTTTTAGTAATTTTCTCTCAAATTTTGATCCATAAAATGCATACAAGGTCTATGCTTTCGAACAATGTTTATTAAGGTAACTACCGACATCACGCATAAGCACAACACTAAAGGATCACAGTAAGCAATCTTAAAGAAATTGTAAATGACTTGTTCATTTCACAAAACCATATGATGAAAAAACAATCCAAAAATACTTCGAATGGAACTAAACCTGTAAATAGTTTTAAGTAAAAACAATACCTGTAATAATAACAATATGAATACACATATAGATTGGATCAACGGTGAAAATGTTATAGGCTAAAAGAAAAATAATACAGTTAACGGTATGTAAATACTAAATATACTACTCAAACCAAATAAAATGATGCAGCACAAAGAAAATTTATCCTCAAAAATGTTGTAACCATTTTTGCACCACTTACAAATTGCAAAACCATGGAGAGAGCTTGTGACACGTAAGTTGGCACTTGACCGATCGCTACTAGCCTATTCAAAAACATTTTGTGCCGTCATGGGGGTTGCGTCAACTGTCCTCGGGATCCACGTGAAGGTGCTCAAGTACACCCCGGGAGTCAGCAGAAATGTTTGCAGTCCGGTCTTTTCCTTACCCCCACCCTCCCCCCGCCTACACTACCCGCGTTAGGTCCAGCTTACATGTCACAAGCTGTATTTTAAAAATTTCAGTTGAAGACTTGCATTTATGCAGGTATAGATTACGCAACCCTGTGGAATGTAGTTTAAAAGATAATAAAAAAAAATATATAATACTAGTAAAAAAGACGACTTAAAAATATTGTACACTAATGCCCAATGTATTTAGTATTATTGAAACCTAAGTAACCTAATGGAAAGAGGCATAACCAGGATGGAAGACAGAATAAATTGCAATCAACGAGTGGAATTATTTCACCAGGAATCAAATCAATAAATGATTAAAAGTTATTGTTAGATTGGAAACTACCTGTGCTGATGATACATTAACACATCATGGTACAAGAGATTAGTCCAGATTAAGTGTCATTGTAAAGTTATATCAACTCTGTGTTATTTAGGCCAGTAATATCATTACGCAAAATCATTTATTGCTATCAATCAATGTTCAGAGGAGATAGGTCTAAGGTGAAGTTTTAGAATGCAACTAAAATACAAAAAAGAATTTTTGCATGATTCTTTTTTAAGGTAAAACATTCATCTCATTTCCCATGCAAATTTAAAAAATCCAAATTTGGCCCTTTCTACTTCCAATTTCAGATATTTTTGACCAAAAATGTTAAATAATTTAAATTGATATGACTTAACAGCTAATAGAAAACAATTCTAGCACCCTGGCACCGTCCATAAGCGAATGTAACAATCTGGAATGAAAATGACATAGTAGTATCATTAGGGATCCCAGACGTCCTCTTTTTCCCGGACACGTCCTCTTTTTGGGTACAAAAAAAACGTCCGGGGGGATTTTTGGCAATACTTTCAAATGTCCGGGATTTTGACTTTGTGAGAAAATAAAAAAATATTTCTGCAAGTATTAATATTAGCAATCAGCTTTTATAATTAATCGTCATCATAACATTAAACTAAGTTAAAATACTACACTTTAATAATATCTTACGTATAAAAGTGTCATTTCCTCTTTCTTTAGGTAAAATTTCGTGTATAACGTAGGCCTACGCTAGAATCCATTGGAAATACTGTAGAACAAAACAGAACGGAAGGCGAAACTGAATAACTCTGCTCACTAGTAGCCAGTTTGCCAGGCCAGTAGCATACTAGCGACCGTCGGCCGTCGACCAGTGACTAGCTCTTCGTCTGCTTACTTGCTTACTTTACGTTACATGTTACATGCCTACTTAAAAAATAATTATCTTACTTTTTAATTTGTCCGTGTTGATCGTCCCTAGGGCCTACTCTAATGCCGAAAAGAAAATGTGTATTTTCAGAAAAGTTGAAAGAAAAGTTTACTTGTTTTAAGCGTGGTCGACATGAACTGTTGCTTGCTGGGCAGGTATAATGCAGTCGTGTTGGGTGCTAGTTCTTAAACACTTCTTAGATAAAATAAGTTCTTTGGTTCAAAATCATGGTCTGATTTTGGACAATTTCTGTTTAGCATGCACATTGGCACCAGGGTGTTTTTGTAAATCAAACATGCTTGAATGTGTTGTAATGTTGCGGTATTCCTTTGATATTAAAACCACAAGTCTCAATAAAAAAACATGACATTATACGAGTATAAGTTTATTTTTTAACATTTCTTGACCTTTAAAAAATAAACTGGGAAGCTTGAACACATTAAACTAGGTCCTCAAAATAGCTTAAAAAGTACTAATTTTAGCACGTTATTTCCAAATTTTTTCCGGGGGGGCCCCCGGACCCCCCTTCTTTGCTGGGGGGTATTCCAAGGCCCCCCGGTGACTCCCCCCCCCCAAATATATGTCTAGGACCACCCTTGGTGAGTAATTTTGTCCTCTTTTTTGATGGAGGGTCCCTGGGAACCCTAAGTATCATAGATTAAACATACTATGTTTAATCTATGGTAGTATCAATAAGAATTAATAGATTCTAAAAAGGTACCTAGGTTAGTCAAATTAAATACATTATTTATCAATATATAGGCCTAACAGTAAGAAACGATATCAGTAAGTACTAACCATAAAAAAAAATTATCACAGACAGATTTAGCACTGAAAATCATTGTTTAGAGTCCTCTAAGGTAATTCATCAAGAAACATGACGAAATTGATTACATTAAATAAATCAATAAAATGTATCAAATCTAACCTCTAAGGTTAATTAAACTCATAGATATGATATTGCAAAGAAAGCAGTTGGTTTCACTATCACAGCCCTAGCTTAAGTGTGGTGGTTTTGTAAACAAGAACAACGTCAATAAAAGGCGACATTACAATCTGCTGGTAAGCTTGATGCACTAGTAAAAGTTCAAATGTGACTCTTAAGAATAGAAACACTTTGTTAGACTGTGTTTGTATTGAAAAAAGGTGCAAAAAATAAAAGGAATGTGATACAGGTTGAACATTACAGAAAGCTAAACACATGTATATTAAATTCCTTTGGGAAAATACAAACATTACTTGAGTGATTACTATTTATTTTATAAGCAATCCTTACATCTTTGTTGCATTTTGATCTTAGAAAAGTCTTTACGTATTTTAAAATTCAAAACTGAAATTACCACAGACAGGTATCACTTACTATTTCAACGATTCTACCAACTTTGATGTGAATTGATCATTAGATTTTTTTTGTAAATAAAAGACAATACCATGTAACCCTGTAAGCATAAATCCCTATTCCAAGTTCTTTTATAATTTATTTACAACTAAGATGTCCACCTAATAGACATCTTTTGTTTCGGCTGGGACAAAGAACTAAACAGAAACAGGGAAATGGTTAAAACCACACAAACATTTGGTACAAATTCTTCACAAGTTTTATCCTATAACATCCGTAATAGCCACTCAGAAATTGATTTAAGTTGATTCCTTAAACACCCTTTTATACTTTGAAAGACACAAACTTAAGTACTGTATTCAATTTAAGTAACATTAAATGTAAATATTAATCAACATTAAATATCTATTAACAAGAAATAATACTTCCAGTAAAAAAATACTGTAAAAATAATATTTAGTCAATAGACAATCACATGCGGTGTGCTATACATAAACATAAATCTACGATACTTTGGTTACACTTAATCACTAGATCTCTCTTTGGATTTTACATACTTCTTCTTGATAAATTTTACTATGTAGAAGACAAATGCTAGTGAAATTAAGTACAAGGAGAAGCAACAGCATTTCACCGCTATTTTGGGCTTTCCATTGAAAACCACACAATAAGTGAGGTATGAGCCAATTCCGAGACGCACAACTACAAACGAGATGACAAACAGTATCTCTACCAGTGTGTGGATTAACGATTTGTTGTATCCGGCCGTCCGCAGAAACCATCTAATCTGTAGCAAGGGGTTGGTCACTTCTAGACTTAGAATTCCAGCCACCTACACAAAATAGAAAATTAATTAACCACTTTGCTAACTTTGAATTCACCCACATCATTGAAGTCGGCTTTGAGTGTGGATCAAGTAAAGCATGGAAGAAGTGAGTAATATACAGTAAATTACCAAAAAATAAGTATTGAGAAATGTCCAATCCCTAGGCCTACTCATGTTATTTTAAGACCGAACTTTAGGAATATTCCAACTCCAACTATAAATAGCAATAGCAACTGGATTGTTTTTGAAATAATAAAAACAATTTGATGTTTAAAATGCTCTTTCATCTCTTGGACGCAAGACACAAGCCTTCAATACAGTAACACAGATTTCAAATTATGTAGCCTAATCAATACTTACTAAATATCACTAATATGATTAGATTTTTCTGTTGACTTTTGGATGCCAAAATATGATTTTCTCCTTAGTTTTTGGCACTATGATACAAAAGAAGCTATAGTTTCCAATAAGTTATCCTTTCAATTTGGATTACTTAAGAAATTATTGTGTGCACTTAAAAATTAGGCCTAGTAATTGACATCAGTGCATTATATTGGTGGCCCACTCAACTGGGCCCAGCTTCAACAAGGGAATGGGATGTCTGCTACTACAATATTTTAAGATGTTTCTGTATTCAATCAACACCAATATGCAAGTTACAGTAAATGTTGATTTCAATTGAACACTCCAACCATGATCAGGCGAGATTCGTATTTATTGTATTGTACAGTACTAATTGTAAAAATCTTACAGCTTCCCCTCCAGACGTTCGTCCCAACAGGACCATTCCGATGGAGACAAGGCTGGCCAGATGATGGAGTAGCATGATGGCTGGCTCTGTCTGGTGGATTAAACACCAGCCAAGGTCAAACCAGAAGTAGCCTAGACTGACTGTCAGAGTTACATCTTGTAGCAGAGTGTTGGGCTCACCTAGGCAGAAAGTGATACTACTATCTATACTAATATATAAAAATGATATGGTGTGTGTTTGTGTGTGTGTCTGTCTGTTACTTAATAACGCAAGAACCAATGAACCGATTAAAATAAAATTTTGTATGGAGGTAGCTTATATACCTGGTTAACATATAGGCCAATTCCTGTTATTATATTTTCCTTGGGCTACGCCCAATGGGCTTCCAAAGTTTAAATAGTAAAACGTATTAATTGAAGTCAGCTGTAATAAGAGTTTCAATTGAGTTATGCTCCTGAAACCAAATGGGAATATGTAACAATTTTATACAAAATCAGAATTCAAGATCAATTTTTTTCGCTTCAGTGTCTTCTCTGTTGCGAAGCACGGGTACAACAGCTAGTAACTACATAGATATCTAAAAATGGATAATACAGTACTTCTAATCATTTGTACGCTGGACAGAAACTGAAGGTTTATGTTTCTTCCATTTTACAGTAGGTGTATATAAGCCTACTAACTTTTGGAAAAATCAGAAAGTTAAAGAAGGATTTTAATTGATTTTTTAAACCAAAGTAAGTGAAAACTTTATGAAAAATTTTAAAAATAATGGTTTACAGAAAGTGTTAAGGTGTTAACTAACACGGTATTATAGTCCTTGCTACCCTAACTTGAGGCAGTCCAAGGCCGCAATAGATATACGGCGTGCGACCTTGGGTTGCCTCAAGTTAGGGTGGCGAGGACTATAGAGGGGGCTATCTCAGTACTTGGAGGTAAGTTGGTCATTCAAAATATCTGTCTGTAACTTACAGTAGAGAATATTTCTCAGAAGTCTGACACATTCCATAAAACCAAGCAGCAAAAAACATTTTGTGAGTGTGAGATGGGTAATATATTGTGCATTACTGCATTTTATACATGTAGGATATATTAGAAGATATTGTGCTAAAATAGTAGGAGTACTTTTTTTTAAAGGTTGTTTGTGGTAGCCTAGGCTAGACAATTTTTGATAAACCAATGTACAGTATAGACTTTCTTTTACCCTTGACAAAAAGAGGTTTGAAATTTGTTGTTAACAATAAAAAAAAAAAAACTCCAGTAGGCGGAACCTCTACGGAAACTCCATCATTTTCTATAACTTTACAAAGACCTTACTTAGCCTGGATAAGTTAAGTCAGACAACATAAGTTAGACTGTTAACTGACTACAAGTTACTGTATACTTATCGCGACATGTAACATTTGCGTTTGTTACATAATTCACACATAATTTAAGTTACCAAATTACATTATTCATTTGTATTAAGTACAGCCATCTTTAAAAATTCTGATTACATATTTATATGTTTGAACATGGGCAAATCCATTAGGATTTTTTATTATTATTTTAAGACAGAATTTAACCCAGCTACTGAAAGTTAAGGATGTACCATACAGTACAAAAAATAATATGCAGAGTGAATATCATTTCAGTTAAGTGGGAAATAAACATAAAGGTAAAAGAGCTTAAATAACTTCACAGTGAGCCGGTACATTTCCATTGCATGTCAGGTCCAAGGCCAAGTGACGTTACGAGTAGTGTATAAGGATAGATATGCTACGCCGTCGCCATATCGAGTCACCCCCCACCACAACGCAATGTCGCCGGCGCCACAGCCTGAAGCTCCGTTTAGTTAGTCTTCATTCCTCCTCCTCAGTGAGTTCCGTGTGATTCAGGATGTCAGACAGTGTGGTTAAATGGTTTATTTTGTGTTTGGTCCAAGTTAAACAAGCATTGTTCCATCCGCACTGCAGTATTGTTTGCTGTTTAGTAATATTTATTAAAATAATTTACAGAGATGTTACATTGTATATAATATATTTTTTACGAAACAAAATGTTTTCCCAATATAAGTGCGTGAATGTGACTTTTTCAAGCATTAAAAATGTGAAAAATTTTTTGGGGGAGTGGGCTTACCCCTCGGCTTGGTATGTAGCCCCCCCCCCCCTTTAAGACCGGCTGGATCTGCCCATGGGTTTGAATTACTGTATCTAGGTACTAAGCCTACAAAGGAAATTGTGGGAGGTACCTACAAAACTCTAATCTAAGATACGTTATGTAAGATACTCTATTAAAAGTTAACTCCGATAGAATTTGTGATCAAAATTAATAAAACTCGTGGTTACCTGGGTATGAATATGGATCAGGTCCTTGCCAATAGCACAATGCAGACAAAACAACAGCCACAACAGCATGAACAAGAGTTACTATTCGGCAACAGACTTCTGCCATCTGTTTAAAAACTTTTGAACGGACGAGACACAAGTACATCACTGTCCAACAAACAGCACTGCTAGTCACAGCAAGACAGATACTACTGAGGTTGAACTCGTTGGATGACATTTTTGGGCTGAAATTCAGATAAAATAGTCGATTATATGTCTCATTATCTTCAGCTCAAACCCTGAGGAGTTCTACTTAGTCATGGCCTGGTTGTGCACCACCAACTTAGGCCCACTGGGTCGAACTTACACCTACAGTAGTATAATTAGTTGCATAGGCCAATTTTGGGATTAAGAATAGGGTAACTTATTATTACTTATTAACTTATTACCGTATCTTCATCTTTTACCCAAAAGGGATTGATGGTGTCATCCTTTCAAAATCAAAATTATACATTTAGACAAACTGGCATAACTTAAATACAAAACATATATTTACAACATTGGCATGTAGATAGGCGGATCAGTCAGAAAATTCTGTGAAAATGTCTTCAATAAATTCTTTTAGGGAATAGTAGGCTCTTGACTTGAGTGGAGGGACCAGCTTCTTTAAGAAAAGCTTACGCTCAAGCTGTTTGATAGAGTTGGGCAGCTTGTTCTAGATTTAGTGCTCCCATGTTGTAACTCTTCCCTGGGATCTCCTAAGCCTAACCTTTGGCACATCAAGCAACCCGTGCTGCCTAGTTTGGTGGTCATGAACCGCTAAACGAAGTTGAAACTTGTCGCAGTGGTCATGGATCATCAGTGAGCATATGAGGCTATAAACCGTGAATATCCCCAGCCTTGCAAAGATGCAGTGTGCAAGGAGGTCACTAAATGAAATACTGTATGTCTTACAGCACGTTTCTGGATCACTAATATATCTTCAACATCAACGGTATGACCCCAAAGTAGTAGGCCATAGCTCACATGACAGTGGAACATGGCAAGATAGGCCTAGATGTTAAGCAGGTAGGCCTACTGTTCAGTAATAAATTTTCACAGCTTGAGCAGAAGACAGCACACCATAAAAACGTTTGCTGCTAACGTTGCCTATGTGATTTTTCCACGCCATTTTCCTGTCCAGATGGAATCCAAGGAGCTTAACTGGTTCATTAGGTGGGGTATTTCTTGCCAGACTGCAGACCAGTGTCTGGGGTTTATCCTGGTTGAGCTGAAACCCAACTTGCATAATAATTAAACCAACCTGTAAGTTAGGCTAACACAACTAAGTGGCTGTTTCTAAACTAACCCAGTGATTTTTAAACTTCCTTATCGTACAAAACTAATCTAGACTGGTCTTAAATTAAGGCCTAGGCCTACCTTAGGTTTTACAATGATTAAAATGACACCAAGGATTTGAAATTTAACTTTTCACTAACAATATTTTGATGAAATCATCAGGGCAATGGAAATGTATAACCCTGTTTAACACATAGAATTTTGTGTTTCATTTTACAATTATTTTGAAATTTTACGACTAATTTTACATGACAATCATAATTGACAACACAAACAAACAGAACAACAGAAAAGAAAACAGACGAAACTTTCGCTTCCTCTTCCTAGTTTAAGCAAACAGCTAGCGAAAAGACACAAATAAAATGTTTTTTTCATAAGCCAAGCATAGATTAATAGCACACCATATGAGGAAAGCACGTTCCTTAATAGACAAAATTAACGCAATTTTGGTGTCATATCGGTCTATTACTGTATTTATCAAAATTATTGTACTGTTCACTCTTTGTTCATTGCCATTATATTAATTTTTTTCCATTATTTTATTTCATTTTATTTTAGAAAATTTCCCTATAGGGAAATAGCTATTACCGTAGGTGGCACGGTAAGACCTAGACCCGGGACCGATTTACTTTGTCATTTTGATGTTCCCAGAGGCCAAAAACACCATTCGTTCAAATGTTTATATATGTATATATATATATATATATATAGAGTTATATATATATACAGGGTGGTCTGGACCTAGCGTTAAAAATTTTTTTGGGTGGCAGACCAACACAAGTGTGACTCAAATCCACAATTTAAAAAAAATATATTCCATAAACCCACTTGCTGAAAAGTTATTTTGATTTTTTTAGAAAAACCTGTACATTTCCACAACATTTTAAAATTCCTCTAGTATTTTCATACATTTTTATAACTTTGACACTACCATCATATTCTCCATTAAATTCTATGTAAGAATAGACAGCTTTTGGTGAGCCCAAAGCTTCAGAATTGCTATTTAAATTGATTAAAACTAAGAAATTTTGATTTTCCTAAAAAAAAGGTTAAAAATAAGCCTACAGACACTATTTTTAAGCAAAATAGTAGAGATTAGCAAATTGCTACAAAAACTTCTCTAAGATCTTAGCTTTAAAAAAATATGATAAGGCATTTTATTTGCTTTCTTTTAAGTACAGCTATTCCAGTTATAAAAATGGAAAACAAGGTTTCACTCGAACTCCATTAAACGCTAACAGCGGTTTTCCAAACTCTGTAGAATGTCACTTAATTATCTAGCAAAGAGATAAATAAATAATTTTAGTTTTAGATTACTTATTTTAGTCAAATAATTACAAAATAACTTAGGGGCAAGGAAAAGTATGTTATTTTCCACTAAGATAACTGAAAGGTATTGTCCAGTATCTGATTACAGTCTACGTTATCATGAGATAAGCTTGTATTGACTGATCCAGTGGATAAAATTTTAATAGATTTCAGTCATTTACTCGTTGTTAGTTGTCTGAAGATGTCCTATTCAAATCAGGAATATGCGGAAATGCATTTTATATATGGTTTCTGCAATGGAAATGCAAGTGCGGCTCAAAGGGAGTACACCATTCGCTACCCTGGTAGGCACATTCCCAGTACGCAAGTGTTTGTGCGGCTGCATCAGCGATTGGTAGAACGTGGATCCGTACACAAGGAACGTAGTGAGGTGGGTGCAGCACCGGTGGAAGTGTGCGTTGAAGAACAAATTCTGGACCGAGTTAGTGAAGACCCGGAGATAAGTAGCAGAAATCTTGCTAGTGAAATCGGTGTAAGTAAAACTAAAGTTTTATCTATTTTGCACAAAAACAAACTCCATCCTTACCATTTCACAAAAGTTCAAGGCCTTGAACCCAATGATCATGGTGCTTGAGTAGATTTTTGTCGCTACCTCCTGAATTCTGACATTGAACAATACCACTTTTTCAAAAAGATTTTGTGGACAGATGAAGCTCTTTTTACAAGACAAGGTGTATTCAATTTTCACAATATGCATATGTGGAGCACTGAAAACCCACAGGCAACTAGAGAAATGTCCTTTCAAAAAAGGTTTACAGTAAACGTTTGGGCAGCTGTGATTGGTGATCGCTTCTTAGGTCCCCATATTTTTCAGAGAAGTTTGAGTGGAGAAATGTACGTTAACTTTTTGCAACACGATCGGCCTCAAATTTTGGATGTGATTGATCCTGTGCTCCGTCAAGATATCATTTATCAACAAGACGGAGCACCTCCTCATTTTACGAATAACGTTCGAGATTGGCTGAGTGCTAACTATCCCACATGGATAGGACGAGGAGGTCCAGTGCCCTGGCCCGCAAGATCTCCTGATCTAAACCCCATGGATTTCTTTGTGTGGGGATACATGAAGTCTAAAGTCTATGCAACTCCAGTCAATAGCGAAGAAGAACTTCTAAACAAGATCCAAATCGCAGCACAGGCATAAGGGATAAGCTAAGCCATAAAAGTGACTGTTGGAGGAATGCGGAAGAGAGCTAGAGCCTGCATAAGAGAGAATGGAGGACATTTTGAAAATAAATTAAAATCCCATGTAGCACAGATGGTTGGGCCAACGTTGGCCAACTGTGGAACAGTTGGTCGATGGTTGGTTGGAGCTTCCACAACCAACCAACCGTTGTCCAACTGTATATCTCGTAGTTGGGCCAACCAATATTTACAACTGTGGACCAACATTGGTTCATTGTTAATGAAATACATTAATATGCATTGCTGGGTATCATACATCAAGCCAACCGTTGTCCAACCGTTTTTCACTCCGTTGGACCAACAAAAGATACTTTTGTTGGACCAACGATGGTCCATAGTTGAGTTTTACACGACTTTCATTCTCTGGATAAACTAATATTCTTTAACTTATTTGCAACAATTTAAGGGGAAAGAGTAATTAATCATATAACAGTCAATTATAATAGCATTAATAATCTAACGGTAATTAAATAATCTGTATTCAAATACCAGTATCCTCTCTAACTCCCCCCCAAAAAAATAATAACTACTTGTGATGCCTTAACAGATTAACAGAATCATATTATACTGTGTAGTATCAAAATTGTTTTAAGTATTGCGACCATTGCAACTGTCGGCTACTCTTACACCACTTGAAAACTCTCTGTATCAACAATCGCAGATAGCTCAGTGGTAAGGTAAGAGGCTCATAAGTCGAAGGACCCGGGTTCAAGACCCGTCTGGGCCAAAAAAATTTTGTTCTAGCTTTTTTTCAAAAAATTTTTTTATGAACTATTTAATCAATTTACTCAACTAATAATTATGCTTTTCATACTAAATCTTTAATATTTTGTGTTAAATAAAACGGCTGGTTGGATATCAGTTGTGTTATGGTTAGTTGGCCATCAGTATTTTTGGATTGTTGGGCCATTGTTGGACAATGGTTGGTTGGAAAACAGTTTAAAGAGGCGACATTTCTACCGTTGGCCAACTGTGTGGCTCCACAATTTACCAACGTTGGCCCAACCATCTGTGCTACATGGGATGAACTTGCATTTTAGTTTGGTTATCAATCCAATACTTGTAATTTGTTTTGAAATTGTCTAGATACAAATTTTGTTGCAGCTTCATGCTGTTTCTATAATAATAAAAACTATCATCTGTGTCTTTTTGGTTTGTTATAGTGTGTGTTTTTTGTTTTCCTTAAACCATGTTTTCCACAGTTATAACTGGAATAGCTGTACTTAAAAGGAAGGAAATAAAATGCCTAATCATACTTTTTAAAAGCTAAGATTTTAGAGCAGTTTTTGTAGCAATTTGCTAATCCCTACTATTTTGCTTAAAAAAAAGTGTCTGTAGGCTTATTTTTTACCTTTTTTGGGAAAATCAAAATTTCTTAGTTTTAATCAATTTAAATAGCAATTCTGAAGCTTTGGGCTCACCAAAATCTGTCTATTCTTACATAGAATTTAATGGAGAATATGATGGTAGTGTCAAAGTTATAAAAATGTATGAAAATACTAGAGGAATTTTAAAATGTTGTGGAAATGTACAGGTTTTTCTAAAAAAATCAAATAAATAACGTTTCTGCAAGTGGGTTTATGGAATATATTTTTTTAAATTGTGGATTTGAGTCACACTTGTGTTGCTCTACCACCCAAAAAAATTTTAACGCTAGGTCCAGACCACCCTGTATATATACGTCCGTGAACGCGATAAACTTGAGTAATTTTTGTCCGATTTTGATGAAATTTGGTTTAAAGGTGTAAAGTGGGATAAACTTGAATGAGTTCGCGAACCAGCATGATCGGACCATGGAAACGGGGCTTTACGGGGGGTTTTATGGGGTAAAAATTGGTTTTTCTCACTTTTGACCCTCAAAACACAAAATTTCCCAATTTCTCTTTAGACCTTTTTAAAGAGCTTAAAAAAACAATTAATTTAGTATAAAAAAGTATTTTTGTTCGGTTAATAGTAACGGAGAAAATTTAAAAAATTGTAAATTTAAAATTCCCATGTTATTCTTATGGAGAATATTGTCAAATGTTGTAGTTTGCTTGTTTATGGATTGTATTTTGTATTTTGATCAAATTTATTTATTTTGTACTAAGCTATCAATATTTTACAAAAAACACACTTTATTAGTTTCATTGTAGCAGCAAACCTAGGTACTGGTTAAACCTAAAGTTATTAAAATATATTTAATTGAAAATCAATTAAGACAAATGGAAATTCGCTTAGTCGGCAGGTTTACTGCGGCGGGGGTATTTATTTTGTTCAGGTAAAATGCATGATCGACATTGTGCCATGTTCATACACTATACAGTATTTTGTTTGATCTTTTCTTTTGGGGTTTTCCTGTATTATAAGCTGGCTTCAATCAAAGGAAGAGGTAGTGGCAATGGGAACTGAACTAGGCCACCTTTAACTCCAGGCCGCGGCCTTCGAACTGGCAACGTCGCAAGTGGTGTTGTAACAGCTGTGTTTGTTAGGAAGTAGGTTGGGTAGTCTATGGTAGCATAGATAAAACATGGAAGTAGCTAATGGTATTTGTGTATTTACGATAGATTGGTTACTGGACTATGACAATATTGACTCCGCTTCAAATGTACAGATATAGATTTTAATTGATATTGTTTCGGTTTTCAATTCTGTATGTTTTATTTTCAATATATTTAATAGATTTATGTTCATACATTTAAATTTAAATCAATTAAGTGCGAATTAATGAGCTGATGTCACCTGTCTGCCATGTTATCTTATGGGACGTCCGTCACTGAACAACACCACTTGCGACGTTGCCAATTCTACCAGGCCGCGGCCTGTAGTTAAAGGCGGCCGTGGCACTGCATTCGTTTAATTCTTTTCCAGATTTTCCTTCTCCAATACTGTATGTACTCCAATCCAATCCAATATCCAATTCCAATCCAAGCTAGAAGCAAAGCAAAGCAAGCAAACCACACACACACAGGTTTACAATTTCGATTTGGAGATTAGATTGGAGGTTAGAGAAATTTGCTTGGGGATTTTATTTTAATATGCTGTTGCTGTTCACCTAGCTTAAAATCGAGTTATAAGTTATTGTAGATAAATCTTTTATCTCTTTAAAACCTCAAAATTCAGTGATTTGGTTATTTCGGTTATTGTATTTTGTATTTTTATAAGTTGCACCGTGTGTGGAAGGTGAAAAGATTCGCCTTCTAATCTAAGAGGTGAGTAATAAGATAATAGGCCTAGGCTAACTTAATCTTCTTTCATTAGTTTCATTTACATTTATTGCCTTATTAGGCTAAGCTTAACTCTAGTAGCCTAGTAAGTTTTAACTCTTATTTTTACGAGGAAGGAATTGGCTTGTAAACCCGGTAGGCCCTATCACAGAAAACATACTACTATAACCCAGAATGCCAACCGCATGGTAAAAAGCATTAAGCGTTTTGCGAGAGCTTTGCCTGTCAACCCGTAGGCAGTGCCACCAGCGTTGCCATGCACTCAGCATAGCAACGCTGGTGGCGCTGCCAACGAATTGACAGGCAAAGCTCTCTCAAAACGCTTAAATGCTTTTTACCATGCGGTTGGCATTCTGGGTTATAGTAGTATGTTTTCTGTGGCCCTATACAAGAACTGTGGGCCGGTCTAATCATTTGAATAATTTAATTACCGACTCAAATTAGCCTATACTTAGAGGGTCAATGACCTTTTGAATTCTTCTATAATAGACTGCATGGTATGCCTACTTACTTACTTGGATACCGGTACTTGATCTCTTCATCGTTAGCTATGTCCACACTCATGCGCTTTCAATTTCAATGTGCCTTTCAGCTTTCAATTCAACATGCATCAACGCAAACAATATCGCATGCGCCTTGAGGCATGCTTTTTAGCTGTCCACACTCATGCGCCACCATCCTCACTTTCTAGATACCTTTTCCTAATTCGATCAAGACGTCAATATTCTGATAGGAGGGATGGTGCGGCAAATTAAGTGTCAATAAAAGTTCCTAACCGTAAGAAACCATATCGGATAATATAGATGAAGAAGTACTATATAGTACTCAAAATTTTCTAATTTTATTTTAATTTATTAATTCTCTTAATGTAATCTTAATTTATTCAATTTATTTTATTTTTTTTATTACTCCGTATGTCCCGCTAACATATATAAGAGCAACAATCTTCTATGAATTCTGAGGTTTCTTAGTTATTCAATATGCTTCAAACAACTGCAATACGGACGACTTGTCAACAATGTAAAGCAGTTGCAAGTTGAAACGCACAGAAATCCAAGGCTGGTGGATTGTCTTACGCTACGCTTTTGCTATGGAATGGAGCCCCTTCCGACTCATTTCGTGCATGCCTTGAGGCAAGCGTCACTTGCGTCCATCTGCATCAAGGCATGCGTTAAGAGGCGCACACAAAAGCGCACGAGTGTGGACATAGCTGTTGACCAACAAATGTTGGATAGATTGCATCATTAGATTGCTACACTATTTACTACGATTTCTAGAAAAATACCGGTATGGATCATAAACATAAACAAATGACGTTTTTGGCCCGAAAATAAACATTATTTAACATTGCTTAAATTGAACTGCCAATCATATGTTCAATGCTATTAGTATAGGATTCGGGCCAACAACGTCATTTTGTTTATGTTTATGATCCATACCGGTATTTTTCTAGTTATCGTGCTATTTACTAACACTATTTACATAAATAGGCTACAATTAAACTGAACTGACGGATGTGACTTTTTTGGGTGAAGCGAGTGGCTCGTCATTTTACACTTCTTTTAAAAGGTACAAGGGCTACAAGGGTACAAGAGTTTCAAGGGGTAAGAGTACAAGGGCCTGCTGAGTAGGCTCTGGCGAAGTGCGGATTTGAACCGCTTTGGGTCTAGAGCTCGTATATTAGTCGGCAGTGTATTAAATAGTTTTATAGCTATTGAGGGGTATGACTGAAGTGTGTGGCTAAGCCGACAACGAGGTAGGTCAAGGTCACCAGCCCCGCGGGTCCCATAGGCCTAATTGTGCTGCATGCTTCTAGTTGAGAAGTTAGTTAAGTTGCTTCTCAGAAGGACAAGGTGTTCAGTATATACTGGTTGTGGACCGACAAGATACCAAATTCTTGAAAAATCGGCCTGCAATGGTCGGTTGGGCCGGAGGATGTTATCAGTCTTAGAGCCCTCTTCTGTAGCAGCAGCACACTTTGAGCAGCGTGGCTGTGTTCCCATACCACCAAGCCATAGTTAATGTGGCTGTGGAGTAGTGAGTGATACATTATGAGCAGGTAGGGGCGTGTGATCTCATTCTTTAGTCTTCTGATCAGACAGAGTATTCTGCTAAGCCTAACACATACCTTCTCAACATGATGATTCCAGTTTAGTTTGGAGTCGACCCAGAACCCTAACAGTTTGACCGCCTCATCTTCGATACCCTGTTTGAGGATGCACGTGATGGACTGTGTCTTGTCATTGCTGATTTTGAGACGGTTTAACAGAAACCATTCTTTAGCTTCATTCAATAGAAAAGATGCCTCTGTTCAAAGGTAGTTCAGGTTGCTGTGCCTGGTCAGTAACATTGTGTCGTCTGCGAAGAGCAGCGTGCGCCTGTTAAGGGGCAGATCGTTTATTATGAACAGGACAGGACCCAGAATCGAGCCTTGGGGCAATCCTTGGTGCATTTCCTTGACGTTGGAAGAAGCTTCATGCAGCAAAACAATTTGTCTCCTGTTTTCCAAGTAGTTAGCCAGTGATTTGTGGACCACTCCAGTGATGCCATATATTTGATGAGCTTGGCAAGGAGGATATCAAGGGAGACCACGTCGAACGCCTTGCTTAAGTCACAGAGACAGATGGATAGAGTCATTAGTTTCAAAGGCGTCTGAGATATTTTTGACTAGGCTAAGGGTTACCCTCTTCTCTCTCTATAACTTCAAAGCTATAACTTACCTCCCCTACGAGTTTTATTCTAGGATGCTCTAGTCTCAGGCTAGGCTATAACTTACATGTAGGGCCTACAGGGTTTACCAAAACGAATGCCTGGATTTTGAATGGCTATTGCTTGTAGACTAGGCTTATTTTTAAGATACTCATTGTACTGTGGTTTGTCCCTGAGCTGGTAATACAAAAATTACTAGTGGTTTTAACTACCTTGTATTTTCGTCCCAGCTCAAAAAAGATGTATTGGATCTACAACCATGGTTTACATGAGGCCAATTTACGTCATGGTCACTTAGGTTATGTCTATGTGACCATGACGCAATTGGCGTCAAAACCATAGTTGTAAATTCCATAGCCTAAAACTTTATAAGATTGGACGAAAATACAAGGTAAATAAACCACTTTTTCATTTCATTTAGCCTAATTAATTTTCAACGGTAAACACAATTTTTTACATTAAGATACACAAATTTATTGTACAGACAAGTCAGTTTTACAAGCAAACGGTAATAAATAAGCAGATCAATTCTTAAATTGGAAAATAAGCCTAAATACAGTTCTACGAGAAACAGGACAATCACAACCAATATATTACAAGAATGGACAATTTCAAAAATTAGAAAAATCTTAACATTGGCAGTGAAAAATAAAACGTAGTCAAAGGTAACGATAACAAGGGCAAAGGAATTTAGTCAGCCTAGCGATAACAAAAACTAAAACTGTACAATTGACAATAGGAACTTTGAGACAGTGAATAACAGAAGAAATAAAAATGTAGGAAATTAATATCCAACAAGATAGGCCTATGTGAAATAACAACAATAGTAAATATAAATATAAAAGACTAGCAGCGTCCTTCGTACGGGGTTGGCATATAAGTATAATGCTTATTGCAGTTATACTCAAGCTTTGCGTTTGTAATGGTGGTACAACATTTTGATAACATTTGCTTCTTTAAATTTACGGAATACTTTAGTATCACACATCTAGCATAGCCTTAATGTTCCACCACCTCCACTAAACAATAGATTTGATGACATGACAGCAAAGTTGCAGTATTTGGAAAGTGAAAAATCTACAGGCTTAAAAATAAATGTAAAGAAAACAAAATCATTGAGGATAAATGTAGCGAATAACAACAGTTTCAGAATGTCAGATGAAGAAATCGAAGAGGTGGACAGATTTACATATCTGGGAAGTGTCTTAACAAGAGCTGGAGGAGCTGATGAAGATGTAATGTCAAGAATTGATGGATTGAATGCTCTAGTCTTTGCATACCTATGTTTTTTATAAACTTCAGTATTTTATTTTTAAGATGACTGTGATACTTTTTGCATGTACTCTGCACTTGTTTATATTTTATTGTCTATATTTATTTAGCCTTATTGCCTGTAAACTTTAGGCTACTATTATGACGTTCATCCATTGCATGTGTTGTACATAGCGTTAACGATGAATAAAAATTCTTGATTCTTGATTCTTGATTCTTGATTCTATTATAATAGAATTAATTTGTATTCAATTTTTAAACCAGGTAGTAGTCAATAGCTTAATTAAATAGCATAGGCCTAGTTTTTTAGCCATTGACAATTAAAACAATTTAGTCAAAAGTTATCTAATACATTTTTTTTAGATGACCACACGAACCAAAGAAGAGGAACTAGCCCTTGATGAAAAAATAGCTAGAATACAGCGCCAGAATGAAAAAATATTACGAAGGCAAAAGGTAAGTTGTCATTTGTTATAGTGTTACCAAACACTATAACAAACACTATGTTTGGTTGTGTGTGTTATAGTCTTGGTTAAAAATGTGTTTTATATTTAATTTCTGTAAAAATATTTTCATTGTTTTCTTTGTGTAACTAAAAGTAATAATCATAATGATTCTTTCTTTAGTAATCTGGAGGCTAAAAGAAAATAGTGTGATTCAGCATAAATGTAAATATAGGCTAAAAATATGTGAATTTGGACTAATGTATAGAATTTTGAGAATCCATGATATGTTTTTAAAAGTAGAAAAAAGGATACAATTTTTATTATTTTATATAATAGGAAATTGACTAACCAATACGGTTCTAAAGACAAAAAATATTGGAAAGTAAATAAAGACACGTCTTATAACACTTAAAACATATATTTACGCTTATACTGTTACTCACAAGACGGTAAATATACAAAAGATGGTAAGTGGTAAATATATGTTTTAAGTGTTATAAGACGTATCTTTTATTTACTTTCTGTAAATTTAATAACACAAAAACAATCTCACAATCTAATTTTGTATTTAATCTGTAAATTTAAGAATGCTGATCAAGAAGTTATTTAAAAAATATAGTGAACTTTAATTAACGTTAATATGATACTCGATACTTGAAGTCTTAATCATTGACCAGCATAGCTGGATTCAGTGGTGTACTTCTTTCTAGAGTTTTAGCGGTTGTCAAAAAATTAACAAGTAGGCGCTCTTCACGGCCACCATGAAAAATTTGGTTCTTGGCACAATGGGGAATTTATAATGTTAGGAGAGCTGATTGCTGAATTCGATCCCTTTCTGGCTAATCACGTTGAACGATATGGTAACCCTGGACCAGGTCAAACCTCGGTACCTTTCTCCAACCATATGTGATGAATTTATCGATTTACTAGCCAGTAAAGTTAAGAAGATTATCGTTAATGATATCAAGAGTGCCAAATACTTCTCTGTAATAGTTGACTCAACCCTAGATATCTCGCACACCGACTACCAATCACAAAATACCAGTCCTGGATAGCTCTGAGAATGTATTTGTGTACTGGGGTTAGCAACTGTTCTGCAGAAAGATCATTTTCATCATTAAAGAGGATAAGGTCATATCTACGTTCTACCCTAAAGGATGGAAAGTTTAATTCTCTTGCAATTCTGAACATTGAAGTCGCGATCCTTAATGGTGAAGATTTTGGATTTTAACAATTAACAGAAGAGTTTTCTAAATGAAAGCAAGAAAAGTTTGGTTTTCGTAGTAGAAACATGTTAAACAATGAACAGGGTACTTTATGTTTTAGATACAAAGAACATTGATAATAATTGACTAATTGTTCACAATTTTTTTCATCATATTGCATGTATTCAGTTACATTAAAAAAAGGCGAGTTTAAAAGTTCCACAGTAGCCTTGAGTCAAGTTGGAAGACCATCTCTGGCTGAGGCTACTTGTCATAGTTTGAGTTTTGTTAGCTGGTAGTTCTGAGGCTTAGCTTATTAACTTTGAAGCAGTCCTCGGCCTTGTTTAACATTTTATTTGCCTCCAGACATGCATCTTCTGGTGTTTTACCCCTTGAACATATGGTGGTGTCATCTGCAAAAAGTAGTATATCGCCTAGAAAACTTAAGTCATTTATTGCAACAATAAATAGCATTGGACCGATGACCGACATTGTGGTACACCATGGCTCACTGAAAGGAGAAGATGAGGCTCCTGCAATTGACTACTATCTGCTGACCATCCTGGAGATAGGAGCACAGCAAATGTAGAACTGGTCCTTGGACACCATATTTCTTCAATTTTTGTAATACAACTTTGTGAGGAAAGCAGTCAAGTGCATTATTAAATCGGCAAGAATTAGGGATGGGTCCTGATCCTTTTTCCTTAACTGTGTCCAAGATATTAGAGACCAGCCATAACATAGCAGTCAATGTTGATTTAAATACTCTCTGAATCCATGTTGGGCGTCTGCAAATAGCCTTTTTCTCTCAAAATGGGATACTAACTGGTCCGTCATAAAAGTCTCAAACACTTTGGCTAGTGATGATCTTTTGCCCGCATTAATCCACTTTGTTGATGGCCTTTGGTGTAGGTATTGAATAGATTGCCATCAACCAGATGCTTGTGGTATGTTTTAGTTTTAGGCCTGGGTGCAGCTGTGGATGTAGGCGCGTGTGTGTGTATGTTGTACCGATTCGTCGTATAATGCAACGAATTAATGTAGCAGACGCAACAAATAGTCAGCTGATCAGACAATAGAAAGACCATAGGTACCCAGAATGCTAACCACATAGTGGAAGGGGTAGAGCCTCAGCGCCATCGAGATACTCGTTACCCAGTCAATTCCCTGCCTTCCTTGTGACTAGTCGGAAAAAGTTCGTATCGTGCAAATTAAATTCATTTCGCGGTGTTGGTCGGACAAATCTTTTATTTTCTTTAAACCGTTTAGCCTATATCCCGAAGGGATATATTTGCAACGCGAGTGGAAAATAAAATCAGTTTTTTGCGAAACAAGTGTTAAAAGTTTGCTTTACCGACCAGCACGAACCGCCATTGAAAAATTTCACGTTCGTCATTCAAAATCAAATCGATCGCGTTTTTTCGAAAAACCCGCCTAGTTACAGTTCCCTTTCCCCATCCCAGTGTATATGTCTGTGTCTTTGTAGGACGTCCGAAATTTGTAAGCAATTTGTGTTATTTTTTGTTATATATTAGGTTTCAGTGAGTCGCACATGTGTAAAATTTTCCTGTCATAGTTTGTCATTTCCTGTTAGATTAGCACATGTTCTCAGGTTCTAGCTTTCATCAGTATTTTTAATATTTATTTCTTATAAATCAATCTGCATTGTTTAGTATACTGTGATTCTCAAATTATATAGGATTAATGAGATTGTATAGGGTTTGTATTTATATTGAATGTAAATTGTAAATTATTCTATTTACACAAATTCACAACAGTCCTTGTTCAATTTTGCTGAGATATCAGATTAGAGGTTATTTAAGAGTGCCACAGTCATTACAATATTTGGGGGATATTAAATAATATCAAAAGTGGGAGCTTTGATATTATTCCTATCTCGGACCAGCTAACCTCTATCGGGGTAGCTGGTTCGACTAGATACGGAGGTGTTAGTGGAGGTCGTGAGAGTTTGTGAATAGATGAACCGCCAAAGTACCTTCTTAGCCATAAAATAATAAGCAATATTCTAGTACCTACTACTGCGATTAAACAGAACATTGTTTAATCAGTTGGACTACGAGACTCGACCTTCGTTTTTAATTCGTTGGCCAACGAACAGGATTTGCTTGGTACTGGTCATCTCAAATATTAAAGTAAATATCACACCTCTGTTGACATGTTCGGGATCAGTGTATAACCGCACCATAACTTCCCTTTTGATAGGTCCATTTGTCATCTTGAAATAAAAAGATCTTAATTGATTGTTGCACTCTAAATCAGAATTCAGTCATCATTCAACCTTGTGATACAAAAGACAACCACAAATATTTGATAAGCAGTTACCAAAAAACAAATTAAAGTGTATTATTCATTAAAACACTGTTCAATAAATCAGATTGTTACTCACTTTTTAGTTCTCAATAACCTTGGTAATTCGTTATTATTAATAATAGTAATTCAATAGAAGTTTGGTATAATACAGTAAAATAATAGGCCACTACAAAAGATTCACATTTTAAGTGCAACACTAAACAATAGTGTGGTAGTGTGCAGAGTAAATTCAGTGTAACTTTAAGATTATTTATTAAGCTTCATATTATTTTGGAAGAACTTCAAACAGTATCAGGGACGTCCCATAAGGACCTCCGGGGAGTATTTTTTATTTTACAGGGCCCACTCAAATATTTTTTTAACATCAAGCTTCCACTGCCAAAAGCTCTGTCTTGTATTATTACTTTCCAAGTTCTTCCAACCCAGGGGCAACCAAGATTTGTAAAGAATTCACTTTTGAGAGCATTGCAAGGAGTAAAATATATTTAAATACAATATTTAAATATATAAGTAACCTTTTTTTATTTTTCTTTACAATGTGACTGTGTATGCTAGTGAAACAAAATAAATTTATTTTATCACCATGTTAGACTACAAACTTTGTTTTATTTTTGTTTCATAAAATGTTAACTTATATGGGAGATATTGGCCAATATTTATTTATTTGTTCAATGTTAGGCCTATTTATTTATTTTAGAGATCAACTGTGAGAAAACACAATGTGATAATTTCATTTAATAAATTTTGTAGGTATTGTGTATTGAAAGTTAAAGAAATAATTGTTAGACTTAAAATTAAAATGATAATCATTAAATTACAAATGAAAACTTAGTAGTGTTGCACATTGCAAAAGATTCCTCTCCTGGTTATCAGTTAATTTGCTAATTTATTTGGTAAACTTAAGTTATCTACCAAGTTTAGGAGTCAAAATGAAAAAGTCTTTATTTATTTTTGTACTCTTTTAGGAAATCGAAGAAGACAAGAGAATGGCTGAACAACAAAATGCAACTGTGAAGCTCAAACAACCAACAGGAAATGTGTCTCGAGAACGAACGCCAGCATTGAAACCAAGCAATCGAGAACTGAGACCTGACGTCACCGAGGATGACCGAGTAAAAAATATTAAGACAATAATAGGGTTTTTTACATACCTCAGTCAAATAGTCCAATAAATGATATTGCTCAACAGCTTACATGTTTTGTTGCAAAGACAACATTTTCAAAGATTGCAACTCGTAAAAAACGCATGTGTTTTTTTTTACGTGTTTTTGACAAGCTGCAAGATTTGAAAATGTTGTATTGGCAACGAAACATTAACACTACTGTTTTTTTTGTAAAACTGGTACTCACTTAATTTCTAAACAGATTATAAAGTAAAACTCTTTAAAATGTATACTATTTTACAAGTAGATTTTCTGGAATGCTGAAAGCAGTGTTATCGTAATATTTAAGCTCTCTGATCTCACTTCTACCAAAACATAGGAAGTGTAGACAATACTTTATACATACTGGTACGGTACCTAAAATCTTATATTAATTTTTTTGCCACTCGTATCCTAGTTGGTATAATGTAATAGCTTATACACAGCCTATCGAATAGGATCGGTCCGCAGCATTCTCATCATTGATTCATTTATTTTTTCTAACTAGCTGCGTTTAAATTTGGTAAATTTGGCATCAAATGAAAGCTTGATGCCCCTAAATAATGCTTATTAAATGTAACAAAGTTCCATTTAATCCCTGAACAAAATCTTATAGGCATAATACAATAGTCACTCTTACTAGAACTAATTGAGAAAAACATTACAAAAATGTATTTTTGTGGCTGTGAATTTCATTTACTGCTCTCGCAAACACAGCATCATCATGGTAATTTGCTGAGATCTCGGAAATAGTCCAGTTATTCCAAATATTTCAGTTTAATTCAAACAGACTTTTTCCTACACCCTCAGCAATATGAGAGTGTCCCTTAACGCCAATTAAATTCGTACCCCGTTCAGGGTCACTCCCATTTTGCTACAAAGAGTATATTTATCAAAATTCTTGTAGAATTGCCAGTTTTTGGCCCACTGGACAACATGGTTGTTATTACATAACACACAATAACGATTTCCTCAACAGGAGGTTCAGATCAACTAGATTCTTATTAAGTTTATTAAAAACATGTTATTACAATCCTGGATTGCTATTTTAGTGTTGATATCAAATTTAATTGTATCAGGGACTAATTGTTTTGCTTATCCTCAGGAGTCTTGGTCAAACCAAAGAGCACCTCGAGGCAGCTCTAGAGGCAGAGGATCCGAGAGAGTACGAGGCCAAGGTGACTGGAAGGTAAATTTTCTTTAAAATGTACAGGAAAAAGGATTTAACTTGGACAATAAAATGATAAAAGGATGGAGAGGACACAGCTGACACACCTGAAGAAAGTTTGCAGACAAGCTACAGCACAAATAAATTATATACACAATAGACTTGATATTCTGCCTCTTTTGGAGGTTTCTTAAGATGGTAGGTTAATGGTTTGGCAGTTAAAAAAATAACAATTTAAAATTAACTGTCACAGTTTGAATTCAAAATGTCTGACAAGTTAGCCAACTGACACAATACAGAGCACTAAATTTAGACACATTGTAATATTATTTTTTCACATTGTATCAATCAATCAATAAAATCTTTATTCAGAACGTACAGACACATCGTACATGAATGCGTCATTATGTTATTTTTATAATCATAATGATTTAATATGTATGATCCTAATAAGTTAGCCGTAAGGGTAAGGATAGGAGGATCCAATCTTGAGGTTTGGCGAGGTTCTGGAATTGATAATAAACTAGTAAAAAGCCAATTCCCATCTTCTGAATATTGAACTAGGTATTGCAATGGGGTTCCAATGGGATTCCAAGATCAAGAATCAGTGGAATTGAGAGAGTACTTTTTAAATCAACCCATCTCTCATAGTACCTGTTTGAGTACTCAAGGTAGGCACTGAATACTGAAACAATAGGGTTTTCATCAACTCGTAATTGTAAGGTGTGGTTACAGCAGAGTATGAAAAACCCTTCATTAATGCAGTTTTCAATTTTGCAGTAGTTACACTGTTAGTTTTACCTATTTATTATGACCGAGACTGAGTTACGTAGATATAAGGAGTTAACAAGAACATGGTAGAAGCATAATGTGAGATATGTGTGTCTTTTATTATGGAACAACTAATACTGTATTTGGCTACAACTAATGGCAACATTCATATACCTTTTATTCTCTTATTGACGTAACATATTAGCAATTTGTTATGATATATGGTTGGTTTATTCTGATTTTTGTTTAGTGCCCAAAAACGGAAAAGTACACAGTCTATCCTTCTAAGTCATATATTTCTCAGGTATTTACTCTTAGCACTGAAGCAGAAATTCATTAATTTTTTATGTACTTGCTATATTTGAGTATTATTTTCTAGAAAAGTGCACTTAATAGCAACGCACTTAAGTAACTGGAACACTTTGTATACTGCTTTGATATGTTATATTCCACATCATCCAATAAACATTAAAACATGTACATAAACATAAGTTGAGTTTGGAAATTTCCTACACGCCTTTTGAAAAATAATTTGTTGAAATGCTCCTGCTAATTTCAAAAACGAGATTTGACGATTAAACTGTTATTAAGGTAGATTAAAGATGTTTGATATGGGAGTTGATTAGAGTTAAGAAAAACAGTGTCACATACCTTACAATAAAAAATCCAACACTGGAAGGTAGCAGGGGTAATGGGGATTGGGTGAGCTCACCACACTGAGGGACACACAAGAAGATCTGGAAGTTCAGATGCACTGCACACACTCGAAAGGGGAATTTAGTATTATTATTCACTGATAAAGAGAGAGAGAGAGATGTTTTAATGTGGGGACACTTCCACCACGAGGTGGTCAAAAGACCAAGATTGCCAGAAAAACGGCGCGGCGCGGCACATACGTCCGATCGAGGAAGGTTTTAGACGCTAACTGAATAAAATCATAGTGGGGAAATTTGAGTTTTCCATGAGAGGGAAAGAGACAGAGATAGATCACGCCATATGACGTAGGCATCGTATGATTTTAAGGAGAATATGAGGGAGGGGAATTGCCGTGGTGTGTGTGTGTGAGTAGAGTGGAATACATTTTACAGACTTAAAATTTAAAATAAATAATTAACATACAAATAAATGTTAAAAACCTATGCACACTGTTAATTAAATGTTAATAAAATTAATGATTAATAATGAAATTACTAATTACCATATTTACAAAACCGTACTGAACAAAAGACAAACGTATTATTCTCATGTCTATTCACACATTTCAATGCATGTGCAGAGCAACTAGGTTAGAGTAAAGTTGTGGCAAGACTAAAGAAATTACCTGCATATTTTATGATGTAGGGGAGTGGTGGTCCTCCCCCAGACCCTAAGAGTTTCTTGTATGATGACGAGCGGGACGGCCCTACACACAGTACGACTAAAGACAACATGGAGCTTGAACGAGGACGGAGAGACGAGAGAGACAACAGAGACAACAGGGACAATCGAGACAACTTCCGAGGTGGCGGTGGTCGAGAGTTTCAGAGGGGGTGGAAGAGGGTGAGTTTTAGACTAGCCTGCCTATGCTAGCAGGAAAGTGAGAAGCTAGAGACTAACTCATTTCAACAATGCATTTTTTTATGATGATAGCAGAATGAACTAGACACAAAAGTGGTTTCTTGCTCCAATTTGGACTCTTTCCTTATTCAGGTAAACCTGCTATTCTTACAAAAAAAATCGTTAAAACCTTGGCCCTTGAGCTCTATATTACTTCCTTAAACTTGTTACAACAATGGAATAGATTAAAGAACATTAGAAAGGCGTGAATTTTGCATTAGGCCCTAATAATAATTTATTTGTTTGTAAAAAGCTGGGCTAAGAGTGAAATAGAAAAATCTGAAGCTTTCAGGGATTACTTTTCCATTGTATTCAAGCCAAATGTAGGTGTGGTCAATAATGAAGAAGAAATAATAGAGTTCTTGGACTCTCCACTTCAACTTGACTTTCCTCTGGAAAAATTCAGACCTACCGAAATTAAGGCAACTATTGACAAATCGCTAAATCCGAAAAAATCTCCTGGTTACGATTCTATCACTGGGAAAATGTTAAAAGAACTGCCGAGGAAAGGAATTATTTTTATTGCATTTCTCTTTAATTCTATATTGAGACTAGACCACATACCATCCCAATTTAAGAAAGCCCAATTAATTGTCATACCAAAACCAGGAAAACCTCCTCATGAAATCACCTCCTACAGACCTATAAGTCTCTTACCTATAGTGTCTAAGTTGTTTGAGAAATTGTTCCTCAAAAGACTACAAGCTCTTTTTGAAGAAGACGACGTCATTCCAGGGCACCAATTTGGGTTTAGACGGAGAGATGGCACTGTGGAACAGGTCCATAGGGTTGTTCATACAATTCGAAACTGTTTGGAAAACAAACAATTTTGTTCAGCTGCTTTCCTTGATGTCAGTCAGGCATTTGACAAAGTATGGCACTCTGGCTTACTATTCAAAATTAAGAAGTTACTACCCCATTCAGTTTTTCCTATTTTGAAATCATATCTTACCAACAGAACTTTCCAAATTAAACATCAAAATTACTTAACTGACCTTTACCCTATTGAATCTGGAATCCCCCAAGGAAGCGTGCTTGGACCATACTTGTATATTCTCTATACATCGAACCTACCAGAAAGTGTAAACACTATGGTTGCTACATTTGCGGATGACACTGCGATTTTATCTGTCCACGACAATCCGGCTCAAGCTACAGCAAATTTACAGCTAAACTTGGATGAAGGAGGTTCAAAATTAATGAAAATAAATCAGCACACATTACTTTTACCCTAAATCAGGCTACATGACCTCCAGTATCCATGAACAATATTCACCTCCCTCAAGTAACAGAAATAAAATACTTGGGCATGCACTTAGATGCAAAGCTTAATTGGAAGGCACATATCTGGACTAAAAGACAACATCTAAATTTAAAAACAACTAAACTTAATTGGCTTCTTGGACCTAAATCAAAAATTAGTACACAAAATAAATTGTTAAAACCAATTTGGACTTATGGTTTTCAGCTTTGGGGATCAGCAAGTACCTCAAACATTGAAATTATTTAACATTACCAATCAAAATTATTACATAAAATTGTCAACGCACCTTGGTTTGTTACCAACAGAACACTCCATAATGATCTTCAAATTCGAACAGTCAAAGAAGAAATTACAAAATCTAGTGAAAAATACATTATCAAATTGGAAAATCATTCAAATCATCTTGCACTTAATTTATTGGACAATCACAACACCATTTACAGACTGAAGCGACATACGATATTGGACCTACCATTCAGATTCGGCTAAGTGTTATCAAAATTATCTTTGTTAGCTAGTGTTGACAGTGGTCAATCACTAGCTCATGTTCTTCAAGTAAATGTTGTATCACTATTTATATAATTTTCTTATTGTTCAACTTGAACAGATTGTAAATAAAATAAAGGTATAAAAAAAAGTTTGTAAAAAAGTGTGTGTGTATTATTAAAAAATTATTACTAACAAAACTTTCTTCAAATTTGTCTATCGCTATTCATGTTTTAATTGAATTGCTATATTTATAAGTTTCAATTACTAGCAAACTCAGTCATTGATTTTTACTGTCAGTTTATATTTGTAGTTGCAAGTTTAGGTTAGATATTTGTGGTCAATTAGTCAATGTCTGGAATTGTATGTATCTAAGGTTTCAGAGGAGAAGCAGGTTTAGACTACGTTTGTGTAGGTGGATTCAACTAATTTGTAACAACTTATTATCAGTACAATATTGAATTGGCATTTTTAAAGGTTCAGATGGATTGAGATTTGTTGAGACCAAATTTGTTTACAATGTTAATCTCTCAATCCAAACGGTAAACAGTTACTTTCACCAACTAATATTTTTCATCCACAGGGAGGGTTTGAGCACAGGGGAGAGAGAGGCAGGCGAGGTGGAGGGAGGATGAATGAGGATGAGTGGAGAGCTGAGCGGATGAAGATAGACGAAGCAAGAATACAACGTCAACGAGCAGCCGACGGCAAGTGGCGAAGAGAGTGGGACAATGACAAACTGCAGCAGGAGTGAGTTGTATTTTATGGTAGATTGTAAACTTGAAAGCGATCAAAGAATTTATTATAGTAGTAATTAATATAAACAGAATGATCATTAGTGCAGTACAAATTAGTCGTGGTACCAAGAAATACAGTCAATTTGGCACAACAAAAGACCAGCAAAAAATAAGCCACCTTCTTAGAGCAAGTAAACTTTTTCTATTTTACTTCCAGAGTTACTTCACATTTTATTTTCAGGCCCCTGGAAGAACCTAGACATGAAGTAAGGAAATTCGACCCGCCTCACCAAGAAAAGTGGAGTCCACCAAACCAACACCGTGGTAATGTTTCAACCAATTCCTAAAACACTAGTTTAGATTCCACTATAAACTGTAGATCCCTTAATTGCCATTGGCTGTATGGGCTATTAATTAACAGCAGTGTCTAAGGAACAGCAGGGCATTAGTCACTAACAAAACTACAAGATCGCGTCACTCATCCTACACTCATCTCCATTCATAATTGGCTCAAAATATACCTACATTCGTATGGTGGTCATATCAGAATGAAGTATAAAGATGAAATTTGGCGTGAAGGTAAAGGCTGGGTACACTTGAATGAGTTAACAAACCAGCAAGATCAGGTCATGGAAACAGGGTATCAAGGGGATTTGAAATTTTCAAAATACGTTTCTTTCAAATCGACCCTCAAAACATGCCCAACTTTTATTACAATCAACTATATTTTTTTAAAGCATTGTTGTAAAATTAAACGTTACAGTTACAGAGACAATTCCCAAAAACTGTCCATTTAAGATTCCCTGTGTTCTACAAAATGAACTGAGAACATTACTCTATCAATAAACAAGCTACCTATTGTTTTCTATTAGATTTAATCATTTGTCAACTAGGGACCATAAAAATCAGTAGTAAGGGCTTGGACAGCGATGTTGAATAAATACAATAATGGATTTTATGGAAAGCTGAATAAAGCTTAGATAGGTAATAATAATATTTAGTGTTCACTCTATTCTTAATTAAAAGGAAATTTAGATATTAACACTGACTTACTTTCCTTGAAACAAACATTCAAGGACATATTTCAGTCAAAATTCCAGCAGTATTAGGCAAATCGAAATTCACTTGGACTGCAGGTTTGCTGTGACAGGGGCAGGGGTATCTTTTGAGTTTAATTTATTTATATTTTTGTGGAGCTATTTTAGAGATTTTACTGTGCACTTAAATGAAGATAACTTGATTTGATTTATTCTGTAGACAACATTTTGCTAATGTAAAATTGCTTGTTAAAGGTCAGTTTCACACCTCGCCCGAAAGACCAGGCCGTCACCCAAGTCGTGGAGGGACCACCCGTGTCGGGAGAGGAAGAGGGCGTTGTAACCCTCTGGAGCTGGAAATCCCGCTGGATGTTATACCTAGCAAGATCAGCCCTGCCGGGTTAACTCTTGCAAACAACGCCCCAAAATCTCCCGCAGCGGCTATAGCTCGTCCCCCTTCCCCCCACAACATTTGTAACTCCAGATTAGTGGAGTGCGTTGGCAACAATGTCAAAATATCCATCCCTAACAGGGGTAAGTTGAATGGTAGATTGCTGTTAGAACAGGGGTTTTGTTGTTGTGTCAGTTTTATTTGTATTTGTAAGACTGTGGTTATTGCTTGTGGAATGTTTATCCAGCCTTTGGATATTGAGATTATTAAACATCCAAAGCTGTAACCAGTTTTAGTAGCTGAATTGAGTAACTGACACTGTAGTTCTCCGCAGCGATATAATACAGTATACAGTGTTCCTATAAAAATAAATAATTTTTTACCCCTCAAAAATGTTCAAGTAGTGTGGTAAACTAGGAGAGAAAATCTCATTTTGACAAAGCAAACTCTACTGTTAGCATCTGCTCCTTTCAAACAGTGTTGTATTTCATTGATTTCTTATTGCCTTACCTTTCACAGCCGAACTTCAGACCTTCATCCAACAGTTAATTCAATGAAAACTCTGCAGTTTGGATCCATTCAGTTGCCTCATGTTGTTCTTATTTCTAGTTTAACTATAATCTATCTAAGTAAAAAAAAAACAATACTCTACATTCTTATCATTACCTTTTACTTTTACAGTTTCGTATGAAATTGTACGTTGAAGCTGAAAGATTGTTTCAGGTTTACAGCTGGCAAGGTATTACCCAGTTAGTGGACGTGAATTTGCCCACTTTTAAATTCTTTACTGATGGCTGAAGAATTGTAAGGACTTCTTTTACAATCACAAGGCGACGACAAATCATGCCGACCATTAGACATTTCTTGATTTTCTACAAACGTATCGTTTGTAGACTTGGCTCAGTTGAACACATATTACAGTACTGAATGTCTCCATTTGAAAATCCATAAGTTCATTGATGATATCCCTAATGAACGTTCCGTGTTCCAAATGACAACATAAGTGTTTAATAATCCAATCCCTCATATGAGGCTGTATTTTTTTTTTCTGCAATTCAAGTTCTGTTTAAATTTTTTTTCTAGTTTATAAATAAGTTACTAGGCTATAAGCGATAGATATAAGTTACAGTTTTATATCTAACATAGTATAGTTATTTAATTTGTAGTTGATAAGTTTATATGGTTAGTTAGTAAGTTACGGTAGTTTATAAGTTTCTCAAATACCTAAATAAAACTTGTTAACTAAATAAATGTTACTAAATAAACTTGTCGAATGGTATGTTCCCGTGTTAGTTTATGTATTGGTGATAAATATGTTTATATATTTAGTAAATCAACTAAAAACATAAATTTCTCTTTAGTATTGCATAAATCAGTAATTTAAATTCTTATAATTTTACTTTTGAGGTTAAAGTTAGCTAGTAATGTTGGATTACACTGGCAAGTATAGCTCGGCCGTTTAGAAAACGACCTGCGCGCTAATGCTAAACCAATGCTGGAGGAGGTCGTTTTCTAAGCGGCCGAACTATAGAGGAGCTCCTCATTTTCTGGAGAGGTTAAGAACTGGAATTGACAGGCATAGCAGCTTACCATTTTCAAAGTTACTTTAAAGTGGGTTTAAACTTATTTTACTATAAATAAATAATAAAAGTGCTTCTTAATAGTGCTCAAAAGTTTTTTATACAGATAAATTTAAAAAAATAGTGTTTAATACCTGTTAAAAAACAGTTTTAAGGTACTGGTCAAAGTTAACCTATATTGTGCTTTAAAACATGATGGAAGACAACTTGTTTATTGAGTAAAAGCGTCAAAAAGCATTTAGAGTGAAGAAATTAAAAAACCACAATTCTATTAAAGGACTTGTATAAAACAACAATGATACAGAACAGGCAAGTAACATATGAATTCAACTAGAAGCATAGTGGACTTACCATTGCATTTTATACACAATTAACTAAAAGAAGTTTTTCTGGTAATAAACAACAATATGAACATCACAAATAGGTAAACTGAAATAAACTGCAATAGGTATCAGAGATAACCACACAACTGCCTAGGTGGTGTATCATAAACTGATAAGCCTCTAGCGCTCAGCCTAGGTCAAAGGCCCAGAACTTTATCAGTGATAAGACACTGGTTCTCTTTTGAATCATAGTGGTAATAGTATATCCTTTTTAAAACACATAGCCAAAATAATTTATTTATCCGATTATCAGTATAATTTATTAAATTTATTCATAAAAAAAAATGGTAAATAAAAAACAATATCCCTGTGGAAATTGTCGTAAGAATGTTGGAAAGTGTAAAGCTTTGTTATGTAAAGGAATTTGTTGTAAATGGTTCCACTTTAAATGTACTACACTTACAGTAGATGAATTTAATAAAATATCTACTGGTCATATAAAATAGGTATGTGAACCATGCAAGTCCCATGATGTCACTTTAGGCATTGATCAAGAAACAGACGAGTTAAATGCAGATATAAGTCAAGAATTGGAAACTCAAATTGAAATTATTAAAACGTTGAATGAGGATCTAAATCAGGCAAATAAGTAAATACAGGAACTAAAGTCTCAAAAGGCAGCGCTTGAAAATCTAGTGTTAAAAAAAGAAGAGGCCATTATAACACTGGAGGAAAAAATCAAGGAATTGAATACTATTATTAGGAAACCAGTTTGGCCAGCATTAAAAAAACAATAATAATGTTTCTAAATCAAAACAGATTTTTCCAGTAAGTCAATCTACACCTAGAAGTATAAATAAGCCGAATGTCCTAGCTCAACCATCAGTTAGTTTTACAAGTAACTCAATTGTACATGAAGATGTCGAAACCCAAAATCGCTTTGCAAGTCTTGCCATGGAAGATGAGGCTATTAAAGATGCTGCAAATACTACAAATCTCAAAAAGCACTCTACTAAAAAAATACTTGTTTGCGCTGACAGCCATGGGAGAGATTTAGCATGGCACTTAAAAAAATCCCAAAAGCTGTATGAAACACTAGGATTTATTAGACCAGGTGGTCGAACAAATCAAATTTTAAATACAAATAATATTGAGGGTGAAAATCTTAGAAAAGAAGATGCTCTAGTGATCATTTGTGGTACAAACGATGTGGCTAGAAATGAAGCAGATGAATGTGTTGAGGGTATATCGACTTTCTTGGACAAATGGAAACAACAAACTGTGTGTATTGTGGATTTGCCAATGAGATATGACTTGCCAAATTGGTCATGCGTGAATAATGAATTACGAAAAACCAACCTACGACTCAAAGAACTTTGTCAAAAACACAACAATGTATTTTTTGTGGAAGCCAGCAAAGCGGAAAGACATTTGCATACACGCCAAGGTCTCCATCTCAACAACAAGGGAAAGAAGTGGCTTGCGGATAGGATAGCTGAGGCTGTTGCTGCTAAGGAGTACGACCGTCCAGTGAGTAGGCCTACACACGATGAACAACCTCCCCCACCAGGCACTGAGTCTCAATCGGGAAACGTCTCTCCACCAACGCAAGGCAACGTACCCTAGGTCTATCTAATGAATGTCTTAGTATTTATCATTGTAATGTTCAATCTATTAGAAATAAGTTAAACTTAATTGATGCCTTTTTGACAAATCTTAACTGTGATATTTTAACTATTAATAAACATTGGATGTTCGAAGAAGAATTTGCTTTTTACATTCCTTACGGGTATAACTTAGGTAGTATTTGTGGTAGAAATAATTCTCATACAAGAGGTGGTGGAAGTGCTATATATTATAAGAGAGGCATTGAGGCTCAAGCGTTAGATGTAACACAGTTTTACCAGGACAATATTTTTGAGGTAACTGCAATTAATTTGCCAGGAATTAATGTCATTATATCCACCTTGTACAGAACTCCAGATTCAAATATCAACCAGTTTCTTAAAATACTAGACACTTTTTTATTACACTTAAATACAAAATATGTTGGTTCAAGATGTATTATAACTGCAGATTTTAACATTAATATATTAATCAAATCAAAAGAAAGAGATTTCTTCCAAAATGTATTACGATCCCATAACATTTACTGGTTAAATGAAAATCCAACTAGGGATGATAAGTGTTTAGATAATATAATAACCAACATTGATAGAAAGAAAGTAAATTGTTCTGTAATTGAACCACACTTATCAGATCATGCAGGAGTGTTTGCAAAATTTTATGAAATGAATGTCAACAGGACAAAGTCCAATAATATCACAACTAAAACAATAAGGGATACAACTCCTAGAGCACTGTCTAACTTAAGGAATGAACTGTCACAAATTAATTGGTTGCAATTAGCACAGTTTAACAATGTAGATGAAGCGTTTAACCATTTTAATTTATTATTGACAAATTCTTTTAATGAAAGCTGTAGGTTTAAGGAAGTTAAAATAAACAATCATGGCAAGCCCAAGTTGAAGTGGTATACACCAGAGTTACAGAGGTTTAAGATATATGTCACAACTTTTTATGACAGGTATAGAAGTTCTATGGGTACAACAAACGAAGGAGTCCATAAACTAGATTTGAAATTAAAGAAAATGTATAAAAAAAGGATTAGTTATTTTAAGAAAATTGCAAATGATAGGTATATTGAAAATTCTTCAAACAAATGTAAGGCAGCATGGAGTTTGATAAAAGCTGAATCAAATTGCAGAAAAAATAACCAAGATGTAGTTTTAGACTCAAATACTTTAAATGCTTATTTTGTTAATGTAGTCAATGAATTAAATAAATGCAATGTTAGTGATATGTCTAGTAGTCGTGCAGTGGAATTAGTTAATAATTTTGTCTCAAATAGAAACTTAGGCAATGAGTTTTTCAAGTGGCGAAAAATCAATACTGTTGATGTAATAAGGTGTGTAACTAGCTTAAGTTCCTCACGAAGTGAAGATTATTATGGTTTTTCTAATAGGGTTATCAAAGAAATTATTAATGAAATAGTAGAGCCATTAACATTTCTCTTCAATAAAATGATGGATCAGGGTATATACCCTAAAAAACTTAAACTTTGTAAGGTAATGCCAATTTATAAAAAAGGTGAGAAACAAAACCCATCCAGTTACCGGCCAATCTCTCTTGTACCCATACTAAGTAAGATCTTTGAAACCTGCATTAAAGCACAGCTCAATACATATTTTATCAATAATGATCTATTTTGTGATGAACAGTTTGGTTTTATGCAAGGTAGAAGTACATGCAAAGCAGTAGAAAGTATTGTCAGTAAACTTTTAATGAACTTTGAAAATAAACTTCTTTCGTCCGCATTACTAATTGATTTAACAAAAGCTTTTGACTGTATGCAACATGAGCTTCTTATTAAGAAACTGTACAGCTATGGTATAAGGGACCAAGAGTTGAATTTGTTAGCTTCTTATTTAAGTGACAGAGAGCAAATGGTAATCCAGGGCAAAGACAAATCTAGCTTTAAGAAAATTGAAAATGGTGTACCCCAGGGGTCAGTGCTTGGGCCACTACTATTTATCATTGCAGTTAATGATTTCTCTTTCAATATTCCTTGTACCTCTGTTCTTTATGCAGATGATACAACACTCATAAACAGCCATAAAGATTTAAAGGAACTTAAAAAAATTGAGAGTCGGGCTTTACAAGTTGCACAAGAATGGTTCCAATCCAATCATTTAATTGTAAATAACCAGAAAACTGAAAATATAATTTTTACTCTTAACTACTCTATTTATTTACTCTGTTGCTTATTAAATGAGTGTTGAAATTGGCAGTTGGTGTTAATTAGCTATTCTCAATGTTTCTGGCGACTAATGTTTGAAATTTTCTGTGTCTTTTGCTGGATTAAGAAATGGTATCGACAAATGGCTCCCAACAAAGATTAGAAGGCCAGGGAAATTATACAGTAAATGCCTCGATGATGAACTTGCCCCAGAACGATGACTGTGCTGCTCACTGCTGAGGACTTCAACTTGTTAATGTTATATTTTTTTAAGTTTTTAGGATTTTTTGAGAGGATAGCAGGCTTACCTGAATGGGAAAGAGTCCAAACTGGCACAGGAAACACAAAACTTTACAACTATATACACAAAACATTAGAATATTTCACTGTCACTGACAGCATTTTCAACTAAGAAAGAGAGAGTTTTCTACATGTCCAAAATGGTGGCCAGTGAGTTCACTGGCTGGAACTCACTGGCCACCATTTTGGAATGTAGAAAACTCTCTCTTTCTTAGTTGAAAATGCTGTTAGTGACAGTGAAATATTCTAATGTTTTGTGTATATAGTTGTAAAGTTTTGTGTTTCCTGTACCAGTTTGGACTCTTTCCCATTCAGGTAAGCCTGCTATCCTCTAAAAAAACATAAAAACCTAGGCCCTTGTGCTCTATGCTACACCCTTAACCTTATATTTATGTTTGTGTTGGTTTAGGAAGAATCTCCATTTATGTAATAGTGTTAAGGGTGATGGTAACAATCATAACACTAGAAACAAGTGGCAACTAACAGATTTTAGTAAGTACACTTTTTTAACATAATTTTTTTATTATTTCTTTAAAGGGGTGTGTTTAACCTTGTACTCACTTGTTCATCAACATAGGCCTGTGTGTGGAGCCTACCCAACAAAGCTAGGGTTGAGCTGGTACAGTATAAGAGTTGTACCTTGATGATAAAATGTAGTGGCAGATACAAGGATCCGAACCCACAACATGCGTCCAAAGTCTGTTTTGCTACCGACTGAGCCACCGACTCACTAGGGATACATTTTTTTTTTAAATAGTAAAATAGACGATGCTAGCCTATTGATTGTTGTGCCTATTGTTGGCTTTTGTTGTTGTGTTGTTGTTTGTTAATGATTAGACTAGATGATGTTACTTGTAAATTACAAGTTGTAATACACATGACCTATTGTAATCGTTAATATTTAAATGACCAAATAAAGAATTGTTAATATATTGATTGATTGCAGGTGCTGCACAATCAAGCCCAAAACCTCAGCGTCAACCCCATGAGACAAGAGGCAGATACAAGTCACAAACAAGCTACAGCAGTCAGTCAGACGATGATACACCCAGAGAACGTAGCAACCGTGGGAGACGGCAGCGAAGTCACAAGTCAACCAAAGAGCCAGATAAAATCCAACCCAATCTTACATCAGCCAAAGCTAGCTTGGATCAGTTGCCTGTTCAAAATAAACCTCCTCTACCTCCATTCAGGGCTGAGCATAAGCCGCAAGAAGTGAAAGACCCGGTCGAAGCCAAAGACGGAGATGAATCTTGGGAGGATGTTACAACGAGTGGTACGGAAAGCATGGGTGAAGAAATGTCCTCCGTAACTTCTAGTCCCTTGATGAAGACGATTGTCAACACAATGGTTATAAGTGGAAAACAAAATGAGGTAACAGACTTTATACAATCAGTGGAGTATTCTCCAAATCAAGTGTTGGATGTTTATGGGAAGATGAGTTATGAAGAGTTCTCAAGTTGCTTAGAAAATAATAAAGCACATCAAGGTTTGGGGTTTGGAGTTGTGGAAGTGGATTACCCTGATACTGATACGTCTAGTGTTAATTTAAGTCTTGACGCTTCTGGTAACATCCTTCTTGCAGGGATTTGCTCAGAAGAACTATTAATTGGCCAGGAAGAGCAACAGTTCAACACGACCCTTCCAGAGACTCTCACGTTTGATGAACTAGGACTAGTCGGAGTCATAGACGAACTTCCGCAAAATGAACCCGTACTCTTAGATGAAAATCCTTTAGAATTAGTGAACGAACAAGATGAAAATCCTTTGAAATTATTGGTGGACACAGATGAAAATATTTTGATATTAGTGAACGAAGAAGATGGAAATACTTTGAATTTGGTCCCCAAAGAAGAAACTATACTTGTTGCTGACGAAAGTTTAGAGTTATCTTCTAACTTGCTATTACAAAATGAAGTTGAAAAAGAGAAGGTAGTTGCCGAAACAAAAGTTGAATATCAAGAGAACCAACCAAGTGAAGAAAATAAAATTGAAAATAACACTAGTAAAGTTTTGGTTGATACTGTTGAAGCGATACAGACAAAGTCAGATTTGACTAACTCAGAAACAATGCCGAGCGAGTCCAATAAAACTCACGAAACTTAAGTTGATGAAAGTGAGAATGAACCGCAACCAACTGAAACCGCAGTTGTGAAGTAAATTTAGAAGGATTGTCTTATGTGATTGTTTGTACACTTACCTTGCGCTCTGTCAACTACATCTTGGAGTCAAAGCAGTACTGAACAGAGCTTGGAAAATCTACTGATATGTGCCTTTGATGATTGACGCTGTAAGCTTGACTGAGGGTTGAAGATGTGCAGCAGCTCTTCAATATGAAAATTTGAGGTTAGTAATAATTTTTTTTCAAAACTAGTTGTAGTTTTTATGTACTGTATCAATTTGTATTTTTTAGAATTTTGAATCTCAAAACTTAAGTTATTTTTTATGGAATTAACTGAAGAAAACTAAATTGAATCAATAGCAGAATAGATTGTAATCATACTTTGCTTTGACACTCTCCACAAAGTCTTTTGTGTAACAAGTTACATTCAATGTTTTTCTTGTTGTTTTCATATAAAAATGTAGGTAGTCTGTTACAGGATTATTTGTTAGAATTGCCCTAACCAGTAGTTATAATAAGTATTTACAAAAATATCAATTGGATATGGTACTAGTACAGTTAATTTTCATTTTAATATACTCTGAATATTGGTTCCAAACAAATAAAATATACCATTAAAGTACATAATTATGATATAAATCTAGTAATGTTTTCAAGTTTAAAAAATACTGAAAGTCTTATAAATAACATAAATCTCCAAATCTTTATCATAATGAAAGGAACAGCGCTGTTATGTAAAAAATATTTATTTAAAATAGTTTTCAATGTATTACATTTCATTTTTTGAGTATATAAATTTTGTTGATACACTTTTCTTTGACCGGGTAAACAATGTGAGTAACCTGGAACAAAATCAATTTTAGGTGAATGATTCTCAATTCCAAATCCTAGATTAAATTTATTACAGTTATTCATACTATCTAAAAACTAGTCCCGTTTTTGTTATTAGTTTTACGATTTCAATATTAAGTTTAAAGTTTCTCTATATTTGGTCACAGTCCCAATGCTTTCCCATACTTCGGTCAGTCGAACAACAGATGATTATGAATAAATGAATTTATTTCCCATATTACATAACACTTTACAATCATAATAATTGTTGAGAAATGTAAACTGGTCACTTTTTCAAGTAATGTGACCTGTTACAAGGTTAAACATACATAATAAATAGTAAATTGTTGAGCCTAGCATCAGATGACAAATATTTTATCCGCCTGCTGTAACTGGGCAAAACTTAGACTAAGAAAGTGTTAATAAAATACACATAAAATAAGGTAACGGTAATACAATCTTATACCAAAGAGTTGGCAAGATAACCTACATCCTGTTAAGAACTAAGCCAAGTGATTGTTCTTTTACAAAATCACGGACAATTATCAGTGCAGTATCCTTAAACATCTTTTTTTTAACTTACATGAATGGAAATGAACAGTAACATGTATACTTGATGAGCATCTCAAATATACACTAAATTTAAACACAACTTAAAATGCAGACTTTAATGCGGGAGGTTTAGGTTTTACCCCCAGTCATATCAACAAAGATTTTAGGGCTTTAAAATTGTTCCCCTTAAAAGTATTTTTGATTCATACAAAATGCCACCACTGTGGTCGATCTCACAAAAAAGAAAAGAAAAAGGAATTAATTTGGTTGGTCACCTGACCACTTATGTGCTGTCAAAATACTGGCAGAGTTAAGACTCATATTTACAAAAGCTATAGGAGTTAACACTAAAACCGAGGATTTATTGAATCTTCATCCTTGACACAGTGTTAATTCGATTGTGTTACAAAACTGTTCTAACCTACAAACTGTTCCTACACAAAATGGTTGTCAGTAGAACTTATTTACTTCAGTGAGTTGGTGGCTCAGTTGGTAGCCAATACTTAAGCAAGAAGGAAACAAGTAGACTAGACAGTACCTGCGGGTAATTCTACCTGACACTTCTGGCTTCAGGTATAAACTGCTGTGAATTCCTCTTCTCTTTTCAATCAGTTGCCTGAATATTGATCTGATTCTCTTGTTTCGTTTTAGGAATTCTGGTTCAAAGACATCGGATCATTAGAGAGGGACCATAATGCAACTCACTCCATTCTACCCTCATTCTTCATTCATTGGGTGGCAATAAGCCCAGTCTCCTCCGCATCTTAATTGGTAATTATAATAATAATGTATCCGTCAGTAGGTAGTCTGTTATTTAAGCATCAGACAGTATTTCAATGCAGAACATTAGTAATCATTCATTTTTTTTGGCAAGAACGCAGAACTAGAAGGGGTTGGTTCTTTTAAATGAAAATAGAGTGTTATTAAATAACCTCTTTAATCTTTTCATGGCTGTGTTAAATTAATAATGTTTGAAAATCATAAACAAGAATATTAAGAAAACCGAAAGAATTAAGACACTATATATTGGTTTGTTGTTTACATAGAAATCAATAATTAATTCAATTATTTATTTTTGTTAAAAAAACACTCAGCTTAAAGAAAGCTACAAATCAATTTTCCCTTTTGTATTGTTCCTTAAATAATACTTTTCAGCTCTGAAATGTTTTTAGATTATAGTTTTACGAGGGGACCCACTCGCAAATTACACATTTTAATTAGATATAAAACTTAATTTCAAGGTAAAATAGTAATTCAATACCCTTTAAAAGTGAAGTCTAGAAATAATTAAAACACAAGGGAACAAAAGCCCTTATGAAAATTACCTTTTTGTTACCATTCACAGGTGCGCTGTATCATAAAATTTAAAATCCTTATTGAAAACCCTTATTGTATTAAGTATTTAAATTCATTTTTATTTATACTAAAATGAATCATATATAAAATATTATGCTATATAGCCAATCATAATTTATTTTATCGCGTTTTTAGGTTTATAAGTTTAAAGTGATTTTTAGTTTAAGTGATAAAAGTGATTGCTGATTTAAGAAGGTTACTTATAGTAACAGTGAAATTATGTCTTAAAACGTTGAGTGCTGACTACATCAATTGATGTAGTCGCACCACCCCCACTACATTAGTTCAGTATGAGCTCAGCCATTGCTAGGGAACGTTATAATTGTTGCTAGCCTGTAGCTTAGAATGTGAGCATAGTTTTGGTGTAAGAAGCCACATTACAAAGACACTAACTACTAGGGGTCTGCGGTACAGAAAAATTTAAGGTTGGTACTGTTCGGTACGGTACAATATTTTGTACCTCGGTTCTCTGTACAAAATCGGTACGGTACGCAGCTAGCCGTATTTTTGCGGTTTTCTTCTCAGAACTGTATTTAAATTATTATTTTTAACTTTAATACATTTGGCATTACCATGAAAATGGATAGTATCCTACATTCATGGTTTTCTAACAACAATTACTGTACCACTCATTATTAAAACAATAGTATATTACGTTACTAGTCCTGAAAATAAATGTTTACCAGACGAGTGTGGTGTTCCCGTGCGAGACGAAGTCGAGTACGGGATTACCATACGAGTCCGGTACACACATTTTGGACGAGCTACGTACGATAGTTTACGCCATACTACTTAATTCGTACAAATCCTTATATATTTCCACCTACTAAAGGACTAAACATCACCAGTCATAACCTCTAAGAGAGGTTATGTTTTTGTTTATAACCAATCATTGCCATGCAAATACAGTATAATCAGCTGATTGGTGTCCGGTAAAACTCATTGCAGAACAGTATTACGCAATGAAACCCCATTTGAATAAGCTGGCGGCAAACAGCTGTTTTCTGGACTAAATCCTTGCGTGGGAAGTTCGTCAAAATAATGTAGTGTGGCGTAAAACCTTTTACTACTACGAGGATTGGATTGTGTCAAGAAAAATCACAGTTAAGATAAAGGCTTTACCTATTTTACTCTGAGATACTTTGAATAACCATGATAAAGTGGTTTTAAAATTAGGATAAGAGTTTTTAGGAATAAACATGTTTGAAACATTTATTGACAAGATAATTTCACACAACTGGTAAATTATTTCTTATCAACACAATGTCTAGTTGTTTTTTTTTTATTTTTAAAAACATATAAAAGCATTCAGTGTAGTTGCCAGCTGTTCACAGCAGATGACAATGAAACACTGGAGGTTATGATGAAGTAATGGCAAAGAGCATCTTTTTTTAATCATCTTCAAAACTAATTATAAGATGGATACAACTCTTGCAAAGTTTTTTTCTTAAACTAAAATTTGGATAATCACAGAGTAAGATTATTGTCTTTTCATTTACAAAGTTAATACCCACACATATCAATCATTAGTTTATCTCAGGCTCAATAGAATTTTCTTAGTATATTTTAAAGCTCTTCCAGAGAATCAAAAGACTCAAGCCTAGACCTAATTATTTAGGAGGGCCTATATATAAATTGGTTAGGTTACAATGAGGGTAGCAAAATCACTATCTATTTCATAAGATTTAGATTGCATAAAGCACCTTCAACACAATAAAAAATACAGAAAACTAAAAAACATTTAAGCCTTAAACAGCCACATCTAACAATATAAGACAAGATACAGAACATGCAATGACATAATTTAAGACCGGGAAAAAAAATTATGCAAACAACAACTATGATTGTAGGTTGTCAATAAAAAGATAAAATATCTATAACAAATATTTTAATTTATAAAATAAGATTGTAGGCTAGATTATTTACAAGTTTATTATGTAGCCATATACAGTTTTATGGCAATAGACAATGGCCAGCGGCAAATTGATTAAATACTGACTGAGTTAGAGATAGCATTTAACAGTCATCATGAAACTATTATTTTTATGATAAAATAGAATTGGGGAAAGTCATAAAGAAATAAAAGTGATAAAACTCAATAGTTTTTGGAAGTACTTGAATACAACAATAATTGTCGTGATAAAATGTTAAGGGATTTGGGACTGCTAATGGGTTTTTTATTGCATCATCACCCTAGTAATAAATTATGAAGATGTAAACAAACATCTGATAAGACTCTCAGGGTAACCCTATCGTCAGATTGAAATATTTGAATGCCAATTGTGTTTGCTGTTACGGTGCCGCGCCGGGGCTTTGCCTGGGACTCGCCGCACTCAACGTGTTAAAAAGTGTTTTGATACTAGGGGTCTGCGGCTGCTTAATTACCGTCATTGGTACCGGTTCGGAAGGTTTAGTAAATCACTTATGCAATCAGTAATATACAAAAAAGGGGGATTTATATTGTTTAAAAATGTTAACAAAGCTTAAAAGAAATTTAGCCTAATGCTATATAAAAACATTATCAGAAGTATATAACATTTTACATGTAATGTAAAATGAAAATATAGGCAGGCCTGATTAGCTGATGGAAAAAAAACGTCTTAAAGTGCCAAAGAGGATATTCGATTGGGATTAATAGTAACTCTGGTCTAAATAAAACACAAATCAATAACCATTTCAATGACAAATATTTACTAGAAAAATAAGTAGATGACTTCGACATAGAGTCTGGTCATTCACTGGTTGGATAAAAGAAAATGAATTATAATTTTAGTCTGATATCGATAATTATATTCCTTAATAATTTCTGAGCATTTTGATAGTAAATTGTAAATTTGAGTCCAAACCCAGTAAAAATGACCGGGCGGTCATTCATTGGTTTAGCCCAGGAATCTGTTCCAGTATGTGACCGCTTGAATAAAAACTTATTTTTTGGCTTACGTATAAAATTAGATAGTTTAAGATCAATATACACTCCTAATATTAAGTATTAGCCAAATAAATCGCAATTTCAACAGTCTTTTTTCACAAAAAAAAGGTAATGAAATATGCCTTTCCTGCAGAGTTCTTATTGTGGCAGAAGCTAAAAACGAAAATTCAAAACATGTCCAAGCTAAACCATCAAAATAAACATAAATAATTAACAATAATTAAAAAAATTACGATTAAATATGAAGAATATAGAAATATCTATTGTCTAAACTAGTTGTTTTCACTCCTGTCTTAATTTAACTCTTCTTATTATAGATGATTTAGAGTGAAACGGTCATTCATAGGCACCGGTCATTCACTGGGCAAGTCACCCTATGTTTGTCAACTATACTTCCTTTTTTCGTTACACAATTTTGTTAGCAATTGGAGCAAACTGGTGGTGCAAGAGGGGAGGGGAAGGGTCTATGACTTTGAGTATGACCTTGAGTCTATAGGTACCGATTTTGTACCGAGAACCGAAGTACAAAATATTGTATCGTACCGAACCATACCGACCTTAAATTTTCTGTACCGCAGACCCCTATTTGATACTATAGAATATGTTTCCCCCATTAGTGGTTTTAACAACTGTTCTGTATGTTGTTATGGACTTAAAATCCTCTTACTTACTGTGATTTTATAAAACAATCAATATAAATATCAAATATGTTATTTAAAACTGAGCAGCTGAATTATAATGCTTCCCTAGCAATCAGAAGGTTCCCGGTTTGATCCCAAGAGTCAGTAGCTTTTTGATCGATCAAAACTAGATCTAGCTTAGGTGCGTTACACACACACCGATTTTGGACGACTGATTTTTTACTGGCCGTCCAAATTACAATAGTGAACTGCAGGCGGGAACGGGACCTTACACACACGCCGACCTCTGTTCGGCCCCGGTAAAATGCCTATGAGCAGCCGGTCACTGCCACTGCATACCGCCGGTGCCGGGGATGTGCCAGCAACGCAGTGGCGTACGTGACTAAATACAAGCTTGCACATGCACCGATTTTTTTCTGGCCATCTCTACAGTTCTTGCTACACCATCCTCCATTCCAGACGACTGCTCTGCTACTATTTTTAGTATTCTGGTGTTGGATTTAATTTTTCAACTTATCGTGGAGTTTGTCAAAGGATGCTATTGACATTCTGAAATAGTTAAAAAAAACTTACTGCTATCAAGCCTTAGTTCTTCAAAAAGTGTGTGGAATGTTCCCGTGTTTTCGGTGTGTGTGCAAATAGCCTTACCTGATCATCGGGTTTTTAATAAATAATGGTCAATGGTCCTGGCTACTGAAACTGCTGATCATAGCATAACAAAGCTAAACAATATCCCTTACTCTGTTCTTCTCTCAAGTTGAAGTACACAACATGTGCGGTCTTCGTGTAATGACAACAATATAAATGCTGTATAATCATTTTCCTTGTTTCCACAATAATTTTAGTATTATTTAATAACAAAAATGCCTATAAATTCAGTTTGCCGATAAAATTAGCTGCAAACTAAACCAATTGAATAATTGGAGACGTAGGAATTGGCTAACTCAGGAACTCGCTAACTCGGTCGTGTGGCGGAACTGGCTAACTCTGGAACTGGCTAACCGTCTCAGTCAGGAATTGGCTAACTCCGGAACCCGCTAACTCGATTTTGTCTCGCGGCGGAATTCGCTAACTCTGGAAGTCGCTAACCCGGCCGCGCCCACTGCTCGGAGCGGTGCCAACCTTGTACGACAAAATAATCGTACACTGCCGTATTTCAAAATGTCAGTGTCTATAAAGATACAGTAAATGTTATTGTTTTTTGTTATCAATTCCACTTTTAACAGATAACTAGCCCAAAGTAATTAAAAGACAATTAAAAAACTGTACAATGGCCAGTTAAATGTTTATGATTTCGATCTTAAATATAAAAGCCATCAGTATAAAAGAAAATAATAGAATATGAAAAATATTCAAAATTTAGTTTAATTGGTAATAAATAATTAAACCTCTACGAAATTAAGCTAAAATACACGCAAGTTCTTAAACACGGAAAACAGATTTAATTGTATATAATGTCGTAATAAACCAAAACCATTAATTAATACAGTCATCAACCATCGTAACTTTCATAATTAATTCATAGATTTTAAATTTAATGTTCGTCTTTGAACCGTCCAACTTACGTGTACACATATGATGACATAGACTAAGTTATTATCTAGGCCTAATAGTTTGAACCAAAGCATTGTAGGCCTACTAGTAAATATTTGCCTAATTCTAAAGTGTGTTGAATTTTTTAGCAATAATGTTACATGTTTTAAAACAGTTTTTAGATTGTACACCTAAGCACCACTAGTAAAAAATAGGAGAAGATATAATATTCATATAATAAAACGTGACAGGGTTATTTTAATTCACGATTTTTAATAAACTAATTGACAGATTTTCCTGATTTGAGTGTTGGGTTTCCTTTTTATTGCTTTCACAAACGATATAAACTATAGCAAGCCATTGCTCGGTTCACTGTTCCCAAGTACTGAGCTACACAATAGACAATAGCTTTGTTTTTGGATAAGATAGAACCAGCCTGAAAAAAAAACTCCAGACTTTTAAAAAGTAAGCCTACTGAAAGACGTAAAATTAATATTAATTCAACAAAATTAAGAGGATGACCCGGGTTCTACACTAATAGCCTACGATAAAAGAAATTTACAAGTTGTATTTATGCATAGACCAACTTTTAATGCAATCCATGAATACATTAGGCCTACCACTTTATAATGTATTGATAAATATTTATTTAAATTCAATAGCTCTATTTAAAAATACGTAACCACTACAATGTAATTCTGTAATGACGTTTAACGTGTGAATTTTATTATGATTTATGATTTAAGGTTACTACAAGCCCAGTATATAAAATACGAACTCAAAAATTTTATTTGCAGAAGTTCACAAAATGGTATTTATTCGAATAAAAGAAACAAATGGCGGACTACGAAAATAGATATTTCATAACATGTAATAGATCCAAATTAAATGTGCATTTTTATCTTTTTCATACCAATAAGCTACTATTTAAGTAAGAAACCCACATATAAAACATACTCCCTTATATTAGTACATTGCTAATCCTTATGGATCATCTGAAGACAGTTGTATTGTTAGTTCTGTCCGGTGCACTGTCTTTAGAGGTCGTGTTTTGTTTACAATTGTTTCTTGTTTTCAGTAATTTAAAACCTCGTTTAACCAAATAAAACGTTCTAATCACAACTAATAACACGTCCCCTAGTTATATAACCAAACAGTAAGGAACAAATCATGAAGTTAACTATAAAATGATAGAAACACAATTTTGTCGACACTAGCGATCAGTGTCACCGGACATGAACTAGACACGAAAAACGAGCTTCAAAGTTTACAAAGGGATGTAAAGTTTACTTGTGTTGGTTAGTCTATGGTAAGACTATAATGCATTTTCCACCCTAATAACCATAAGAATAATGTTAAACATACTTCCAAATATATTTATTTTATCGACTACGTTGTTCTTACTCCTAATTAATCGTAGGATACGACATTATGGTACCGATACAATATAGGTAGTACACTTTCGGCAACACTGGCCAAAAATATTCGTGCTTGGCTCCCATTGGACGGCCCGCGAGGCTTCTGATTGGGAGTTAGCGAGTTCCGCCGAGGGACCGAGTTAGCGACTTCCGTACGAGGACGGAATTCGCTAACCCGGCTTTAGAGCGGGTTAGCGGGTTCCGGAGTTAGCCAATTCCGAAACCGAACAAGTTAGCGAGTTCCTCTCATCGACCAAATTTGAAGATAGGGCATTTAACATGGGGTTAGCGAGTTCCAGAGTTACCTAATTCCGCGGACCCGAATAATTGTAGGCCACATAAAGATTAAACTGACTCACAACCTCAAATAGTCGTAAACTTTATCTGTCAATCATAACAATTTCACCATAAATTTACCTAAGGAAGTTTTTTCCTTACTGCAGTGAAAATATCTGTTTTCAACATAAATATGATGTAGGGCTTAAGGTATCCCTATATCACTAGGGTAAAAAGAACTGCCGGAGTTGAGGATGACACCAGCTGAAATCTTTCTCCCCTGTAAACTTTTTTTAAACCTTTTTGAATTCAACTTCTTTTATTGTTACATTGTTGTAGGCTGTATTGTAAACTTATGTACTTTATTTTTGGTCCCGACCTATGATAACACCTTGGTAACAGATGTATGTTTATATTTGCCAAACAAGATGGAACCCGTTTAAGGAGCTAACAATTGAAGGTAAACCTGCTCAAAGAATTGGATTTCTTGAATTAAATTATTTAGCCTGATTGGCCTTCATCATACGAACCAAACGGGTTTTTAAACCTTTTTTTAACTTGAGTTTTTGTCAAAAAGGCCCTATAATTATGAAATTAATGTACTACTGTTAATACATTTACTTATGATATACAATCATAGGAAATAAACGTTTTTTTTTTTTATTTAATATAGTTTTTACTTTTCTTATCAATATAGACTTGAATCATGTCATTGAAATGGAAACAAAAATGTAATATTTTTTCAGCATAGGCTACATTAAAACTATCATGTATTGACATAAAAACTAAACAAACTTTTAGCACTTGCTCTTGCTAAACAATTGTTTGAAAGTAAAAACATATAACATAACATGTGCCTTGTCATGACATGATAATTGTTTTAGTTAATTGCTCATAAGTTATTTAAACCAATTTGATTTAATAGTTAAGTCTGTATTTTTTTGTGATGTTTGTTTTTCCTTTAATTGATTAAGTGTGTATTTATGTGAACTAGAGTATCTTATAATATGTTGACAATATTAATTGTTTGATGTGGATCATTTATATTAAAATATAATTATGATGAGTAAATGACAAGATTTTTTTTACCCCTCTATAGTAGCTAAGCCTACTGTAATTAGACCAGTTAAGAAAAAATCATTTTTGTACAGCAGACACTCTCTAATGCCCTAAAAGTGTCAATGGGATAAATTATATCATTTTAATTATACCACTTATTACTTAAACACTACATTATAGGTCTCATTTTTTTTTATTTGATCGGTTAAGGAAATGTTTGTTTACAACATTTTCTTTGCTATTGGTAGCTAGAAAAAATAAGGAAAAATTCTATTTCCTGTTGATCAATCTTTGGTTTGGTTCTATTAGCAAATTTCCCTATTGGGAAGGAGCTATTACCTTAGTTGGTACGGAAAGACCTAGACCTGGGACCAATTTAGTTTTTCATTTTGATGTCCCAATAAGTCATAAACACTATTCGTAAAAATTTGTATTTTTATGTATGAGTGTCCGTAAAACAATGGAGTTATTTTGGTCCTAGTTTGATTAAATTTTTAAATTTTGCATGAACGTGTAGGGCTAGATACTTGAATGAGTTTTTACAAACCAGCAAGATTAGGTCTTGGAAACAGGGTGTAAAAAGGCTATAATAATGTTTACAATTTCGTACCCTTAAACAAAACAAAAAATTCAAATTTTCATATTACAACCTCTGTGTAGAGCTTTAAAAAACAAATACCAGCAATTCAATAAAAACATGTTATTTTTATATTAATCATATACTATTAACATTTTATGAAAAAACACTCTTTCCCTTCCTCATAGAAGTAAACCTAAACATTCAAATCCAATTTGATTTATATAGGGAATAAATATGACTTGTTTATGGAAATATTTTAGTAAGAATTCAATCAGACAAATTGAAAATCTCCTCTTCCCTTCTAGTGTAACCCTAGTGTCCGAATTTTGGAAAGGTCTAGGCAATGGTATACTTTCTTAGTAATATTTTCCCACCTTTTAGCTCTGGACTTCTGTTTTATAATCCTTATACAATGTGCTGAATAGTTTTTAACACATAAAATCACATTAAAAATATTCATAGTATGTTTAAGATTTTGTTTAATTGACTTATTATTTAAACAGTTTTTTAACCTTTGTAGTATTTTTAGTTGTACCACAATTAAATTTGATCCCATGGCCAATTTTTGCTACAGTGAAAGGAATAAAACATTAAACACAGAATACAGTTATGTATTCAACATATCTACGGATATTATTTCAAGCGTGTTTATGTTTGCTTATCAACATGAAAAGTAGAAGTAAAACGATGACGAGTCCGATGTTAGTCAGTATGGAGGCTGGTATTAACGGATTTGCCAGACCCCAGCCTCTGATTGTGATACTTCTGTAGCTCTCCACCGCCATCATGATGGGGAAATACATCATCTGCTTCTGTATGACCCAGTGGGCTCCTTCCAGCGGCCAGAACATACCTGCGGAAAACAAATGGAGAAATACATTTGATCACAACTTTAATCTAGCTGTTGAGATTCAACAGTATGTAAATTTAACTTTAAAAGATAATAATTCATAAATTAAAAACCCCTGGAGCAGCAAACCTGCTAAGCGAATTTCCATTTACCTGATTGGATTTAGTCTAAAATGTATCCTTAAAAATATCACATTTATTTCATATTTAAATAGAATTAGTTTATCGAGTACTCAGGTTTGCTGCAACAGGGAGGGTAAAAAAGTGATTTTTTTTTAGTAAAATGTTTAGTAAGAATTAAATGCATTTTCAAAATTTGATCAAAATATGTTCATAAATAAGCAAAATACAACAGTTTACTTATTCTTCATAAGAAGAACATGATAATTTTAAATTTACAATTTTTGGGAATTTTCTCCGTCACCATTAGGGGTACAATAACACTTCAATATACTAAATTATTTGGTTTTTTTAAGCTCTAAAAAATTGTTTAGAAAGAAATTGCTAATTTATGTTCTGTCAAAAATGGGAAAAAACAATTTTTTCCCCATAAAACCCCCCATAAATCCCTGTTCCCAAAGTCCGATCATGCTGGTTCCCAAACTCGTTCGAATAAACGTAGGTTTACACGTTTATACCGAATTTCATCAAAATCGGATCATTTTTTATTGAGTTATCATGCTAACAGACAGATATATATATATGAATTTGAACGGATGGTGTTTTTGGCCTCTAGGGACCTCAAAAAAAAAATAGTAAATTGGTCCTGGGTCCAAGTCTTACCATGAGTACTACGGTAATAGCTTATTCCCTATATGGGAAATTCGCTAAAAGAGAACTATAAATTTACTGAATCCACAAAAATGTGTGATCATTATCAAAAATCTAATTAGCTTTTTAACTATTTTCTTTTTCAACTATTATTACGTTTTACTGATTTTTTATCATTATGTTAAGAATGATTACTATATCTTACTAATAACATAAATGTGAAAGTTAGTGTGTTTGTTTGTTTGAAGAAGCATTAACTACTGGACGGATTGGGCTGAAATTTGGCATGATTATAGCTAACATTCCCGATTAACATATAGGCATATTATTATCTCAAAAATCCTTTCGGGCTCTGCCCCAGTGGCTCTGTGGTTCCCCATGTAAACCTTATGAGTATTCATATTTCAAGGGAATAAAAGAATTTAGTCAGCTGTTTCAACTTAAAAAGTTGGTTCTATGGTATGCAAAAGCATTAAAAGTTATAAGATTTACCGACAGGGTGCAACACTATTACTCTTTTTGCATTTATGGAAACAGCTATTTTGAACTAAGCAACAACAAAAACAATGATATGCAATGAGAACGGTCAAAGTAGGATTGTTTACAGTTACTTTTATGTTTTTAATTTCATGAATCATTTGTGATATTTTACGAATCTTTTACAATTTATTTTTCTCTATTGTTTAGGTGAAGTGGTAGAATGTTATGGCTATGGTAGATGTGTAATACTATAGTATAGCATTTTATACTTATATGCCAATCCCGTACGAAGGTCGGGTACTCTGCTAGTTTAATTGATATATTTACCGGAAGTGAAGAACAAGCATGTTACAGTTCCGACAGCACAATATGTAACATTTCTCTCTTCTGTAAATAGCGTACCAAGGCAGAATCCTGAAAATTGTGTTTTAAAATTACATATGAGTTTTTATGCACTTTGATAATACTGGAAATATTTTACAAGTATTCAGACTATTTTACTCAAGAAGTGTGATTTAACTAATTGTACAACACTTTACAAGAGCTTAGAGGAAAACAAAAGCCATAATCTCGGAGTAAAATAAATTAAAACTTGTTAAGTTTGAAAATTTAGGAATATAATGAGCGTAGTGGTTGAATAGTGTGCATCTATAAACTATATTTTTTAGCCTAAGATTTTCCCTTCATTTATGTCTATCTATATTAGGCCTATTATTTTCACATTTTTGGTGTTGTTTGGTTGTAATACTGAAGTGCGGGGAAAGTAAAATGAGTGTGACAAAGTAAAATGAGTGAGGGAAAGTAAGTAAATGCAGGAATCATCTACTCTGTGTGCTATAAAACCCATAATACCTAAAAAGGCAAGAAAGCCCACTTTGTTACATAGCTGTAGGAAAATTTTAAATGGCACAACTATAGAATTTATTTCATCACAGTTTTATGTTTGTAAAAGTTAGTAACTGTATAATTAAACCTACTTACCAAACAACATTCCTTGTATCTCAGCAAGCGAAAAGAAGATCAAAATTAAAGACCAGCTACCCTCCATCGGTAGTTGGAAACCAACGTAAGCAATTGTTAATATTAGAATGTTCTGTCCAATAACCATCAAGACCTGAGTTACTCCAATGGCAAATAGAATTTCATTATGATGGACACCTGAAGAATAATAATACATTGTTAGAATTAGTTACCGTTAGTTAGTTATAGTTGGTTATGGTATGAAAATCAAAATAATCGTTGAGGTCCTTTGTTTCCTGGATTAATGTAATGACTAATATAATGGTACCTAATTTTCCTTGTCATGTAATTTGAACTTGGTTATGGGTGTAACTTTACCTACATGTTTCACTGTAAATGCGGCAACAGGGTAGCAGAAACAAAGACAAAATCATTATACACACTCGAATAAATACCAAAATGCACCCTGAAGATGCTGTATCAAAAGTGAAGTATGTAATTTTATTTATTTAAGATCAACACAAAATGTAAATCAGGTGCAAAATATACATTAAGCAAAAAAGTAGTTAGGGAACTAAACTATAGTAGAGTTATCATTATGAAGATTCACAGCTGAAGACAATTTTATTGATAGTTCCGTCCAGTGTCTCTAGGATCGTGATTTTGTATACAATTTGTTTCTCGTTATTTCAGTTTTAAAACCTCCTTTGAACAAACAAAACGGTCTCATCATAAACAATAACCTGTCTCCTAAATATAACCAAACAGTAAATCATAAAATTAACTAAAAAAAAATATTAACAAAACTTTGCCGACATAAAAAACAGACATAAAAAATAAGCTTAATTTTACAATGGGATGAGAAATCGACTTGTGTTGGTTAGTCTATGGTAAAACAACCGCTTTCTTTAGAGATTATTTTTAGTCCACTCACCGGCTATCAAACATCTGTCCAAGAAACCAGAATTTTTCTCACTAACAACAGCAGAAGATGAGAAGGAAGTTGTCAAATAAAAGACGAATCTGAAAATGTATAACCAATACAACATTATCAATATTGTTCACCAAAAAATAATATCATATTTACTATTTTGAAATCCATGAATCTTTATTTGGTTCTCTCTGACTTATATACTATGACTTACTCCTTCAACTAAAACTCTTAACCTTCTATTTTCAATTCAATTTTTATTTTGTGATTAGAAACATGTGTGACCAAAAACTTGCCCAACGTCCTTTCAGACATTTTTGCTGGATGATAGTGTAAACATTTTAAAACACAGTCTGCCAACAACAGAAAATAATAAACAAGGACAGCAATGGAAGTAAACTTACATTACTTAAAATTTACCAAGCAATACAAGAACAGAATTACTCACGGAATAATAAAACCAGGCATTGAAGAATCTATAAATCTCGGGGATTTGAACCCATGAATCGGTTTCTCAAACTAAAATCATATAGCCAAAGATCAAAGTGCAGCATTATTATTTCTAATTAATATGATAAAAATGTATTAGGGTTATATTTATCCAGTGATCATACAAACCTTAAGGTTTAGTAATGACTACTTACTATTGATACACACATTGCTTTTTATACATCCATGTACTGCTGTAAATGCAATATTTTCCCCTTAAATAACGGTAAATTTGGCTTTTGTAAATAATTACTTCACAATTAGGTTAAAAGATAGAGCTGGTACTGTAAATAATTTTTTCATCACTCTGTATTCGAAAATAGACCATTTCCATCCAGCTGAGATCATCGAAAATCTTCAATTTCCATACACCAAAAACAAATAGTGATCAGCTGACTTTTCCTGACACAAACATTACTTTCGCTACACAAACAATACTTTGCCTGACAATAACAAAGTTGCAATCAGCTGAATTTTACACTAAAATTTATTGTATGGCCATATTGTGTTTAGATTAGAAAAATGAATAGATTACAAAATTTTAGATAATTTTTTTTATAGAGATAAGTTTGATGAAATAGTTTTTTTTATCGTGATATAAAGTGTTGTTCAATACTCGTTACTAAAGTCCCATTTCGGGGCTCGATAGTGTTTCCCATGCTCGTATTAGACTCGTACGTAAAACACTATCTCGCCCCGAAATGGGCCACTTTTGTGACGTAGTGAAATATACTATTCCAAGTACATTCACTTAAAACTTTTTCATTGGTGAATCTAGTTTAAAAGTAAAGTAACTTTCATTTAACATTTCAAAAATTGAATATAGTTAAACATATAGCTGTACAACAGAGAATAGATTTTACCTTTAAAACACTACCCGTGGATCCAACTTTGAAGTTACATTCTTTTGTTACAACTTTTGCGAGTTCTTCAAAACCATCTATAATATCTTTACGAATTTTGAAACCTACTGTCACTTCTGTAAAAAGAAACAACAGTAAGTGTAGCAAGCTTTTTACTTAAATAAGAAAATGTTACTGGGCATGACTAGTTTCTGTGTGGTGACACAAATCAAATTAATCCTAAGCATTTTATAGTTCACAAATGATTGTATTATAATCTTATATTTTAATTTATACAAGAGATAGTGATCAGTGCTACTACTCTTTACATGATATTTATTATTGAACATATTAAAAAAATCCCCTACAGGATTTCTCGGTTTTAGTTAATTTTTAGTGAATTTCCCATATAAATAAGCTATTTCTGTAGGTCTCATGGTAAGACCCAGACCCGGGACCGATTTACTTTTTCGTTTTGAGGTCCCCAGAGGCCAAAAACACCATCCGTTCAAATTCATATTTAACTCTAGCAAAAATGATCCATATTTGATGAAATTTGCTACAAACTTGTAAACCTACGTTTATTCGAACGAGTTCGCGAACCAGCATAATCGGACCATGAGAACAGGGGTTTATGGGGTAAAAATTGATTTTTCACATTTTTTACCCCAAAAAAACGATATTTCATAATTTCTCTCCAAACTATTTTGTAGAGCTTAAAAAAAGAAACAATTTTGTATATTGAAGTGTTGTTGTATGCCCAACGGTTACCGAGATAATTTAAAAAATTGTAAATTTAAAATTACTATATTATTCTTGTGATGAATAAATAAACTGTTTTAGATTACTTGTTTATGGATATATTTTAACAAAATTTGGATTATTTTTTATTTCATACTAAGCTATCATGTATAAACATTTCAATAAAAAACACACCTCAATATCTTCCCTGTAGCAGCAAACCTAATTACTCACTAACAATTAATGTTATTTAGATAGGAAATAAATCTGACAATTTTTAGGAATTATTTTAGTAGAAATCCAGCCAGGTAAATGGAAATTAGCTTAGTCTGCAGATTGGCAGGGGTATTTTACTAGTCAATTCTTTTCTTATGTCTTAATCTATAAATCCAGTGAATATAAACTGTACACTGCTGTGTAACGTCAAACCAAAGTGTATTGACAATTTAATTTTCCAATTCTGTGGTTAGGTTATACCCTGTCAAACTTTTATATATTTTAAGAGAACACATCTGTAAACGAATGGTTACCTGCCATATCCAGGTAAACTTTGATCAGACTGGCATTTACATATCTATCAGGAGTAAACAGAGGTCCAGAATCCAGCCTTCTTATCAATGACCAGCTGTAGTTCTTATCAAAGTGGATAAGACCCCTGGCTTCACCGTTAGCAACTGATAGTTTGGCTGACTCTAAAGTCTTGTGTTCCACCTAAGCAATTTCATATATCAAATTATTTCATGTACACTGTAAAAAAGTCGTAGTTAAGTACAATAAATGTTGCATACCACGCAGATTGTCAAATGAAAGTTAGTACACGATGGATAAAAATGTGATTTATCTTGGCAATGACTTTAGTTTGTCAAGCAAATGGACTAGATGAGCCAGTTAAAAGAAAACAGCCTATGTAGTCAAATGCAGAGGCGGCGTTTAGGGGGGGCAGTCGCCCCCCCACTTTCATAAGGAATATTTATTAAAATTATAAAATAGAATTATATCAACAATAAATCTAGATTTCGCCCCCCCACCTCTCAAGCCCAATCGCCGCTACTGGTCAAATGAGCATCATACAGCACATTGCTGTTGAAGTATTATTTTCTCCTTAGCTTTTAATAGCTAAGAAAGAAGTTATAGTGTGTGCCAACGATAAGAAAGTTGCGGTTCAATCCTGGAAAAAAGGTCTGTAGCTTTTGGATGGTTCAGAGGAATTAGCTGTCCTTTATCATTGTGCTTTTACTAAATGGTCCTGGTTGAAGAGCAAGCTATGGTCTTGGACAGTAACAAAGTTACCACCTTATTTTCTTTACTCTGTGCCTAATGTGCCCTGGTGCTTGCATGAATTATTATTCTTACATTGTGACAGTATATAAAGACATAAAACTATAGTTTGCAAACCAAGAGCTCTTTCAATAAATCATGCTTTGCTTTTGATCTTTCCATCGTCGTCAACCATCTGTCCATCCTAAGTATTATAACAATGGAGTGGAAATATCTACCTCGTAGTTGTCTAACAATATTCCAAGATAACAAGTAGTAATATTTCTTAATACTAAGAATGTCAACTATACAAAACTGATGTGATTGAAAAATTCAACTCACCAGAGTGTAGCCAGTGGTTTCCCGGAACAAGGGAAGGATTCTACAACTGAGTCTGGAGTCAGGTTTGCATTTGCGAGGTGGAGGGGATGATTCTGGAGGGTGACTGCAAGTACCTGGCAACATCTCCTCGGAGACAACAGCAATGTTGACTCCTCTCAGGTAGTCTGAGTACACGGTGCAGAACAAGATGATCAGCAGAGTGGGGAGCAGCAGCATGAACAACATGATGCTGCAACAGCACAAAGCATTCTGGGAAATTTATTACTATTACAGTAAACAGTAGTAGAACCATCAACTTTAGCATGATCACAATGCTGTCAGTTCAACAGAATCAACACAAACAATATTCAACATCAATATGACTTGAAAATATTCAACAATCCAATCACTTTGATCATGATTGTGGTGACACAGATTTTTAGCCACCATAAGTTAGATAAATAAAATGATGAAGCAAATAGTTTTTGTATTTTTTTTATTTTATGAAATATATCAAATCAAGTTTGTACTTATCATTAAATAGCATACGTTGCAATAGACCTTGTTAACTCATAATCATGAGATTTAAGAAACGTTAGAGAGCTACGTTCCTTCCCAGCTCAGAACCATATAACTACAGCAGTATGGATGACATTCAACCCACAAAAAGGTTCCCAGTCAATCGGCAATTTGTTTCATTGCAACTAAATAAAGCTGTACCAATGGAAAAGGTGGTCTTTTAAATTGGTAGTTCCTCCTGTTTAAAGCAGTAACATAATGTAGTAGTAATGTTAGTGGCGACTAAAGATTTAGCTACAAAAACAAGAGAGAAAACGGACAGGACAGAAGAAGAAGACATATCAAAGAGAAGAACAATTCTATGGGATGGCAATACTTGATGGATATGGTTAGGACATTGCCAGAAACATGTATGTGGTGGTGGCTAGAACTTCCAAAAGTGAGATCTCAAGCAGGAAATGCAACACTGCATGTCAAGACATAAAAAAAGGAATTGGCAAATTAATAGATAGGCCTATCTTGGGATACATCAGAAGCTTATATTCTGGTTTGTGTCAAATCATATTGTACCTAGAGTTGATGCGTCTATTTGATTACTAAGCGAGCATTCATCTGAAAATGTCCGACACCGACACATAGCCCTTCCTGTCTAGTGCAGCTGTAGCTAAAATCGAACAATGTTAAAGCAAAATCTACTCACGGTATGTTTCGTTTGATCCAGCAAGTGTTCTTGAAGATCTGAGCTCCCAATCTTTTCCTGTCCCACATTGTACCATCACCAAAAGGTTTTTTTGTAAGCGATTTACTCGGATAACTCTGAAAACAGAGACTAGTTTTACTTGAACAATTTCATTCCTGAGCTTTGTCATTTTTAATACTCAAAACTCATTGTAGTTTTAAAATACAGTAGTAAAATTAGCAAATTAATATTTATTTAATAAGATTGAAACGTATAAGCAAGGTATCACTTAATATTTTACAGCTTGATCCTGATAGTTAACCAAAAAATTGGCTACAGCTGGTCCATATAGATGGGACGTCTACTTCAGTACCCATCCAAAAGTCAATGCCAATAGTCAGTGCTTATAGTCAATATGGTTGTATTTTGTTTGTGTTTGTTGTTATTTTAAGACACTGACTGGATTTAGTGTTGCAGTTATTAACGCTATTGTTTTTGTCAGATTAAATAACATGCATGAGTTCTCAGAATTATCCAAATGTAATAGTCAAGCCGTACCTCTTCATTTTCAATGCACACTATACTTTGTTTGTGGCTGAGCAACAGAAAAACATCTTCAAGAGTGTTACATTTAAAATCTTCAAGGAGTTTAGTTGGAGAATCTTCAGCCAGGAGAATTCCACTTCTCATTAATCCAATCTGAAACAATATTCTGAGATTTAATAGTTTTAAATGGAAATAATATTTTTATTCTTCTAGAAACAAACTACCTACCTAATGTAGCCATGACAGAAAAATTTTTCTATTTGGTATAACAAGCTAAAGTTGTCAAAATACTTTTAATGAACCTAATTATTGTTGTATTAGAATAATGAATTTGAGAAAACAAATTCATTTAACAAGCTATACTTTTGTTAAAACCTTTTTTAAAAATCGTGGATTAATCATTAGATTCATGAATATTTCAGTATGCGTACGAGTTATTTAGAAAGAACGTTTGTCAGTACTCAGTAGTAAAACTATGTGTTTAAACAATCTTTTTATATACGTTTCAACAGTTTAAGTTATAAATTAACATTTGTAACTGATAAAAAAATTCAACAACATCCATTATTTTAGTTCAAAGACAAACCATATTTGCTTGGCGGGCTTCTTCTATGTAATGTGTTGTAATAATAAGAGTCTTTTCATACTTTGCAGAAATTTCTGTAAAGAATTTCCATAACCTGAAAACATGAAAATGTAGATTAATTAACCGGTTTTTGTCAATTAAGATGGTTTTGAATGCTATTTTATCAAATAAGCTACTCAAACCTCCAAGCATCTTAGGTAAAGACAGTTAAAGTACTTTGAGACACAATTAATGTTTGGTTTTCAATTTTAAAGATAAATCAAGACTTAGTAGTATTTATAGTTGATGAATGATACAGGACTTACTTGTCACTAATGATGGGGTCGAGCCCGACTGTAGGTTCGTCTAGAATCAACAGCTGAGGATCGTGCAGAAGAGCTACAGTCAGTGAGATACGTCTCTGCTGACCTCCACTGGAGTTAGACCCAGAAAAGGATAAGGACTATAATTTCAACCTGACTCTTTTGAGATTTAAGGTATTACAGGATGTGTAGTCAGTGCCAACTTTGGGACAGGACTTAGTAAGTTAGGCGATCTAAAAACCTCTCTCCAGAGAATTTTTTTTATTTTCAAACTAATTCTAAAAAAATAATCTGAATTTTGTTGCTTCATAATACTGTTCTGCTGCTTTTAGATGTGCTTTGGCATAATTTTCCGTGAGGGAGGTAATGAGAAAGGAGTACAGGATGAGTTTCATAGCTCTCAGTAAGTTTCGGTTCCTTTTAGTTCAAGCAATCAAGTATGAAAGGGAATGAAGAATTTATACATCTTAAACCCAAATTTCACAGTTATCTCAACGCAAATTCAAGTTAGTGAAATGAACCCAAATCATAAATAAAATTTTAAAATATCCAAAAACAACATAGATTATATGCACGGCTGTCTCATTTGTTTCCTTGGAATGCAAAGGACTGGTACGATCAAAAGAAGCTGATACACTATTGAAAAGTCCTTCATCTATCCTATGAAAAATTTCCCTCTGTCTCTTGAGGAACAGGACACTTTCATGCTTCGACTCCAAGTAAGGTTGTAGTTATGGTTTTTTTAGTTAAATACCTAAAACACGGCAAAATCTTACCTCAAACTTCCAATGACTCTAGTCCAGAATTTCTCTGCAGGTAGCTCCATGAGTTCTAAAAGGTTGTGTCCTTTCTCCTCAACTTTTGATGAAGGCAATCCGTTGATTTTTCCAAAATATTGTAATATTTCAGATACTGTGAAAAGATCCATCAGAGCAATATCCTGTAGAAATGATTAGATTAGGAGTTGTAATGCCACTGTGTTATGTATCAATCTTTGTGCACTTGTTTGAACAAAAAGTTAAATAGATTGTGTTAAAGTGTGAGTTTAAGGAATTACCTACTTAATTTATACCTGATCTCATTTTATTTGACCCAACCCCCCTGACATACACTGACAAACTTACAAGAAAGTCAGCTAAAAAGGTATTACAGTAGAACTCCAATTATCCGAACTCCAATTAACCGAATCGCCGATTATCCGAATTGCTTATTTCAACAATTTTAAAAACGTAAAGCTACAGTAATAATAAGATTCGCAAAATATCAAAGAATTGTTAAGTACTAAACAAATTTAGCCAGTGTGTAATTTTGGACTTTGATGGAACACTTTTAACTTAAGAACATGTACACTTGTGCTATGAGCATTGTAAACTGTAAAAATGTTCTAATTTCGTTTATTATAAAAGTTCATTTAGTACCGAAAATTAAGATTTTTCTGGGAAACTCCCGGAATTCCTGTAAAACTCCGATTATCCGAATGGGGTCTGGTCCCAATTGATTCAAATCGGAGTTCTACTGTATGTGATAAAAATAATGTACAAGATGAACACCACGTAATTATCCTGTCTAGCTAGATGCACAGACAAGGAAGGGAGGTGGGCGGTGGCATCAATAATCCTCACATCTCTAAAGACGGCTTATGCTCTTTTAGGTTAAAAATTTGGGATTGTTAAAATATTTATGAACAAAAGCACTCCTCAGGTCGGGAATATGAGGCTCACTGGCCTGGGACCTGGGTGGGGTTCAAATCCAGGGGATACAATTCTGCCTCCTAGGTTTAAGCCCAATTTAAAACGGGTCTAATGTCAGGCAGGCCGTGTCTAGTGTAGCATATAATCAATGCTTACACTTAGACTATATAATTAATGATATTCTGTCATGCATCTCGGTTTCATAGTTGCAACAACAAGAACAAAAACTGACCTTGTCTTAAGTATCGTCTGCAGTATAATGTTACATACCTGAGGCATGTATCCCAGCTGTTTGCGTGACGTCAGGTTGACAGTGATAGATCCAGAGTCCAGGAGGATAAGACCTCCTACACAACTCAACAGAGTCGTCTTACCACACCCACTCGGCCCTAGGAGGCCATAACTGCAATACAATTGCAAATACAACATCAACATATTGTCTCCATCATTGTATCATCAACTGATAGTAGTAAACTAACACTTAGTTCTACAAAATATTTTAAAAATTATACACGGGAATCAGAGTTTGATCTTGGCGCCCTTGGCGGCGATCTAGTTTTTTCGGAGTTGGCAGCGTGGATTGCCATTTTGGCTGGCGAGACACACAGACAGACAAAAACTGATAATAGATTCTTGGGCTTTCGAAAAAAAAATTAAGACGAGATGATTCCACGCAATGCACAGACAAAACTGTATTTTTATTGATACCTATATGAGACCCAGATAAAATTGACAAATGCCTATTACGAACTCGGTTTTATGGTATTTACATGACCGTTATTCTCAGGTTGGATTAAGATCCATTACTTGATACTTTTTGTAAAATGTTAATATAGTCCTTTGGTATTATATAACCAATTATTCAAACACGAACTGTAAAATTCAATTTCAGCCTGCTAAAACGTGACCGGAACCAAAGACATCACAACACACTACAAATTTCACAATTGAATGGCACAATTAATTATTGATTAAAAGCTCTATTCAAAGTCAATTTTTTGTACTTACATAACTCCCTTTTCAACTGACATGTTCAATCCTCTAAGGATCACATTCTTGTTCCCATACCTCTTGTAGGCGTCCTTGATTTGGATAATATAGTTCTTTGAATCTCCCATCTGTTAAAAAAAAATTATATCCTGTAGTGTAGTGTAGCGATCTTTGTTTGAGAAGATTGAAATATCTTTTTGGATTCACAATAGTTAATGTAAAACTCTTTGTGATGTAAAGATTAAATACCCCCGCCGCAGCAAACCTGCAGACTAAGCGAATTTCAACTTGTCTGATTACATTTTTACTCAAATATTTCCATAAATAATACATATTTATTCCCTATTTAAATAACATTAAATTTAACAAGTGCTTAGGTTTGCTGCTACGGGGAAGGTAAAAAGTGTTTTTTGACCATACGTGAATAGTATGGGATGAAATAAATAAATTTGCCAAATTTTATCAATATATATCCATAAACAAGTAAACTAAAACAATTTTTATTTTCTCCATAAGAATAACATGGGAATTTTAAATTAAACTATTTTTGAATTTTCTCCGTGACCGTTAGGCATACAACAGCGCTTCAATATACTAAATTATTTCTTTTTTTAAGCTCTACAAAACGGTTTAGAAATAAATTGCAAATATTTTTGTTTTTAGGGTAAAAAATGGGAAAAACACATTTTTACCCCATAAACCCCTGTTCCCATGGTCCGATTATGCTGGATCGCGAACTCGTTCGAATAAACGTAGGTTTACACGTTAGTACCAAATTTCATCAAAATCGGATCATTTTTGCTCGAGTTATCGCGCTAACGGACACATATATATATATATATATAAATATATATATAAATATATATATATATATATATATATATATATATGAATTCGAACGGATGGTGTTTTTGGCCTCTAGGGACCTCAAAATGAAAAAAAAATCGGTCCCGCGTCTAGGTCTTACCATGAGTACTACGGTAATAGCTTATTCCCTATATGGGAAATTCGCTAAAAGATCATACAACTATATTTTATGGACAAAATTAAAAAATAGCATTTTGGAGCTACAAAAAAAATCCACAATCAATATGCTTCGTAATATTAACTTAATGACGGGCTTCGGGCTAATACTACAGCTAGACATCGTCAAAATCACTGTTAGAAAAATAGTTTATGGAGATAACAAAATTAAAGAAGGCGAGGTACTTGATATAAAAAAATCTATAGAGATCTGTAAATTCTGCAAGTACCCTACTGTCAACAATTAATCATGGTAGAAATTTTAAATTATTAAGTTGTGTTGCAGTGATGTTGTGATGATAATTTCCAATTATGAAATAAAAATAAAAATAATATTTTCAGATGTCTTCAAATATGCAAGAAATTAGTAACTCTGGGAAGATAAAAATTAGAAAACCGTAACATTATAAATCACGCGACAAGTCGCCAGGAAGATAAATTAAGTGAAGAATGTAGAACGTATGAAGCAAACTAAAATACTGTTAAGACATTCAATGGGACCTGGTACCAACCAAATTATTTATTCTACCAATAAACTTCTTAAAACACAGGACATCAATTAATTGTTTGCGTATCCGAGTTTAAGATGCCAAGGGGGGTTGATTTTGTACTAAATGTATTTTGTAATTAGGATATATCAACGGATATTATAACAGAAACGGTATGGATAAAAACATACATAAATTACGTCACTGGACCGAATTTTATGCTAATAACCTTTTTTGATTAATACAATTAAAATGTTAACCTAATACTTCGTTGAAAATTGTAACAGAATGTAATGAAATACTTACTGTTGAAGGGGTGCAAAACTAGAACTAGAATGGACTTATTGAACGATTACGTACGTACATTTTTATAGAGCAAAAAACTGAGACGATGACGAAGTATATATAAATTATTTATCGTCAGGCAGTCGCTGGGCGTTCCTTTGTCTCGCAGGTGGCGATTATAGTTATCATTACAACCTAAACGACACTCGATACCTTGTATTTACGAAGTATGCATTCCATGCGACGTAAAATATTAAACACGAGACAAAGAACTGGAAATAGAACCGGCATGAATTGATATTTTGTTTAAGTATAGATATTGTCATTAAATGCCAGCTAGGTCATTTAGTTGATAAAACCAAAGGGGAAAATTACTGTTGGTATCCTTGGGATTATATAATTATTTAAGTTAATTGTTCTTTATAGTCCTGAAATAATTACATTATTTTATTATTGATGTAGGTGAATAGACTTTATATGAAAATTAGTCAGACTATTAGTTGAAAGATTTGTACGGCAATGAAGATAGTTCTCTCCAATTACGTTCGTAAAATTTGTTTGTTTATTTATTTTATATCAGGAGGGCCTACAGCATAAAATTTCCCCCTAAATACACCACCACACACCATAACCCTGGTGTTGTTGTTTTTGTTCACTAGTTTACGTACGGACTCTTAAAGACCGTTCTAAAAATAACAACAAAAACCGTGATGGTGATTGCTGGTAATTGGACCTTGGCCTCCAGTAGTCTCGGCATTTTATTGGAATTGGTACTATTACAACACTACAACTGTTACGTTTTAATAAATAAAAGACGAATTCTATTTTGTCATACACTCATACTCCTGCAAATAAAATAACAATACTTCAATTCCTAGCAAACCAATCTACTCCCCGAAGGTTTCCATATCTATCAGGAGTAAAATAAAAATAGTTTGAATGTTTAAATTTGGATTAATTTGCGGTTATGAAACGTGTCGAGGTTTTCGCCACGCAGTCTTGAGAAAGCTGTAAACACCTTTTCACTTAAAAAATTGAGCATTCACTATATTGCTCGTTGTCTTTGTTTCACCCCCAAAGTAGGATGAGTTGTAGTTAATAATCAAAGACGGTGCATTTCAACATAATTACTACCAATTAAAATATGGGCACTCAACTGGGTGCATTTTTGACCCAGATACAAATGAAAAATCTTGTGTAGCTTTTTCACTGACGAGCTGCTTCTTTCGCCAGAACCATAATTTAAGCCATCAAGGACAGTACAGTTTGTACTATCAAAAAGCCAACAACTCTTCTCGAATATCCTACGTCGAAACCAAGCGAGCACTATACGACCACCTCAGCTACCCATGTAGGCCTATAACCATTCTTATATTGTCAAATTCTTTCGTATCACCATCCTAACCCACCACCTTAAGTACTACTAGCCCATTGCAGCTATGCTACATTCACACTCTCTTGCTCCACATTGTTAGTGTGAGTGAGTGAGCTATACGGCACACTGTGATACCACTGTCCACTGTCCAGTTATCAGTGCCTCAGTGTGTGTGTGAGTGTGTGTGTGTACATCAGTGACAGTACGGTAGTGGACAGCAGTGTTACCGATGTGGCGGGTCTATGTGTGTTTGTTGGTGGGTCTCACTGTTGTTTTGGGGGACCCACCCCCCAGCTCCCCCACCCCTCCTGGTGAGTTTTACTATGAAATTTAGGATAGAAACTTTATAAAATGTATTTAAAAATATTTCAACTTCATTTACGATTGTCTATTAACATTTGGAGATGTATTTTCAAAAATTGAACTTGTCACAGTGAACACTATTGAAAGTGTTATGCTAAATTCATAATTTTATTAAAGGTATGTATTCTTGTGCCCACAAATTTTTACTATAAACGACGCAGAATTATAAAATAAAAATACTGTGACGATACTTATTTTAGATTTATAAAAACACTTAGGCTATCAAATCACCCCTTGACAATATTTCGATTTTAGCTGATAGGAAAGAAAACACGGTTTGTTGCTTCGTATACTACGATTAGCAAGCGCATCGGACTTCGGTGCAAGATCAACGGGTTCGATCCCCGGCATTTCCTAAAGAATTAAAGGGATTAGGGGTTTTTGATCAAAGGGTTTGTCATATGTTTCATATATTATGCTCGTTGTGTATGTTAAAAAATACAATAAATACACATAAAAACCATAAAACCAATCTGAAAGAAATTTCAGTGGGGCCATCACATGATAAAATACATGGTTATGCTACTATATTATTATGTATATAATTGTGATTTTCTAATTTAAACTACCGTACTGTACGCTTCAATATTTTATTTAAGTACTAGCTGTGTGCCCGTTCTACGCACGGGGATCTTATATTGGTCAGTTGAAACCAAACGACATAAGTTAAAATACTATACCTCAACCTCGCCATTAAACATTCAGGTTGGAGATTTCACTATCAAAGGTGCTCTTGTCCTGTCCGTAGGGCCTACGGAACACTTAGTAATATGCGCTACCAACTTATGAATAATTGTTTCGGCCTACGAACCCAATATATGGATCTATTGGCTGTATGGTCCAGCGAGCAGCACATAGCGTTGAGAAGACACATTGGAAACGCGATTTGAGCATAATCCGTAAACCTCTGTTACAATCACCCACTGCAGTTGTGATTTTTTACTTTACACTTTACACAACCGCCATTGAAGCGCCGTCAATGAGTTGAAACCTTTTAAGCAAGCTATATTGGTATCGCTATGTAAAAAATGTAAGTTTCCCAGCCATATACAACACTGATTCAAGGTCTTTTTCCCGGCTATCAAAACTCAAGAAAAATGTTATACACGAATCTCTATTTTCATGTACGGTTACCCTACACATTATTGCACTTGTGATTCCGTTATGTAAAGAAAAACGGTTTTAATCCAACTCGGTTTGGATTTGCTTTTGAAACATAATCGGAAATGATTGCGGTATTTGTAAACAACATTCAATGTAAACATATCAGTGAAAGCTAGAGAAAAATAATCTTGATCCGAACAGCTGTTCGCTATTTCATAGATGATTATGTGATAAACATTGGGAGAAAACTTGACAAAATCGCACAAAATTGGGTTTCTAAACGTCCGTAGTTTTATTTACAAAATAGTGAGGATATATTTTAATAGCTAATGACACTCTCGCCAATCCACTCTCGCCAATCCAGTGAATACATTAAAATGACTTGTATCTTGATAGGTACTCTCGTTTTTTCAGGAGAAGGCCGCGTAAAATGGCTCTTGGGCCTTGACAGACGGAAGACAGATATAGGCAGATAAACATAAATTGAGATGAGACTTGTTTCGGCTTCTTTAATGTATAAAACGTAAAAATAACCTAAAAATTCACGATTCTGAGCAATGTACAGACAAAACTCTAATTTTATTTATATAGACAATAATACTAGCAATGTGTGTAACTTTGTCGCTAACACTGACATAATGATATACAGGTGTATTCTTGTTATGTATACATCTTTGTTCCAAAAGAGACTATTGAACCATGGATATGAGTGATAAGATTTGATTGTTTGGTGACATTATTGACCTTAGAACGTGTTATCTAATATTCGGGCGACACCGTGCCTCGGCCACAAGCCATAACTAATTAGAAAATCTATTAAACTTTAGACAAATTCAATCACGACTAACCAACAAATTCTCATCTTTGAGTTCACACTGTTACCAAACCATAAAATAGATTAGGCATTAACCTTAAGGATTAGGTAAGACCTATTTGAAGTTTTTGTTTTCGGAAATTATAACTCGTAAGATGAGCACGTTGTCTTCAATTTATTTCTTGTTGTAATTTCAGGGTTAACTTATTACATCCAAATAAAACTACATATCCAAACAGCCTTTGTGCTGGTAGTAATCCAGAAATAAAGGTACAATACGCATATACCAAAAGTAAATGTGGTTATCAATAATTATACGTCGTAGACTTGCACGGACACTAAAGGGATCATAAATTTCACAAATCATTTTTTGTCGCTTGTATCACAATGAAAACGATTGTTAAAATTGTGTTTGCCGTAAAAAATAAATTAAAAAAAAATTTAAATAAATAAATAAAAATACAATGAATGGTATCGGCAATCTATCAGTTATTTTCTCCCATTAGCTTGTCAACGACGACGAAAAAAAACAACAATTGCGCCAAGCTGTAGAATTAACTGTGGTATTCTACGGTAAAATCATAAAAGTTGCAATAACTTATGAACAGCAATTCTTACAGCATTGGTACTTGTTTACATTGTTAAAAATGCCATAACATACTACATTTTAATCAAAATCGCTAGGGCCGTTTTTGTTATTTTATGAGGTTCTTCAGGAAAATCACCATAAACAATTAAAAATACCTAAAAACATTCCTGGAGATACAGTATCATGGATTATTACCCACTAATAAAATACTAATACAGTATAGGTACATTGTAGGTAGTAATAATAGTACAGCTAGGGGCGGTGGGCAAACTTACAGACGCACCAATGTAAAGTTTAATTTGGATTTTCAGCTTCATCGGATGTTCAACAACTAATGTAGTCTATGTTTTTAATGGTAATTGGTCTGACTTAGTTGAAAATAGTCTACAGAAGTCAGTAACATACATTGCACTTTCCACTTTGTCAGTGACTAAATTCATCTATGTACCATTTATTTAAAACTGGCTTCGATATCAGTTGTCAACGCCAAAACTATCAGCGTGTACAAGTTAAACGATGCAGTTAGTCTCTAGAGCTAGTTAAGATTGGCTAAGGGCCGTAAGTCAGAGTTTAGCTAAATCTGTCCCATTGGTCACTTCCTGCGCGGACCCTCGCCCAGGTCAAGGTGACGCTGAAATGCGCCCTGAAGGCCGAGTACCGAACGTCCAAGCGCCATGGAAGGGAGTCGACTTGGCGACTCCGGAGAATAACAACTTTTCAAAATTCCACAATGTTAAGTGGGTTTGAATAGTTTACTTCACACCACACTGTTGGTGCAGACATTCAAAGGCCTAAAGAATTACAGTTTATTTTGTTAATTTCCGATGGTTAGTTGGAGCTGAAGTGTATTTAATTATGGTTATGGAGTTGAGAAAACATTAATTATGTATACACACAAACCGCGGATAAATTTGATTTATTTATACTTGACTTTTGATATTCTTGAGGACGAAGCTGGGGTTAGGGATTTAAGACATATAAAAGAAATTTCTCAGGGTAAAAAGTAATCGGTAGGCCTACCACGAATAGAAAAGGAAAGACTAAGGATTATAAACGTAACCAAATGACGTCTTTGGCCTGAAAGTTAACAATTATCATTTAACTGGTTTGTATTAATATTAAAGGAAACTGTATAAACCCGGTCCAAACCAGCTGTCGCGGTTATAGACATTCGGGCTAGTGACGTAATTTGTTTATGTTTTTATCCATACAGTTTTCTTTTATAATACTGTATTTTTAATTAATACAAACAGGTTTACCTTCGGGTCAGTGACGTCATTTGTTTATGTCTATGATCAAGGCCACACTAAAAAAACTAAAGGTTTTTTTTATAGTGGAATAGAATACAGAATAGGACTGGCCTCTGAGGAGGTAGGGGATGCGACGTTGCCACTTCGTTCTTGGCTGGTGAGCTGACTTTCACCTAGAGCCGGGGAGCGGGCGCGGACATCCCTCTGACTCTGTCTTCCCACTTGTAGGGTAGTTTAACACTACAAATTATTAATTTTTGGCGGTATCGGTTAGTGTTGTCATGTTTATATCACATGGAAGATACATTCATCCCTTACATGATTATGGATAGATTATTTGCACAATTAATTAATGACTTAAACCGCAACTAGATTTAGTTTTTGAAAAATATATTAATATACAATTAATAAATATAAAATGAAAATACATTTTATATAGGGTCACCTTTACAAGTCTCTGGAAATATACTGCCTATGGTCAAACGTTTGTCAACCCCAATTTTTTAACAAATCACCGTAACAATAAGTGCAAATGAATACATATGGTCCAAAAACTTTTATAGCAGTTCTAAAAATCTTGTAAATTGTTGCCCTGCTTATAGTTTGATACATAAAACAAATTAACATGTAAATGAAGAAGGTAAAATCTTCCATATTAAACATTTACAGCAATAGTTTGGTTGTGTTTAGGAAACGAAGTTGGTCAATGTTTAGGAATAACCCCAAAGCTGCCTTTTTTTGAACACCTATTGTGACCCTCACTCCGTTAATCTTATTATTGCCACTTGACTGAACTTAAACTTACGGAGAACAGGTAGCTCAATAGTGGCGAATTCATTTCTTTAATATTGTGACAAAAAAGTCCGTTAGTTTTATATTGAATTTAAGAAAATTAAACTAACGTTTACATACATTACGTTATGTGTTGCATTCATTAAAATAGTCATACGATATATTCACTCTTCTATAACAAACAAAAACCTCTAATGTAGGTACTCTAGAAATCCTAAAAAAAACATACCAGGTAAAAAGGGAAATAGATAATATAACTGCCAATTTATTGCCAAAATGACATAACAATTTTTATTAGAAAATATTATTACATTGCACTGGAAATTGTTACATAAAAATATTTACAAAAGAAAATATTGACGTATGAAACTTAAATAAAATGTTTAAGGGACAATGACATTTTTATATAGGCCTATCAAGATATTTGCATTACGTAAAGGAACACCACGTCCGACGTTACGATATCGCAAACGTTTCCCGTGTACTCGTGGTCGTCCACGTCGCGTACTGTTGTCCGTATTCATTGGGCGAAACGAGGTGGCTGTGGCGAAACACAGTTCATAGACGAATTCTTGACAAAACAGGAGGGTATACTAGAAACGCACTGGTCGGCTATCGGGCAGAGACTGAGTGCGTGGCACAACTTGGCAACAGTGGACAGTTTTCTAAAAGCTGATTGGATGCCGCATGCCCCGCCTCACCCGACTCGAACTGGTTTCGGTCCTATTCTGTGTTCTATTCCACTATAGTGTGGCCTTGCTATGATCCATACATTTTCTGTTCTAATACCCGTGGCTAAGTCGTCAATAAGAATGCCAAAACCATTGAATACACACAGACAATGCCAAAACTAAATTGTAGTTTTGAAATTCGTTCAGCAAGTGCCGTTAGGGGAGTATTACACTAAATGCAGAGTGTGTTACTCGCTCCATCATCAAGAACCATATGTTCTTGGCAGAATTAAAACATAAAACACTCCAACCTTGAAACCGAGGTTTACCAATTCAGCTGTGTTTAGCGAGAGTGATAACGAAGATAAGAGTTGAGGAAGCGTGGGATACAATCAGTGTTGCACGCGCTGCTGCCAGTGTGCGTGCGTGCGTCTGCCGTCTGCCACACCACCACTACACACGTGCAATTGCACAGAGGGTAAACAAAACAAATACAAGCAAACAATGCGATGAAAACTGTTTTTCTTTGGTAACCGATTAAATTAATGAGAAAAAACATGTCGTGGACTTAAAGGAGGCCGGATATGGCTCAGTAGCTCCCGGCCTTGGGTGCCACTTTTACACTTCGTATTATTTCCGTATTTTCCTATTTTCAAGACCCTATTATAATATAAAGAAAATAATGTTTGGGAAATGGGAATCAGATAAAGCTAGGAAAGTTACAGTTGTTCTGTAAGCTGAACATCACAAAAGTTATGAATTAAATTTCATTAAGTATTATAGTAATTCGTTGCGTGCCTAAATTATAAACTCATTGTCTTGGTAAAGATATAATCAATCACCGTATAAAATGGTATATGTCCGTTAGTGATTCAGTTTTTGGAAAAAAGCATTTTTATGTTTACAATGTTGTGCTTGATTTTAACAGCCTGCTTAAATAATCCTTGCTTGCCAACCTTGTTCGACGATGTCCCGACTGATGGCAGCAACGTCGCCGTCGTTTACCAACAGCTGATCCCGTTTCCGTTTCCGAGAAGCGCCTTCTCGGCTAGATATAGGCGCGCCGCCTATAATCATCTAAAATTCAAACTAACCAAAATACGGTTCTATACCGGTACCGCATTCATTGTAACACCAAGCAAGTGTTATATTATTTCTGATATTTATTTAGATCTAATGTTGCTGGGCTTTGTAGCTATGCATTAAAATATTCTAGATATCTGGATAATATGTTTAATGGAGGTCGGTTTTACTGAATTTGTTAAGTTAGTGTGTCAGTAGGCTGTGTACCGGTATTTAATTTGTTTTTATTAGCGAATTTCCCTATAGGGAAGTAGCTATTACCGTAGGTCTCATGGTAAGACTTAGGCCCGGGACCGATTTACTTTTCATTTTGATGTCCCCAGAGGCCAAAAACACCATTCGTTCAAATTTTTATATATGTATATATATATAGATTTATGTATATGTGTCCGTGAACACGATAACTTCAATAATTTTTATCCGATTTTGATGAAATTTGGTTTGAAGGTGTAAGGCGGGATAAACTTGAATGAGTTCGCGATCCAGCATGATCGGACTATGGGAACAGGGTTTTATGGGGTAAAAATTGGGTTTTCTCACTTTTGACCCTTAAAGCACAAAATTTCCCAATTTTTCTCTAAACTTTCTTAAAGAGTTTAAAAAAACAAACAATTCAGTATATCAAAGTGTTTTTGTACGGTTATTGGTTACGGAGAAAACTTAAAAAATGGTAGGCAAAGAGGTTAAATAAACCATTTTTATATTGCAATTTACGATCCAGAGGCTTACCCACCATGAAACTTAAAAAATGGTAAATTTAAAATTCCCATGTTATTCTTGTGGAGAATATTGTAAAATGTTGTAGTTTGCTTGTTTATGGATATTTTTTGATCAAACTTGGCAAATATATTCATTTTATACTAAGCAATAATTATTTTACTTAAAACACACACTTTATTAGTTTCCTTGTAGCAGCAAACCTAGGTAGGTACTCGTTAAACCTAATGTTATTTAAATAGATCAATTGAAAATCAATTTAGCCAAATGGAAATTCACTTAGACAGCAGGTTTGCTGCGGCGGGGGTATTTATAAACTTTTTTATGCAAGGTTTTTTTGTAAATATTTAGATATTGGTGTCAAACTTATTTCACACATTTGGAATTATTGTATTTTTACAATAACACATCTTATTGTATTATTCTGAACAACTTCAAGCATACTCAGCATAACACCAAGTAGTAATCTTGCTCTTGTTTGAAATAGTTTTAACCTTTTGCGTTTTTGGGCATAAAAAAGTAATCCATCCAATTTTCTTTCAGCTAATGGTGTCACCCATCTGTGGAACGCTACTTGGACGGATCACTTGAAGCATGATCTTCTGATGAAGTATGATAAGTTTGCTCGACCTGCCCAACACACCAACGCGACTGAAGTGCAGTTTGGGTTAGTCATCAGACATGTTGAAGTGGTGAGTAACTATGGCAAGGAGAGGGTGTAGAACCATTAATTGACTTTTGGTAATGAGGAAGACAATAGAGATCCTCCGGCTGAAGCCATTTTTTTACTTAGTTGAGCCACTCACAAAGTGTACTGCTTTCGAAAGTCAATTTTCTTCTTCTTTAGTCACTACGGCCAGTCATAAGATATGCCCTAGAAGCTTACAACCAATTTTTAGTTGAAAAGTTTCTGTGTTATACAGCAATCAGTGTTGACACACACTCTATTGGTGGCTCAACCCAACTACAGTACATCAATTTTCATTTATAACTGGCTACAACATTGACTACAACAGTATTATCAATATAGTGAAAGTAGGACAAAAAGATTGATGGGGTCGTTTGTGATCTGTCAATGAATTTAATGAGAAGTCTGAAGACTTTAAGAGTGATAATTCATGGACCAAAGTATATCAACAAAGTATGTTCAGAAATGTATTACCTAGAGCATAGTGAAAAGGTGATTATGCTCTCTGTTTCCATGCAATGTTTTCTCCAAGCAGTGTTACGTGAAAAGGAGAAGGGTTGACAATTGTAAAAAAGTATTTTTATTTGAGATTAGGGTATGGTAATGGTAACCTTCAGAGTAATAAAGGGCTATAAAGAATAAACATTTATACTAATCATTAAAATAAATTATTTAATTTCATTATGACGCAGTGGCGTAACTACGGGGGGGGGATGAGGGGGATAGAACCCCCCCCAAAGGCAAAAAAAAAAAAAAAAAAAAAAACTTAATAACCTACTCCATAATGAACATTGTTCTCAGAGGGTGGATCAGGAATTGTTGCGGGTAGTTTCATAATCTTTGCGAATAAAATCGGGGATTTCCTGTGGCAATTACGTGGGAAGTCATCATATTAGGTTGGCAACACTGCCGCTCATGCGCTGTAACTGTAAGTTTAGTTAGGCCGGGGCCACACTCATCTCATCTCGCTGAATTTTTTCCACGGGCGTTACCCGTGGGTTTGAGAGATACATTACGGTATATGGGGCAGGCCACACTAGAGTAAAAACGTCCGTGAACGCGTTTGTCAGTCTCACTGGTTTTACCAGCGAGACTGACAAACGGAATTGCACGTGTATTCTCTACTAACATCCCACGGGCGTTGCACGTAAAACTAGTCGCGGGGCATTGCGGCTTATGGGAGTGAACACACTCATCTTATCTCGCTGAACTTTTTCCACGGACGTTTCTAGTTTTAACCTGTACAGAGAGCGTGGAAGGGGGGGGGAGTGCGTATCACGGACACGGACGATTTTTATTGCCAGTGTGGCATGCTCTATCAGTCTCACTGGTTTGCCCGAAAAACCTATCTCGTAAGACGAGTGTGGCCACGGGCAAACTGTTTCACGTGCGTCGCACGTGGAAACGGAAAAAACAGTCTCGCTGGTTGAAAATTACAAGTGTGGCCCCGGCCTTAAGTTCCCGCTCAGTCTGTTCTGGGTCTGGCGCGTTTCCCTGTGCTTGTCGCCTGTGTGTTACTTGTTGTTCAGTGATGATGTGTTCTGTTGTTCTGTTCACAATGTCTAAGAGGAAAGCATCATCATAGCAAAGCTTAATAACAGATTTGTTTAGAAAGCGTATGGTAACTAAAACCATTGACTAAGGAAATTTCCCTTGTCTGTGCTAAAACTGAGCATTGAGCATACTGAAAGTGATGACAGTTCCTGATAACAAACAAAAACATTCTGCCTTGCTTACTTTGCGAAGACGCGTGGTGTAGGGGCGGGTGGGGGAGGGGAGGGGTATCTGGTGCCTGGGGAGGTTCACTCTTTCCACCCGATAATTTTACCTACAGTCAGGGTCATCGCACGAAAAAAAATATTTTGGGGGAGACACTGAATTTCCCAACTATTTTACTCGAACTAACCCAACTTTAATAGGCTACACGAATTTCACAACTATATTAATATCAAGTTTTAACAGTTAGTAGCCGAAGGATATTATTTTACGTTTAAATCCTCTTTACAGCTGACATACACAAATAACAAGAAATTAAGGGCTTTCTCACAATACTGGTTTTGACTGTCAATCTTCATTGTTGATTGTGTTTTAAGTGTCTTAACAAATGTCTCAACAAACTGTAGGTCTACTGATCAATAATACATTAAGTTTTCAGCCTGTCAAAATCGATTTGAAATAAAAATTCAGTAGATACGGCTCTTCGCGCGCAGCACAGAAGGCTACAGTACAAAAACAACTTAACGATAATTTGTTCGTTTGTTGTGTTGTGGTTTTGATTTATTAGTTACTTACTATTTCCTGATACTGACCGGCCAGAAACAGCCTCAACTGGGTAGATTTTTGGAGTTCTTTTGGACGTTCTTTACACCTCATGAATGCCTGAAAAAGCGAGTTTGGAGTTCGAATTTTTCAAAATTTTCCGGGGGAGGACCCCCGGACCCCCCTTTTTGCTGGGGGGTATTCCATACCCCCCAGGCCCCCCGGTATTGGGGCTCCTCCATCCCCCCCCCAAAGCCATGTTCTAGTTACGCCACTGTTATGACGTAACGGTAACATATAAATCTGGAGGAGCATTTTAGAAGATTGAAACAGAGGACCATAGTTAGATATAAATGAAAAGTACGGAAAAGTATAAATTAAAACATTTTGTATTTATTTTAATGACACATCTACTTGACTTCATAACTAACCCTTAGAAATACACTTATAATACTTTTTTTTATCTTAAAGAAAATAGATAACATTAATTTAGTTGACAAACATGTTACGGTACTTATAAAACGTTCTGAATATTTTGTGTACATGTTACTAATATTTTTCTGAAATCAAACGATTTCAAGGGAAAGCGGTTCACGCCCATCAAACATTATAGTGGAAGAAAAAATAACTAAATTGAAATGTTCATTTGCAAATGTTGATAACAAACTGGTATCTTTTTCCAGGATGAAGTACGATCCATGATGATTCTCAACGCCTGGACTAAATTTGTAAGTAGGCTGTCTGTCTAACTGATTACCAGCAAAACACATTGTATTTTGCCTTATATTTCAATCAGTATTTTGGGAGCAGATTTTAAGAGTAAATCAATGGTATATGATTCCATATTTTCTATTTAAGGAGTGGGATGATGAGAAGTTGAAGTGGAATGCAAGTGACTACGGAGGCCTCAAGATCCTTCACGTAGCAGATCATGAGATCTGGCAGCCGGACATCGTGCTTTACAACAGGTGAACTTGTAGGATATAATTGTAGACGTAAATACATACTATAATCCGTAACTTTCCAAAAAAATCTATTTGTTTTCCTCCCCAAATTAGAAAAAAACCAAGCAAAATTTTGATTCTTTTTATTTTCTTTGTTGGTTAGTCATTGCTTAAGATATTATGTGAGTCACAAAGAAAAGCCAACACCTACAATAGCTGTATACTGCAGTGCTGTATCCACTATCAAGGGGGGGGGGTGTTTAGGGATTTGAACGTGACCTTAAAACGTGATTTCCTATTTTCGTTTGTGAGTTATTTTTTTGCATCTGATGACCATAACTCTTACATTTATGTTTGCAGTGCTCTCGGTAACTCAGTGGACCACTACGGCAATACCCACTGTTTAGTCTATCCGACAGGTCACGTGCTGTGGGTCCCGCCCTCCCAGTTCTCAGCCTACTGTGATATCAACCTCCGCAAGTGGCCGTACGACCGTCACACCTGCCACTTCTTCTTCGGTTCCTGGGTATATGATGGAGAGCAAGTACTGCTCAAGAGGCAGACCAGTCGAAACACTTCGGTGAGTGTACAGAGAGCAATAGCTATTAATGTAAATAAGCTATTTTTTGAGCTGCATTAATACCTGAATTGTTTGAGCATTGTGTTCAACAAATTTAGATTCTTCAAACTCTATAATATATATATATATATATAAACATATATATATATATATATATATATATATATATATATATATATTCTTACCTACTCAAAACCAAGTTCACACAAGGCTAACAGAGCAGCCAGATTACTTGCATCTTGTGTATTTCAAGCTACCTGAGGAATCTTTCTCCTCTTTTCTGTAGTCTTGAGAACCAGGGAATCATCAGACCTTCTTAAAGAAAGGCTAAGCCTGTATAATTTACACTGATGCAGTATGCAATTATATTCTTTTACAAATAGCACCGGTTATGGAGAGGTTATATGCCATACACAGACTTTACAAAGCTGCCTAAGCACTGATTTTTTTGCTTAAAAGCTGTAAAACCACCTAAAAGAATCTATAAATAAGGAATAAATAGACAGATTGTCACCTTGTGAATGAAAAATCAAAATATACCTACTTTGACAAATCTAACTACAATGTTTAGTCAGGTGACTTGCTCTAGCAAAGTATAAAATATCCATAAATGGTCCTTTCTAGAACACCCTACTATAATTGTTAGTACAGTGGGTTCGAGATCAAAACAGGCAAAATGTTGTGTAGAGACAAAAGGAAGTGCTATGGTGAAAGTGAAGGTGTCGTTTACAATGAATAGTTATAAAAAGTTGACAATGAAATCCTTAATTTTGTTATGCTACTGCAATTACATTAATACAATGTCCTTTTACAGGACGGAGAGGTAGATCCGACCCCGATGCAGTGGAAGGTAGTGTCTGTGATAGAGACAGAGCATGTCAAATACTACGCATGTTGCTCCGAGCCGTACTATAACATCGAAGTGGTCGTCACCGTAGAAAGGAAGAATCCAGCTTATGCCGCTGTTATATTCACCCCTGCTATAGGTAATCTGAATCCAAATATGATGTAGAATATCAATATTTAAACAACAATTAGTTAACTTAGTTTAATTAATGAAATGCAATGGCTTAATTTTTTCAGGTCTGGTGACTTAAGATGTTGGATGATATATAAGTTTACTTGAATTATGCTATGTGACACCCTAAAAGTTTGTAGTGAAAAAATGGGCATGAAAAAATGTGCAAGTTACTTTTATAGGTGAACACCTCTCAACCTACAGTAGATATCACTTGAGTGAATAAGAGTACTAACCTTTTAATCACAAAACAGTGGGTTCAATTTTGTGAAAACTAGTAGCTTTTTGATGGTCTACACAACTGGACCAGAGCACACATCGCTTTAAATTTAATTTAATAGAAAAGCTAATAAAATTGTTTTTTTAGGGAAATTTGCCCATGATAACGTCAACCCTGTGAACATAAAATAAAACAAATTCTGTAAACTAAGTAAACTTTAAATTTTAATCTCTTTGACATTTTACGTATTACGGCCCAGAATAAAATTCCTGAAATTGATTAGGACAATGAATTTATTTTAAAATAAAATGTATAGCAAAAGGAAAGTTAAAACAATTACTTTACCTCTGATTTGAGGGTGATGTGAAGACAGATGAGACTTGTTCAAGCTTTGAACTAAGAATGAAGAAATTTCCTACTGCACATGGGGCTGTGAGGAGGGGATGTTCCCACCAAAACTATTAGCCAATCAAAACGCTTGGATTGCCCTAGACTCATCCCAGCAAAACTTAACATGATTTTTAAATTTGCTTGTTCTGACAAAGATCTGGTTTTTTCCTGTAGTTTGCTCAACTGTCTTATGTAACTAATTTATATATTAAATTCTGTATGAATTTTTAAAATTAACTAAAAAAAATACTAAATATGGTACACAGGTTTTGTCACTGCCGATTAATACTCTATGTTTGTGTTTTAGTTTGCGTTATTCTGACATTGGCAGTATTTTGGCTTCCACCCCATGCCTCGGAGAAGTTCCTGGTAGCTGGTGCGACTGCAGTTATAGAATGCATGTTCCTGCTCTACTTCGCCCAGAAGTTACCTGCCATGGGACAGCACATACCTCTTATTGGTTGGTACATTTAATAACAGGTCAATTAGCTGAGTTGAAAAATTGGTTTTACCTTTTTTAATGTCTTCAAATTAATATTTCAAGAAGTTAAAATATATTGTATAACGTAATGTTTCTAATCACAGATGGACACATATGAACTAAATTATGTTTTAATCATAAAATTACTACCGTGCACCAATAACTACTTTTTTGCTGTTTAGCCCTGCTATTTTACTTTATTTAACTCATTTACTTCATTGGCTCTCATATTGAATTTTTATATTATAAGTTTTTGGATTGTGTGCTGCAATGAATGTCTACACCTAGAAAGCATCTGTTTTTAAAATCTTGTGGAATTTTTCACAATACGGGCAATCTCTTGTCCACTAAAAATTAAAGTTATGACTGTCACAAGCTACCATGCACCTCATGAGCCATGCATGTGACATGCTCATTAGCATGTCATTAGCTGTCCTCGATACCATGCAAAGGTGGCCCTACATAAAGGTTGACAAGGCGGCCCCTGAAAAGTGCGGGGCCCCGCAGCCCCTGAACACAGCCGTATTTCACGTAATAAGAGAGGCCTGCTATTGAACTTCGCCTTGGGCCCCGCAATGTCTAGGGCCGCCACTTATACCACGACACCAGCTATGATGTATAAAATCTGTTTTTCCTATATTGTGGTTTTAAAAATTGAAAAAGGTGTTTCAAAATTACTTATTAATCAGCCTTTGTTGTGGTAGTAAAGCTCTTTTTGTTCATGGAATAAAGCTACTTATGTTGACGAATACAGATGTAAGGAAGGAATAGCTACAGTATTTAAACTGGATGCATTTGTTCACCCAGTGGAATTTTACGGGTACAGTCTCGCCCTGATGAGTGTGTCTGTAGTCGTCTCTGTGGTGACTGTTAACATCAGCCGTCGTCCTGCGGCTCATCCTGTCCCGTGGATCATCAGCGGAACTCTCAACCGCTATGCCATCTTCCTTGGCTTACTTAATAACAAGGTAAATTGTAACTAATTTTGGCATTCTAATTCTAGTAGCATAAAACATAACTGGTAAAAATATATAACTTTTTAATTTTCTGTCTGGTGTGAAAACTTAAATAATAATTGGTGATTGGTAATGATTCAGTAAGTGATGCAAGACCACTATGGACTACCCCATACTCTCAAAAATATTTATACACAAATGAGATTGCTCCCATGTCCATATCAACATAGACAAAAGGAATTAAATATAGACTGTCAGCCGTGCTGCGGTTACCATAAGTTCGGGCGCACACCGCTGTAGTTTACGTAGCGCGTACGCTGTAACTACCGTGGCGATCCCCGCGGTGTGCGCCAGAACCTATGGTAACCGCAGCACAGCTGACAGTCTATATTTAATTCTCTTTGTCTATGATATCAATTACTCACCCACAGAATGTCCCACAAAATTATATATTTTATACCTTAGTTTTTGTTACTGTGATATAGATAGTTTATATGACATAAAATATGCTTTAGCTTATAATAACTCTATCAGCTTCACTTGCTTTAAAAGCTATAGCGTATTCTACAGAAATCACAACCAAACTTGCCGGTGTCTCGATTAAAGTTTTTTATTTAAAAACTGTTGACAACTACAACATTATGCAATGTCTAGTTCTATTCATAGTCAAATATTGAATACACTATATTGTTGCAGAATGCGTTTGTGTCGGTGTACGGACGACAGGACTGTGAAGAACTGCATGAGCGCAATCTGGTGGACCGAGGCCGTACCGAGTCTGTAGACACCACACACCAGCCGACCTCCGCGCAGACGGCCAGGGAGTGGGTCCTCCTCGCCAACGCCATCGACCGTTTCATGTTCCTCATCTATGTAGTCATTTTCCTGTTGATTGGAGCATCTTTCTACTTGTCGTAACATTATGTTGTGTGCTAGGCTTGAAGGACAGTTCTATTCTGTTAAAGAGATGTGTAGGTTTACATTGTAAAATAATGTAATCGTGTAGTGCGGATAGTGTTTTTTCTAAAAATGATCGCACAGGTACGTTATTTTTCAAATGATCAGCCTGTTTTGTAAAGGATGAGATGATAAAGTTGAGGTAGAGACATAATATGTAAGAGTTTTAACATATCAAAAGATTCTCCATTCTTATATCTTTCTATCTTTGTATCTTTCTATCAACATTGTTTTGTGATGTCCACAACAGTCTTATGGATGGACTTAAGGAATTTCATTTGAGAAAGTTACAATAGGATGTTAATAATCTTAAAAGTAATTCAACTAATATGTGAGGTAAAACCAAACTGTGCTTAGAATACCCTAAATTACCGTATTGTGTTTAATTATAGTTGTGTAAATATTTGAAACAGAATAAATAAACTAAATTAATTTGTATACTCTTCTCAACATTTTTATTGTTGTCCTTCTGTGTTCTTCAGTTCTTCTGTATACATACAACTACGACCTGTTTTCCTTAAATAAATTACAATCCCTAAATCCTAGCCATATAACCATTCATAGAAAAAAAAAAACTCCCTTAGTAGATTTCTCATCCTTATGGAACAGCTGACTGTAGTAGAGGATGTATTTTCTTTACAACTTTTTTTGTTATTTCAGTAATTTATTAAAACCTTGTTCAACCAAATAAAACGATCTAATCATAAACAATAACTCGTCTCCTAACTCGTTTTTATATAACCAAATCATATTTTTTCATATTTTTACTTTTCTAGCTATTCTACTCATTTTTATAATTTCCTGTTTTTCTTGTTTAATTCCTGGATTTATCCACGATTTCTTTGTGTTGTAAATTTTGACAAGTTTATTTTCAAAACATAAATGAAATAGTAAATTAACGTTTTGTGAAAAATATTGTACTTTTCTGTTACCGGTGTTAAATAAACATCATTCCAGTTTTCCTTTTCCAGCATTTTATAAAATTGGAGCTTTTTTTCTTCTGAGAATTGTCGGGATTTAAAAAAAATGTAATTATTTTTATTTATTTTAAATAAATATTTTAGATAAATGTATAAAAAACAATTACAGCAATTAAAAAAAAAACAAGCTTCAAAATGTATAATGGGATGAGAAGTCTCCACTTGTGTTGGTTAGTCTATGTCATAACTATTCTGAGGATAAATTATGGTGATCCCACATGGGAAGGTTTTAATTAGGAAGTTTGAATTAAGTGTCGTACAGTAATGTGGTATGTGATTTTCTACCCATTCATCATGAAGACAAGAAGCCTGGCTGATGGAATCCTTCAGTACACAACAATTTGACTTTTATTGATATTGATTAACATGAATTGCTTTGATTTATTAATTACTTTAATCGCACAAACAATAATGTGTATTATTAATTTTTGATATAGTCAAAAACCCCTTCACTTCGGAACTTTTGATAGTACAAACAGCACAAAGCAAATAAATGGTTTTGAATTTCAAGGTCACTTGCTCACATTCCTAAAACACAGTGAGAGTGATTACATATCCTTTTCAGGCTGCAAATCAGCTGTGTAAGCTGATGGGCTGTGAGCGTTTTATCAATGGCCATAAAAAGTGACCGTAGCCCCCACACAAACACAAACCACGGATAGTGCGCAAGACGAGAATTTTGTCAGCCTCCTCCCCAAACTCATTACGGTCCGCTCCCCCGCAGCATTGAACCGTTCTTTTATATCGTATGTATATAGGGTTCAAACGCTAAATAATGTTTTTTGCTAATCCCTCATAGTTTAGTTATTTCTTGGGAGATCAAAAACTGCAACAAGCTCGATTCTCACAATTGAAGTGTGGACGAGAGTGTGGCTTGGGGAAAGTAGGGACGGTAAGTTAATTGCTGGTTACAAGTACGGTACCGTACTTGCCAGTCCTTACCACATATCTATTCTCTAAAACACGGGACTTTAGTAAGAGGTACTGGTAGTTCTCTCAAAACTAGTGTTGGGTTCAAGTCCTATATCCCATAAAGTAAAAAAAATAGTAAAACTGATCGAAGATTTACTGATTTATTTTCCATGAAAAATTAAAAAACAAGCTATTAATCAACTTAACCCTCCGAAGGTCACGCTTCTAAAAATAGACGCACAACACACTTTGTGTAGTGTCACGCGTCTATTTTTAGACGCACAAACATCGTTTACGGCGAAGGCTCTATGACTGACTGAATCGGATTGAACTGGATCGAGTTAGGTATCTTTCTTTTCATTAGATTCTAAGCTTTCTAAAGGTCTGTCTCTAAGCGCTGTTTGTTCTCTGAGCCGATCGTAATTGTAGCAGACAGCTGACGTGCATATTAGTAAACAGTAAACAGGTAAACAGGTAAACTCGGACCGATGACTGATGTGTTTTATTATGTTTATCATTGTTTTAGTGTTAAAAATCAAAAGTAGTGATATACGTGGTGCATTATAAGAAGATTTAAGTGGTTTTGAAGTGCTGGTTGATGATCGTGAAGAAGTAGGTAGTGATATTGATGTAAATTATCAGCCAGATTCCTAGCTATGGTTAGGCTATGCATTCTTAGCTAAACACTATGTACTGAAATCCGTTTTTCGCTCATAACTTATTTATTTGATAACTTACCTCGCTATATGTTGACTTACAAATATTTTGTAAATGTTTGAATATAACAATTTCTATAGAAAAAATAATTATAAAACGTCCAAAATGTCACTCTGCTGGTATGTCCCAACTGTGCTATAGAAAAGGTTATATTAAAACTTAAAAAAAATATTCCTGTACTCAGCAGTTCTAATTTCTAAAAATAAACAAAGGATACCATTCATTAAGTATAAACTTTATCATTTAAGTACAGTATACAATAGCATAGATAAAACATACTTCCAGCTCAGTGGTTATATTGCTCACCTAATAATCCAAAGGGCACCGGTTCGATCTGAGAAAATTGTGAAGCTTTTTGATGGTTTGAAACTGGACCCAGCTGTCTCTGATCATTGGGCTTTCAATAAATGGGCCTGACTAATGAATCATCAGGTCTTAGTCAGTAACAAAGCTACACAAGGCGTTGCACATTGCTCATTCTTCAAACTTGTTGTAACATTTCAAAATTCTGTTTTATATTCACCACATGACTTTTCTATTATCCAATAGAATTACTCGAATTAAAATTACAATTGCGTAGCATGATTTGTCTAGGGGGGGTAGTATTCCAGTCGCGGACACGACTTCCATATTGGTTAGTTGGCAGATTTTGTGACGTCACGTTTCACCTGGGGGGGTAGTTTTCCGGGGGATAGTATTCCGCATCCCCGCACTCCATTACACTCATATTTGGGTTACAATTTACACACATATAGGTGGCGGTGGCGTCCCCATATCAAATGAACATGAATATATAAGTGTAAGAACTAGCAACTTAGACTTAAAACGGGACTGTCCCGTTCAAAACCTTACCGAACCTTGTTCGAGAAACTTGCAGCACCACAAGTCCGCCATCGTCGCTTTCTCCTTGCATCAGCCAAATCATAGATAAAATATACTCCTGCCAAATGGTTAAGATTTATGAAATACGTGAAGGATAAAATCACACGCTCTTTCGCCATACAAACTAACACTGGAGTGGACGAAAAACAAATTGGCATCTTGTTCCCGAAACTGTGTTACAAAGTACAGATTGATGGTAGCTGATCAATGGTTTCATTGGCCAGACTAGTATAATGCTATTAATAGAGGACATTATTTGTCCAATATAACCATTTTAATCTTGAACCATCGAGTTCGCAATACGATACATTATGCTTAAACCCATAATCAACGACGTTTCTGGTTATTAGTGGTTACTGTACTCTTTTCCATGTGCTAGCCTGCATTTTCTGGCGTCTGCACTCATGATGCACACCAGCTGTCTTGTCTGTCACCTACCTCAGCTCCACACACAGTGACAGCTGCTTAGAAGCATGCAGCAACAGCAAACAAACAAAACAAGCTGCTTGCTAAGCAAAGTAGCTAACAAAATTGCAGCTAAAGTGCATTTCCATTTCTGATGCAGCATCTGTTTGTGTTGAATCCATGTAGAAATTGAGGTTGCTTCTTGTTATTTTAATTTACGTTTGTGACTCTAATTCCCATTTTGTGGGTTCCTGTATACCTAGAATACATTTTTCAATAATTGTGATTCTAAACGAGAAATGTAAGTGATACTCTGATACTCAGCTTTATTATTAATGAACGCAAGGCTATACAATCTTGTGTTAATTTTACCAATGTTTTTTTTTATGAATTCGATATTTAGGCCTATACTTATAGTTTTCTTAGCTAAGGTCTTAAGAAGTTTCTTTCTTAATTAAATGTGTCATGTGGTCATATCCCCCTCTGAGGAGTAAGTTTTAGTTTTAGGTATTTTGGGGAATTATTGTGGCAAGATTTTTCAAACATTGTTTTTTCTTTAATTTATTCTTGGTGGGTAAGGAGCTATAACTAAAATGCAATCCACCCAAATTTCTGGCTGATCAAATTAAATTTTAAATAATGCAAGGTAATAACTAGGTCTAAGTATTTTACTTAATTTCTTAGGTCTAAGTTAGGGTATTTCAACATACTGTCCAGGGGTTACAGTTTCTTAACTGGGCTATGCTTATGCTAATATCGATAGAAACTATCGATTCTATTAGTAAACCTTCATTCGGTTTTTTTCATTAAGTTTATCAGCAAGTTTGGTTTGTTAGGTTAGCCTATTAAACTTACCTAGTTAAATTGGTATTTATTCCGTATAGGTGCCTCCAAACAAATTTTTAATTTTGATATCTTACTTTATAGTTTTTTACCTCCTGAATCCAAATATACCATTATTTTTCACCGCTGATGAATATTTCTCAAGATATCGCCGTAAAAACATACTTAACATTACAATAAAGAAGATAGGATGGATAACATTTCAAGTGATTCTGTAGTCAAATAACTTAATGTTCTCTATAATAGGAATTTCGTCACATTATGGAGATATAGATGGACTAATTACATGTAGTGGCTGCACTTTACTTGACGTCCTACACTCATTTGAATGAAAATATCGATCGATATATCGATTAATCGATTGCTTCATTCGATATATCGTTTGGTTAGTTAGGTAAGGTTAACCTAACCTAACTAACCAAACGATATATCGAATGAAAGAATCGAATGAAAATATCGAATCGAAAAACCAATCGAATGAGTGTAGGACGTCAAGTAAAGTGCAGCCCATGTAGTTCTTATTTAGGCATGTCAGGGTGGTAGGTCGTGCTGTATGTGAATTGATACTTACTTGATACTTGATACTTGTGTCCTTAATCCTTGACCGACAATGTCGGATAGATTGCGTCATAGGCACATTAACATACTATTTATTTACATATTATTTAAAACTAATATTTACTACTAATATTTACTATATGTAATTGGTGACTGCATTAAGTCTTTTGAAGTTAGGTTAAATAGATTAGGAAGGTAAAGTTTAGGTTATAATGTATTGAGTTGTTAGTTTATATTGGCGACATAAACTAACAACTTGATACATTATATCCTAAACTTTAACTTACCTAATCTAACCTACCTTCAAAGGACTTAATGCAGTCACCAATTCACATAAAGCACGACCTATCACCCTGACATGCCTTTTCTGACATCAAAAGGAGTTTGCTTACACATTCTAGAGGTTTGGTTAGGTTAGGTTATGTTAGAATAGCGCCATTTAGTATGTAATTTCTAAACGGCGAAATATAAATCAATAAATCATTAATAAAGATAAAATACTGGTAACAATAATACATTATTAACTTATTGGTCTTAGAAAGTGAAAAGTGTAACTTAATCAGGTGATTTTCATATTGCAGAATCAGAGTTAGCTAATTAAAGTTGTCACTTCCATTTGCTTGACTATGATTGAAAACAATCAGCTGGTTGGTTTACTTAACCCATAGTATATTCCACTTGTAAATTTCATCCATCCTACCTTGTTTATTGTAATGTTGTATATTATTACGGCAATATCTTGAGAAATATTCATCAGCTGTGAAAAATAATGGTATATTTGGATTCAGGAGGTAAAAAACTATAAAGTAAGATATCAAAATAAAAAAAATTCGTTTGGAGGCACCTATACGGAATAATTATCGTTAAATTTTATAATTCAGGTACATAGTTAAAAATATTGATTACTACTCGATATTTTTAATTTGATAGTTTCAATGGATATTAGCATATCCCAGTTAGTTAAGCAACTGTACCCCTGTCGAGGCCTAACTTAATAAGATAGGTAGCCTAAATAAAGTAAAAGTAACATAACAAAACTTTAAGAAGGAAATTTTAATAAATGAACATGGTATCTTTGGTAGGGTATTGGGGTACACTTCCATATCTGTTGGCACAAACAATCGAATGATTAATATCGATTGATATACCTATCGATTATTCGGTATATCGCTTGGTTAGTTAGGTAAGGTTAACCTAACCTTACTGACCAAACGATATATCGAATTAAACAATCGAATAACCGATATTACTCATTTGGTTACCTTTATCTTTACCTTCTGTCGTGAACTTCTACCAGAGAAAACTGGATTGTTCATGTCAATAAAACATTTGGTTGTATGTGCCAACAGATATGGAAGTCTACCCGGGTATTGAAGAAAATTCGAACTGAGGCAAATAGTTAGGCTAATAGGGAAAATTTTTGATCAGTCTACTTACTTCAACCAAACTTAAGTTATATTCCCTATTTACAGAATGTCAAATGCTGAAGGTGGAGGAAGTTCCAAGGAAACTGATGAAGAAAATGGTGAAAGTGAACGTGAAGTAGGCTTAGTTGAAAGAGTAATAGAAGATTCCTGTCAAATTCCTTCTAATGATGAAGCATGTAGTGCAAATGAAACACTTAGGCCTACTACATCAGGAAAAGAACCCGAAAAAATCGAGCAAGATGGAGAGGCTAGTGAAGGAACAAACGCTGAAGGCTCATCAAATGCAGATCAACGGATTTCCGAGAGTTCAGAAACAACCGTTGACAACGATGTCGGTTTTGCCAGAAGACGAAGGAGTGTTGGGAGGCAATATCGACGGAGAAGTGGAGCAGACGAGTCATCTGAAGAGGATGCAATGTCGTCTGATGACTCTGAGTGGTTACCGTCTCGTGGCCCTTACCAACACTTGCAACACTTGCTGTCCAGGTCATCGTCAGACTCGAGTAATAATCTGTCGATGGAGTGTCAAGCCAGCGAAGACGACAAACCGACACCCAAAGTTCTCCTCAAGTGTAAGCCTAAACACAAGTGGTTTGCCATGAGAGAAATTGTGGGCAGGTAAGAGTCTAGATGTTGCATAGTTTAAATTGGTATATTATAGGCTAAGTTAAGTTAGATTGTGAAGAGCAAACAACCATCCTTTGAAAAACTAACTTATAAATCTGCATACTAATCAAGAACCCATCTTTTTTTTTATTTAACCATCTAAAACTTTTAGCATTTTGCAAAAATTAAGATAACTCTATAGACTAATAGGAACTAAGACTTAGGCTACTCAAAAGATTTTTGCCCTTCTACTCTGCCATTCTATCATAAATGGTAACTTGTAAAAATAGGGCGTAAGCCTATTACAAACTTTTGAGTTGAAATTTCTCTAAACATAGGCCTTACCAATTAAAATAAACAGAACAGGAAAAATTGTCTCTTGACTTCTTGATTGTATATAGATTTCAGTTTTGATAGCCTATTAGTTGTAGTAGCCTAATTTAAGTTAACTGCTAGATAATTTGTAGGATTAAATAAAGATTTAGGTCACTGTAATGAAAGAGTTCTAACTTTAGCCTAGGCTATATTAAATTTTTTTAACCATCCATCATAGTTAGGCTAGTGATCGTTAATAATCATGAACCGTAATTAATTTGAATCTAGGCCAGCCCTAGAGTGTTACTGATATCTATGATAAAAAGTAATATTGTACCATAAAAGCTGAGTTATAAGCAATAAGCCATAAGTTATTTATAATAATTGTATGCTTTAAGTTAGCATACAATTATATATAACTTATGGCTATACTGTATTATTAGGTATTTTTAACTATAACTATACTGCCTTACTAATTTCATAAATAAAACTCGACTAAGAGAAAACTAAAATTGAATAATTTTACTCTTGTGTGTTGATCTAGACGTAGGAGACATGCTGAAACCATCTTCAATTTCAATCAATCAATTTTTCAGGCATTAGTTTCACTGGTACCCTATAGTTTTTATTTCTACTTTTGTCACTTTTACAGGGAAACAGGTTGGAGTGCTCGCTTTCAAGGTCCAGAAAGATTTCAGCATCGATATTACGGATCTTTACATGCAGTACAGCGGTTAGAACTCATGTATAAATTAGACGAACATCGAGGATGTGTTAATAGCCTAAATTTTAACAGGTAAGACAAGACTCCTTCTATTGTTGTCAGTTTGACCAAACGGTATTCTACTGTAACAAAATAATATCTTTGACTATTCATACAACAACTTGACATTCCATCCTCATGTTAAAGTTGTAGCCAGGTTTTTAATAAAATTCGTCTTAGTTGATGTGAGCCACCTACAGATTGCGCTGATCTAAATTACTGATTTGTGCCGATTACATTATGGTTTTTACCAAGTCAAACTGATGGAATAACATATTATGAGCTATAGCAACTGTTGTGACCCAGTAACTATGTCAGTAACAAAAAATAAGGTACAAAATAGAGTTTTAGACACTAGCGCAATCTGTTACTGGCCCACACAACTACATTCTTCTTTAGTAAAAAATTGGCGACAGCTGATCCATATAGATGGGATGTCTTGTAATTGTATATGAAGAACCCTTTAACCTTTCTGCATGTATTACTGGATCAGTTACAACTACTGTTACTGTTGATGAAATTTGTCTTGTACACTTTTGGTCAACCTGTTACACATTATATTAAATCTAATATTCCTAATGATTTATATGGATGTGCTTGAATTTCTTTTAATAACCTAAACGGACATATTTAGTTTAAATTAACTTTATTTCACCGATAGGACGGGTTGAAAATATTTTGTCGTGTTCTAATCTTTCATTGCAAAAGTTGTAGCAGGCCTAAATCATATTCATAAGTATTCCCAATTAATTTGTAGACCTACTATAACAGTGTTTTTGGTGTTTAAAACAAAAAACCTAGTTCAAATCTGAAATAAGACTAATATTTATCTTTACCGACCAGGTCTGGACAACTACTAGCCAGCGCCAGTGATGATAAGAGAGTCGTGTTGTGGGACTGGGCTGCGGACAGGTCTATACTGAGCTTTGACAGCGGTCACAGCGGAAATGTGTTCCAGGTAATTCTTTGAAGATTTTTGTGTTACTTCCTAACTATTAAATTGTTATGATATTCCTATTTTTTTAATAAGCCTACAGTAGACTCCCTCTTATCGGGACACCTTTTAACTGGACATCGGTTTAACCGGACTACACTCGGCGGAAATGACATCTCTTTAACCGGACAATTTTTATCAGCACATTGGTTTAACCGGATTAGATCGGCAGGAAGTGGGCAGTACTGAAACGACTGCTCTCGTGTGAAAGATTTGAGACCAGTGATCAAGTGTCTAAATACAATGCTCTCATAAATTTAAGTCGAATATCACAGTAAACAGTCCGTTTTAACAAGTTTTTGGGGACGTCGGTTTAACCGGAAAACCCGTTACCTGGACTGGCCTCGGTCCCGAGGAGTCAGGATGAGAGGGAGTCTACTGTACCAATCTTGCTTTGTATTAGAAAACATTCATTAACTTTTCCATTAGGTTAAGATCACTTGTATCCTAATTGAACCATTCCCAGACTGCTTTATCGGCTTTATTTTATGACATCAAAGGACGGATGACCAATAAATCTACATTATGCTTCATTATCTGCTGTGAATGGGTAGGGTAGGAGATATTTCCGGCAATTCTGTAGCCATTCCGATTGGATTTTGTATGGTAACCAGCTGGTTCGTGCCACTAAGACAATGATTTCCCACACTCTGAAGAAGTGCTGTGGCTGTGACCTTTTACTTTACATACAACGCTACTGCACTGAACACTTTTTTTGACTTGTTAAAATTCAAGTTAATTTGCTTTTTAGCGAATTTCCCTATACTTTTGCATTTTGATGTCCACAAAGAACAAAAACACTACCAGTTGTGTGTGTTTTTTTTTTTTTTCTTTTTTTTTCTCCAATCTCCAGTGGTTGAAAAAGTGGTCAGTGACCACGAAAATTTCTACTTTTAATTTTGTGATGTTTTATGTGTCTCTATGGACTTATTTAAAGGTAAGCCTGCTTTCCTGTCAATTTCCTTAATAAAAAAGGCCTAATTTGGATCTTGAAGTTTGTTGTTGAAAATTCCAAAACAGTGTACATTTTAATTCCCATCTTTTATACTCCTATGGAGAAAAAAACAGTTCTAGTTTAGCCTACTTGTTAATGGATGTATGTTGATCAAATTTGGCAAATGTATTCATTTCATCCCATATAGGCTACTATTAATACTAGTATTAACATACTACTATTATTAACATACTACTATTATTAACATACTAACTATTATTAACATTTGTTCAAAAAACACTTTTTACCTTCACGTAGCAGCAAATCATAGTAGGTACTTGTTTGAGGTTTTCTAACTTCGTCTCTTTAATTAAGTCATTTATAATTTCATTTCATTTTAGCGAATTTCCCTAAGGGGAATACCTATTACCATAGGAGGCACGGTAAGACTACCCGAGATCGATATACTTATTGATTTTGATATCCCCAGATGCCAAAAACAATATTCGTTCAAATTTATGTGTATATGACTTATAAATCTATGAGTCTGTGAACACGATTAGGCCTAATCGAGTAATTTTGGTCCGATTTTGAGGAAATTTTGCTTGAAGGTGTAGCGCTGAATTAACTTAAATGAGTTTGTGAACCGGCAAGATCAGGTCATAGGTACAATGTATTAAATGGGGTTTATAAATTTTGAGAAAATGGGGTTTTCAAGCCCTTATAACATGAAAATGCCCAATTTTCATCACAGCCATTTTGTATAAAAAAATAAATAAATTTGTAGGCCTATAGTGAAGCTTTGTTGTTAAATTTTCCTGAGGAAATTCCCAAAAACTATTTGTTCAAGATTCCTGTGTTATTCTTATGGAAAAAAAGAAAAGTGTTGTAGTTGCTTGTTTGTGGATGTATGTTGATCATATTTGTCAAATTTACTAAATCAATCCTACAGGCCTAATTAACATTAATTTGGTAAAAAAAGGAACTGTTTACCTTCCCCATAGCAGCAAACCTAAGTAGACATTAAATCTAATGTTATTTACATGGGGAATAAAATACAACTAATTTATGGAAATATTTTTTTGTAAAAATCCTATCAGACAAATTGAATTTTGCTTAGACTGCAGGTTTGCTGCGGCGGGGGTGTTTTAAGTGTTGTTTTAAAGTACTTTTTCATTTTCTAGGCAAAATTCCTGCCACTGAGTGGCGACAGGCACATTGTAACTTGCGCTCGAGATGGCCAAGTGCGTCTGAGCGTTTTGAGTGGCATGGGAGTGTGTAAAGGCACTCGGCTGTTGGCGCACCACCAACGACCTACACACAAGCTGGCGATTCACCCCAACACACCACATGAGTTCCTCAGTGCAGGGGAGGATGGTCTAATTCTCAGCCACGATGTCCGCTCCAACAAATCCCACAGGTAAGAGTTTAGGATGTAATATAGAGCACTAAGCCTTAGTAGGATTTTTTATGGATAGCCAGGCTTACCCAAATAAGAGTAGGCTGGCTCAAAAAACGCAAAAATTAATGCTATTGTGTTCATTTGTTGTGTTTATTGTACGGTTATGTGTTTTTGTTTTGGATTGGACTCTTTACATTCAGGTAAATCTGCTATTCTCACAAAAAATCCTGAAGTGTAAGAGTTCACAGTTCTCATATGATGCGTTTGTTTGTAGTAACCTTTTCTTTGTCTATTTAATTTGGACTGGATAAATTTCTTGTGTTTAGAAAAAGTAACTGTCGAATGTACTTTTGACTTTTACTTTCTTCCCATGTACCTACAATACTTAGTGTTAAGGTATGGAATTCTTTTTGTCAAAAGTTCCGTGTTAGAGTGGTAGTTAGAAGTTAGTGATGTTTGTGTGAGTGTGTGTATGTTGTGTCTGTATGAATGTGGATATGTAGCCTACAATGTATAGCTACAGACCACACCTGAGGTCCGATTTGGATGAAATTTGGTATCTGGATACTAATCCATGGTCTCTCTGGAGTTTTTTTTCATTTTTTTCAATTTTTTCTATAAAATAATGGAAAAATTTGATTGTAAAAAATCAGCATGAACAATTTAGTTTGAAATGTAGGCAAATGAAATGTTTGAAATGTTATAGTCCTTTTAACTTTTAAACAAAATTGTACAATCCCCATTGCTTAAACATTACGGTTTAAAAGATAAAGAGAAGCTTATTATATTTGCTTTTCTCATAAAAACCCATTAAATAGGCTAAGGAAAATACCCCTACTGAAGCAAACCTCCTAAGTGAATTTCAAATTGTCTGATTAGATTTTTACTAAAATATTTTCATAAATTAGTCATATTTATTCACTATTTAAATAATATTGAGATTTAACAAGTACTTTGGTTTTCTGCCAGGGGGAAAGGAAAAAGTGTTTCTTGGATTAAATAATACTGTTAGTACATGATAAAATAACTGAACTTGTCAAATTTGACAAAAAAGTTAAATATGACAGAACTGCAAAGTACTGTTATAACCAATGTTATGATTGCAGAGTGACCATTGTGAAAGAAGCAAGCAAGAAGGTGGGGTTGTACAGCATCCAAAGCAACCCTGCGTTCAGCGATGAGTTTATTGTGACTGGTGAAGACCAGTACATCCGACTATACGACAGACGGAAGATCTCGAATGGAGTCCCTTTAAAAAAGTTCTGCCCTGTTCATCTGGTACAGTCATAATTGTTTAATTAGTTGAATGAATAAGTGATCAGAGGTAGATTATGTTAGTCTGTCTAGTGCCTTTCTCAGTAAAGTACAAAAACTAAAATTCTAACAAAGAGAAATTTGGTTCTACTATTTCTTTCTTTCCAACTGAATTCCTCTACATTTAAAATGCGGTCAGTAATCGCGAAATATTCTACTTTGAATGCGTAGTGTAAAGCTTTTCTATTTGTTATGCTAGGGCAGACTTTTTCCCATTCGGGTAAGCATTTTGTTCCAACTATAAGCAACTCAGTATACTAACTTATTGGTAAAATAACGTAAAAATGGCCAAAAGGCCGCATATCGGGAGGGAATAAACTGAAAGTAAGAAAGTTTATTTATTTTACAAAAAAAAAAAAAAAACAATATACACAGGGTGCTTGATATAAGTGTGCTAGTGTGCCAGCTGTTTTATTCGAAAGTTATAAGAGATATCAAAAATGTAAAATTGTAACTCCTTTGGATTTTTTTATTTTTAAAATTTTGGTCGAGTTGAAAAAGCCAACTTTGATTTTTCTTATGGAAGACCCCATATTTTATGATTTATTTAGGAATTAAATTCCATTCATACGTTTTTATTCTTGGCATTTTTTACTCATTTAGGAGTTACAGCGTGTTAAAACTAAGAAAACATGATATGCAGTGTACATTCTGCGCCATGGAGTTCCTATACGAATAAGTTTAGAGAGAAAATGCTAAGAGTTAGTCCTAAAATTGCATCTGCACCCTGTATTTGACAATAAATATATACATACTAAGAAATAATTTTATCCAAAATAGCAAGTAATGTGCTTTACTGTTTAAAAGTGTTCATTGAAATTGATAGATCTAGATATTTATAGCTCTTGTGGAGTAGATCTAGCTATTTATAGCTCTTGTGGAGTCTGAACAATCTCGGCTTATTGCCACAGACGATTTTAACATCGTAATACTTTTTTATTTCGATTTATTAAATTACCTGTATGTTTTGAATGACCAATACTATCTTTAATGAAGTTTCTACAAACATGTTTGCAATAATTTCAAATAGACCTTTCTAATCTGTAATGATTTTCAGTTAAAGTCAGATTCGCTGCTGCATGTAACTTGCGCCGTGTTCAACTGTAATGGTACAGAAGTGATCGGGTCATACAACGATGATGACATTTACCTTTTCGACACAAGACTTCCACCAGGCACGGACTACCAGCATAAATACGAGGGACATCGGAACAGTATGACAGGTAACGTAGAATCACGTCTTAAAATTTTAAGTAAAATCTAAATCTTTACTATTGATACAACTAGACATTCAATCCCCATATTAAAGTTGACACCAGTTTTTTTATGAAGATCATTAGTATTTGATGTGAGCCACCGATAGATTGTGCTGATGTAGATGTAAATTACTCATTTCTATTGAATATACACACATTTTTACTAATTCAAGCTAATGGCTGATTCGTCCATGCACTATGAGGTCATTTATTTTGTTTTTTTAATAGTTTACAAGTGCCAGGCATTAAATCTATCTTTTTCATTTTACAAACTTTTTCAAGTTTGGGGAGAGTTAAGATTTTTCCTCTTTCATTATTTGTCCAAAAAGGGATAGAGTTTAGAAGAAACTTACACAAAGTCTAGGAAAGAACGGCAGGTCTATGTTGTTCCCGGTGAATGCAAGCTGAAATTTAATTCAAAGTTACAACTTGAACTCGTCCTAATTGGGTCCTTTAAATACTATCTGACTTTCCCCCATGGAAAGGCCAAAAGCCATCTGTTATATACATTTATTTTACTTTTGGTAGAGTAAATAACTCTGTTTCATGGTTGATTCAATTGAACATTTACGGTGAACACAAATTAATTATCTATTTAAGATTTTCAAAATATTTTTGTGTTTTGTTTTCAGTCAAAGGTGTGAACTTCTTCGGACCCAGAAGTGAGTTTATAGTCTCAGGTTCGGACTGTGGCAACATCTTCTTCTGGGACAAGAGTACAGAGGCAATTGTGCAATGGATGAGGGGAGATGAGGACGGAGTGGTGAGTAACTGTAATTATAGTAGAGTCCTGCTATTCAGAACCAACTAAAACCGAACCCGGTTTGGTTTAGCGGGAATTTTGATTAAGCAGATTTTAAAAATAATATCAACGTATCATCAGCAAAAAACATTGCGACTTTGATCTACGTTCGTGCAGCTGTGGTTGTGAAAGATGTTGGTGTTATGGTCGCGATTACGAGAGAGGATGGCAATGTTGCTGCAACATTTTAGTGCATTGAAAGATTCTCCAAAATTTAGTTTGAAATAGGCAGATTTTGGAAACAGCTGGTCTAGTACTGTATTTTTGATGGTCATATTTGTTTAAACATATTATATTTTCTATTGTTATTAGCTATTACAGCTTTGATTGTAATAGTCCAAGCAAACTAAACAAACTTACATAGGGATCGTTAAAAAAATTGCAAGAAAACGTTTTATGGTTTTATTTTGTAGAGCTGGGTTTGCAGAATGACATACTAAAAGTTGCCAAAAATCGGTGCACGAGAAAACCACTAAAATCACAATTTAAAATGGCGGCTTTTTCCAACATTGGACAAATTAAAAAAACATATTTCACATGCATTTGTTATACACATTTTTTGAGATATTGACTTGGGACCACCGCCTGTATTTATTGGGGGGTTAGTACTTCATTTTGATAGAGAACATTTTTTTGGCCGCCATCTTGGATCCGCCATATTGGACATAGATAATTTTTTTTCAATGTAATGATAGTGTTGTGACACACATTACCAACTACATTTTTACACAGATTTCAATGCCGAAATCCGTTTTTAAATATCTTTATTCATTTAGAAGATATATTCAAACGAAAACTCTCCACCATACATTTCTTAGGGACGTTTCGTAGTTTGATAATTGTTTTAAAATAATTTTTCTTATATCTCCAGTTCTTATTGACGCTTGTAGTTCGTTCTAGGCTTAAAATATTTAGTAATGTAAGGGCTTTCATTTGAGCTCTTGATCATTAAAATCAGACGAGTTAAAGACCAGCTACGAACCTCAGAACAATATTAAATTTAACTTTTTAGAAACATATTTTTATTAAAAGATTTATAACTCGGGTTGTTAATACGACACCAAGTTCTTTCTGATCTCAAATTACTCAGTGAATGTTTGGCTTTGATTTTATTAATCACTAAACAAAATCTGACAATTTAAAAATGAGTCATGGTTCTTAATTCAACATTAAAATGTATTTATTTTGAAATTTGTCTTTAGTTAAGGACATATATCCCCAACCCTAATAACTCCCGGAAAGTAATCCATAGCTTAATTAAAAGTCAATAATTTGGCGAATTATTTAAGACTATAAAGAGTTTTGGGAGTTATTTAGAATTGGGGATATACGTCTTTAACTAAAGACAAATTTCAATATAAATACATTTTAATGTTTATGATCCATGACTCATTTTAAAATTGTCAGATTTTGTTTAATGATCAATAAAATTACAGCCAAACATTACTGAGTAATTTACTGAGTAATTTGAGACCAGAAAGAACTTGGTGTCGTATTAACAACCCGAGTTATAAATCTTTTAATAAAAATATATTTCTAAAAAGTTAAATTTAATATTGTTCTGAGGTTCGTAGCTGGTCTTTAACTCGTCTGATTTTAATGATCAAGAGCTCAAATGAAAGCCCTTACATTACTGAATATTTTAAGCCTAGAACGAACTACAAGCGTCAATAAGAACTGGAGATATAAGAAAAATAATTTTAAAACAATTATCAAACTACGAAACGTCCATAAGAAATGTATGGTGGAGAGTTTTCGTTTGAATATATCTTCTAAATGAATAAAGATATTTAAAAACGGATTTCGGCATTGAAATCAGTGTACAAATGTAGTTGGTAATGATGTGTCACAACACTATCATTACATAAACAAAAATTATCTATGTCCAATATGGCGGATCCAAGATGGCGGCCAAAAAAATGTTCCCTATCAAAATGAAGTACTAACCACCCAATAAATACAGGCGGTGGTCCCAAGTCAATATCTCAAAAAATGTGCATAACTGCATGTGAAATATGTTTTTTTAATTTGTCCAATGTTGGAAAAAGCCGCCATTTTAAATTGTGATTTTAGTGGTTTTCTCGTGCACCGATTTTTGGCAACTTTTAGTATGTCATTCTACAAACCCAACTCTACAAAATAAAACCATAAAACGTTTTCTTGCAATTTTTTTAAGGTCATATCCTATATTTCTCCGACTATAATATTGTGAGTGTGATACTGTATTGATCCTACAGTAGTACATCTGCTCTCCCCACTAAAAAGATAATAAAGGCAAACATTTCATTTTAAACATTTTATATTTTATTAATATCTCTTATCCCAGCTATACCAAGTAGAATGCTCTACTGTATGAAATAAAAATATCACAGGTCAAAATTTTAAATCAATACAATGATTAACAATTTTAGAAGAGCATTGAGCACATAAATTAGAAAATGTATTATTCTAGTTACTAAAGTTTGAAAAATAAAAAATTTAAGAATTTAAAATATCCTTACATTGTATTTATTAAGCTAGTACAAATAGTAATTTTTGTCTGCCAGTAAAATGATTTATAGTGAAATGTGTTAAGTTTGAGGAAAACTCAGGCAGCACTAAAATGATAGGAAAGATTACATGGTTGGTGTTTAATCTTTTCTTAGTGAAATTTAAGAAATTTTAGGTGAAAATAGCCTTTCAACAGAGTAAATTAATGCAATCGTAGATGGCTCTAATTAAGTTTGATATACATTATAATATTGTAGGCTAAGTGTTTCTTTTCACTTTAACTCCAATATTTCAATGCTGCTATTTTAAGTATCATCATTCTGACCGGAAAACAAGCCGTTTTTAGTTTTCTAAATTGTCCACAAAAAATAATTGTTTTTGGGTAACTTCAAATAGAGGACAGAAAAAACATATGGTAATTTTTTTTGGCTCGCTAACCTCAAAATTTGTTTATGGCACATTAAAAATGTTATAAAACCGATTTTAAGTTATGTTTGTAAACAACAGAAATATATACGTTGATGACGACTTTGTATCACTTTAAATTATTTGGTATAATTTTGTAACCATTAGAAGGTTATTTCCACAGTATGATGAAAACAGTTGTTCATCACACGGAGCGAAAGTGTCTTTTTGGTACTTAACCGTCGCCTCGCTTGTAAAACATGATTGCATACCAAAAAGAACCTCTTTCACCATTTTTTTTTTTTCGGTGATGAAAATTACCATTGTTTTTAACTTTCAGGTGAATTGTCTGGAACCACATCCCCAAGTTCCCATCATTGCTACAAGTGGATTGGACTACGACATCAAGATCTGGGTGCCGTCTTGTGAACAAGAGCCGACACTGAAGGGGCTTAGATCTGTAAGTATGGCTTTTGCTAAATTGCTTTTTAAGATTCCACAAAATTATTTGACACTATTCTTACTAACCTGATCACCTGTTACAAACAGTTCTAAACGTTTGTTAAAAAAATTACTCAATTTTGTAGGAAGTTTTTGATTAAAGTAAACCATTTAAAAACAGTCTTATGCATTGTTCTGATTTTGGTCTACACTATTCACTGTGATTACAAAAGATATTGAGACTGCCGAACTCTTGTATGTATAGGTGTCAGGGACGTCTTTCTGTTAAAAACCGTAATCGGAAAGAGACCACTTTGGCACAATAAACTCAAAATCTGTAGAATAATTAGAATATTTCACTTACTCTAGCTCGTCCAACCAATAAATGAAAAATTATAATTTTAATCCAGAAAAAAAAGGTTTGCAGTCATAGAAGGTACAATATTTGCCGTCACATTTAGTGATACACTTTTGTGCACTATACACTCACATTGTATAACAGAACCACATCACTACAATGCAATTAGTAGTGAATCATGTAGACAATTTTCGGCACACGTTCACTCTCATTTTGCAGGCTTTGGAAAATCCCAGAAGGCAAAAGATCCGAGGTCTGAAGCCTCTGGTTCAAAGCAGGGGTTTTGAGGTATTTATCCTCCCACTTAAACCTATAAAAGTTATATCTTAGTTCAGTTAAATGAAGTTCCAATTCATAATTTTTCACATTCATGAATTTTTATATGCTGCTAGGCTAGTTTTCAAGCCCACTCAAAAGATTTAAATGCACACGAGATACATATATGGGTTGTGGTAAAACATATTTAAACCCTAGTATGTCTTGCTTTTTTTGTCATGTCATAACATTATTTAACATTACAAAATACACTGATCTCCACTTTTATTGTTGAGACAAACCACAATCAATCAATCAATATCAATAATAAAATATATTAATTTTGATCCTCTGTGCCAACACACATACAGTACGCTCACACAACATTAGTCCCAATATATTTTATAGTAGGCCTATTTGGGCAAACATTTTTTGTAAAAATTAAATATTCGGATTTGAATGTTTCAGACAGTCATAGGGAACCAAGGTAATCGTGAGCATTACCGAAGTCGAACGTCCGATCCCTTCGACCACCGACAGATGAGATGGCTATGGCAGCAGATACAGCGGTTCGAGCGAATAAGGGTACGTCTCTATCACACACAGTAATTTGTATAAAACTTATAGTTTACTAGCTGTTTGCCCGTTCTACGTACGGGAATCTTGTAGTAAGTTAACACCTTATATTCAGAACAGGAGTTGGTTTGCATATTTAGTGTGCATTTTTCCAGATATGATGGCAAAACGATAACTGTTTAGGAATACATATAAACCTTCTCAAATACAATATCTCACAGTTTCAAAGCCAAAACTAATGCTTCACAATTAAATGTCACCCGATCGTGTTAGTCCATATTTTATATCTAACGATGAAAGGAATTGCTTTACAGTATAGATCTATGAGGCATAGCCCTAAGGTAGGCCTGTAATTGAAAGTTACTTTCCACACTGGTTAAAAGTAGTTAAAACACTACCTCAACCTCACTACTGCACACTTTTTCGGGTTGAAATTTTTATTAACAATGGTGCTCTTGTCTTTTTTACGAAAAATAAGGACATTACAGTAATGCATTTACCAATAGACATACACTCACAAATACAGAATTGAGTCTACACAACATTTTGGAGTCCAGACAGAAAACGCCAAAAATTATACAGTAAGACATCGATTAAATTTAATAAGCAATAATGTGCAGTGTTTATAAATAAATAGTGAAAATAGTGATGTGTTTGTATGTAAAGATTATTCTTACCGGTACTGCTACCACCGGTTCTAAGGATAAGTAGCAGTACCGGTACCAAAAACCAACGTTTACATTTGAGAAAAGAACTGTAGTACTTACGACTAATTCAAACTGTCCTTCTAATCAAACTGTATTATAGGTGTAAATCAGTTGGCAATTATATAAATAAATAAATACACACAGGCCACAAAACATGTAACATGTAACGTAAACAACGTAAAGCTTTGAAAACTCACTATGGTTTGCTAAAGAAAAAACTTTCACTTGATGTGGTGCAGTACCGGTACCGAAGTTATTAATCTTCTTTGGTTTAAATTTTTTTTTTAGTTTTCGAAAATCAAAGTAATTTCCTATTAATAGCATTGTTTGTAAGCAGCTTTCAATGTTAACATATTAATGACAGTTTGAAGAAACCAACTTTATCCAAACAAAGGTTTCTTAAGATTACGTAATCTCTAAACGATAATCGGTACATATATCTAGCAAACATTCGAAGGAAATGTGACAAAAAACGCACAAATTCGGGGTTTTGTAGGTTTGTAGTTTTATTTCCTAAGTAGGAAAAGTACCGATATTGTTGTCGAAATGTAAGTAAGTAGATACCAAAAGTGACACATTGGAAAAGCGAGTTTAGCTACATCTGTTAAACCTCTGTTACGGTACGATCACAGCGAAATCAGAAAGATCTTCCAAGATCCCAGCAACATCCACGATCACCCACTGCAGTCGTGATTTTTTACTTTGCACTTTACACAACTGTCCTTGAAGCGCCGTCAATGAGTGGAAACCTTTGTAAGCTACGGTATTGGTGACGATGATTAAAAAAATGTAAGTTTCCTTGCACTAATACAACACTGATTCACGGTATTTTCCCCGGTTATCAAAACTCAAGAACAATCGTTGCATTTGCGTAATTAAACCGGTTAAGTAAGGCACAACGTTTTTAATCTCACTTGGTTTGGATGTGCTGACAAAACTTGATCGGAAATGGTTGCGGTATTTGTAAACAACTTTTAATGTAAACATATCAGTGACAGCTAGAAGTGAGAACTAATCCAAACAGCTGATCGTTATTACATAATACCCCCGCTGCAGCAAACCTGCAGACTAAGCGAATTTCCATTTGCCTGATTGAGTTTAGACTAAAATGTCTCCTTAAAAATATCACATTTATTCCCTATTTAAATAGAATCAGTTTAACACATACTTAGGTTTGCTGCAACAGGGAGGGTAAAAGTGTTTTTTTTAATGTAAAATGTTAATAGTTAGTAAGAAATAAAAACATTTTCCAAATTTGGGCAAAATATGTTAATAAACAAGCACACTACAACGGTTTACTTATTCTCCATAAGAATAACATGGGAATTTTAAATTAACAATTTTTTGGAATTTTCTCCGTAACCATTAGGCGCATTATAACGCTTCAATATACTAAATTATTTGTTTTTTTAAGCTCTACAAAATAGTTTGGAAAGAAATTTCAAAATTTTATGTTTTTTGGGTCAAAAATAGGGAAAACTCATTTTTACCCCATAAAAGCCCCCATAAACCCCTGTTCCCATGGTCCGATCATGCTGGTTCGCGAACTCGTTCGAATAAACGTAGGTTTACACGTTTGTACCAAATTTCATCAAAATCGGATCATTTTTGCTCGAGTTATCGCGCTAACGGACACACATATATATATATATAAATATATATATATATATGAATTTGAACGGATGGTGTTTTTGGCCTCTAGGGACCTCAAAACGAAAAAAAAAATCGGTCCCGGGTCCAGGTCTTACCATGAGTACTACGGTAATAGCTTATTCCCTATATGGGAAATTCGCTAAAATGTAATGTAATAGTAAACATTGGGAGAAAATTTGACAAAAATCGAACAAAATTGGGTTTTTGGTGGTTTGTTATTTTGTTTACGAAGAAGCGAGGCCACCGACAGATGAGATGGCTATGGCAGCAGATACAGCGGTTCGAGCGAATAAGGGTACGTCTCTATCACACACAGTAATTTGTATAAAACTTATAGTTTATTCATATAAACAGCTGTTGAAAGTGCATTTTTTTTTTAAATTAATGCTCATTTTTTATTTATTTCGGCCTACTTATATTCTAGTTATTGAAATTAAGTACGATGCTTGTGTGTAATCAAAGTAATAGATCTGGCTAATCTGAACCTTAACCCTTTCATTGCTAGGCCAATAATTCATATTTTGTAAGATTTTTTTTTTTTGCCTTTTAATTCCATTACCCGTTGTTGAATTTTAACTGTCATGTTGTCACTATTTTATTAATTAGGCTAATTTTGAATAATAACACAATAAGAAAATATATAAGAAAGATAAATCCCGGTATTTGTAGTAAACATCAAATAAAACTTAGTTTTTGTTGTAATTTTCCTGGTTTTCCTATAAATTTTTATGTTCTGATAGCATTATTTGAAACCGAAATCTCACAAAATCAAAAGACATATAGTTTACAATGTAATATTGAATTTAACCCTGATTTAGTTGGACGAGGTTATTGTAATATAGCAATTTTAGGGAAACTAATGTTTTGCAGCAAAGTCTCAGGAACACATTTACTACTACTAAAACTAAAAGATTGCATCTAAATCTAAATAGTCCGTGACTAGCTCGTGCTGCTACCTAGTAACGCATTGAACAACCATCTGCAGCGCCATCTGTTCGCAATCGGTGGCGACAGCTTAAATACCGGGTTTTGACTCCCCAGTCTTCAAGCACAGATAGCCGAGAAGGCTAGGGCGTGTGTCACTTGGCCAGTGGCATTCGTCTGCTCGGGTTCGAATCCCGTCCTGTGTGGCAAATAATTGGTGACCTGTGTGTTTGTAGCGATATACTACAACCACTGGGGCATAGTGAGGTGTTCATAATCCTTGGTTTAGACATACACCTCGAAATCATCGGATTGGGCGAATCTTTTAGCTAAGTGGTTGGTAGTGTATCCTATGAACATGCAGGTCACCAATGGCCGTTTTGCTATTTTTTTTTTAAATAACCTCCCTCTCTATATCCCTTAGGGTTTTTTTAAAACAACGATATATCGTTTCATAGCACTGAAAGGGTTAACACGTTCAGTTGGGCATACCTTCAAACAGGCGCTCTTCAATATCATTCCATTATTTCAGTCTGTGAAAGTAGTACACTCAAACACCCAATGGTAGCAGCACTGCCTGAATCCGTAGTGTAGCCATATTCTTTGTAATGTAGCTCAAAGAGAGAAAATCCCGAAACCGGGACAAAAGCATTGCCAGACGTGGTTTTAGTACCAACCTATACTAGAATAAAGCTCGCATTCTAAGCTACAGGCTGGCAACGATTATAACGTTTCCCAGAGCAATGGTGTAGTTCAATTGGCGCGACTACATCAATAGATGTAAGCCGATAGGAGCATATTCGCGACACATTGATCAATTGATGAAGCCCGCACTGAACGTGTTAAGGAAGAAAATTTACTGTATTTAAATTAAAACAAAGCAATTTGTTCTGTAATCACTAATCACTTTGGCTGTCCAGCCAACTGGGAAACTGGAGAACCGTTGAATTGTTTGTGAATTTTTATGACCAGAAAAAAGTCAGTGAACTATACATAATTGTCAATAGCCCATATCTGAACATCCATTTGTTGATGGCATTTGTTAATACCATTTTATGGTCGAATTGTTCTACTAAGAAAATTATAGCAAAAAATTTGTGATGATCATAGTGGTTTTTTTATGATTGTGGGAGAAATAGTCTGTCATAAAAGTACTTAGTTTTATTTTTCCATGCAGTTTCACTGTATTTCTCTGTATTTCTGACGCGAATGCGGTCCCAAGTATTTGAGATTACTGGGACTCTAGTGTACACCGAGCTGTGTCTTGATAGTAATAGCTTGTAAATGTTCTTTAAACAAGTATTCTCCCCAGGGTGCTCCGAATACCTCTACCACTCGTGGGGAAGGAGAGGGGGGTGAACCTGGCAGCAGTCCAGGACAAGCTGTGTCGTCTACCTCCAACAGCTCTGACGAAGAGGCTGATGGAGTGAGACCTCAATGTACACCATCGTAGGACTCAAGGTAGGTGCAATATACAGTGTGCTTCTTTGTTTTTAATTCATTTATGGGGGATTTATGTTGTTGAGGGGCTTTTGCAGACGTTTCCTATCTAAAAACGTCTTTCAAAATGTTTCAGCATGTGGACACTGATTGCGTCCTCTGGTGAAAAAAATGATAAAACTTAACGAGATTAGTACACAAACTCAGACTAAGTAGGAAATTCGCAAAATAAAAACCCCATAAAAAGTGTATAGCAGAAAAACAAGAAATACAAAATCCATAAAGATAACAAACAAAAACTCAAAAGAATAGAACCAGATTATATTTACTTAGAATTTTAATTTTTTTTACAGTACAGTTCTCTAGGTTTGTTTTTTTTGTGATTTTCTGTATTGAAAACTTGTTCTATGCCGCGATGGGAGATGTGTTCCCATTAAATAAATATACAGGTTGGAGCTAAAAGAGTATTTGTGTTTTCTTGTTTCACCTGACTTGCGTATAACAATACAGATAAGCTTTGATGTTTTAAAATATAAAACTGTAATTTTTAGAAGGGATTGAGTGAACTTTACTGTGAGGTACTTCGCTAATAAGAAATGTGGTACAAATTTAATTTTTGCTGATGAGTCCTGATTATCTAGCCATTGGTTATCCTACCGTTATTGCGGATGATCGAGTACTGTGATATATTCACCTTTTCTGTGAAGTATGACTGTCGACTGTAGCAGTTGCAAGGGACTACACCCTTTTTTAGGGGGGGGGGGAGGGTTTGAGGTATTCATCTACCCCTTGCTACTTCAGCCTTTTAACTTATTGTAGCACTCCTCAACTCAGTCTGACAATTGGCAAAGCCTAGGAGCTGTGAGATGCCCAATTTCCTTCCTCATCTCGATAGGTTCCAATTTCGGCCTTCCCAGTGATTTCAACCTTTTTTGGGCCGTCTCCGGATAGTCCAGTTATAAGTGTTCAGAGGTTTCCACCTCATTTTTGCATATCCTGTATTGGTCTGTCTGTGACCTCCCTATGGTTCTAAGGTGTTTCCTAATAGGTCCATGCCCAGTTAGCATCCCTATTAGTAATCTGATATCCCCCTCTTTAGGCTCAGTAAGCGTAAGCCTTTCCAATCTTTCATTGAGGGGTCTATTAGTGTTTTCGAAGTCCTTAGTCCTGTGTTGATCCTCTAAGCCTCTGCCTTCCAGACCTTTGCCCAGTCTCGGACTTTGGATACTCCAGAACTAATCAGGGTACCTCAGGATTTGGCCCTGCAAGCTGTTATTTTCCCCCCCTCCTGGCCAATGCATCAGCTTTCTCACTCCCCTCATGCCCCGAGTGTCCAGGGACCCAAGCTATTTTAATTCGATTCTACTTAGCTAGCGTTTTGAGGGTGTTTTACCACCCTTTACTGTTTGTGACTCTGTCACTCAAGACCCCAGCACCTTAGTTGCAGCTTGGCGGTCTGAGATGATCAGTATAATTTCCCCTTTCTCAAACTCTTGTCAAGGATGGTTTTCACCTATCACCAGGGCCTCCAATTGAAAAAAAACCGTCACTGTGCTTCCCAGGGCAAGGGAGATGTTGGTTTTGTTACCATAAACCTCAATCCCGAACTCTCATCCTTCCGACTTCCACCTGTTTAAAATACCAGGAATGTTTTGCCTATCTTAAGATTGTCCTGTTGCCAGGCCACTTTGTAAGGAATCTCAAAGTCGTACTCTTTAGTCCTGAATATTTTTGACATATTCCATGGTCAAAAATCATGAAACTAAATGGCTTTTTAGTTCCATGCCCATACTCAGGGGGTGACCCTTAGGATCCTCTGACCATACTGGGAACATATTTGCCAGACTGTCACTTGCACCTCAGTACTGACTTCTTATACTGTGCAATTACGTAGTTCTCTTAGACAAAATCATTGACAGTAAAAATTAAATATGTTTTAAGCATTGGTCATTGCATTCTCGTATAAGTAAACACCGTTTTACTGATGCCCGAGAAGCATCAGCTTTAATAGATAAATAAGCTTATCAAGCTGGTCTAGGGGTAGATTGCGTGGCTTCAATTCCCAAAGACCCATTATCAAACCCCGACAATAACCAATGGCTTTGGCCATGACATATTGCTACGATCCTCAAGGCAGGTCTCTCTTGAAGTTGTGTGCAAAAGCATTCCAGGTTAGAGATTAGCATCCAAGGATGTGATCAAAGACTTTAAAAAACTATGCTTTCTTCCGTTATCATTTATGAACATCCATATAACATTTAATTGCTTTAGTGGGTATATTTTTATCTGTACGGATTTAATATTGCTATTTTCTGTTGTAATCTGAAAGTTCAGTCAAAATTAATTATATAAATAAACTAGCTGTGTACCCGTTCTACGCACGGGGATCTTATAGTATCAGTTGAAACCTTCTTATATGATGAACAGTAGTTGGTTTGCATATTTTCAGATATGCTGGCCAAACTATTTATTATACATAACTTCATTTTATGTCGTTTGTTGTTGTTCCGGATCGGTATGACAATCAATAAAAGGCTAAATTACCTGTGTCCGCCGGTCGTTCCTAATGTATCCTATTACAGGAGATGCATTTCGGCGAAATTAAATCGCCATCATCAGTCCTAATATAAGGTCTTGAGCTTCCCCATTAGGTGCGTCTCGGAGTTTTTGAAACACATACAGGATCTGTACACTTATACACATAACGAATAAAACATAAATACACGGTAGGCCGACTTTTATTTTTACTATGGACAAGTAGACGCGCGTCGGTCGTGTGCCGAGTCTTGACTGAAAACGCTCATTTAAAAAATGTAAGTTTCCCAGCAATATACAACACTGATTCAAGGTCTATTTCCCGGTTATCAAAACTCAAGAACAATTTTATGCACAAAGAATCTCTATTTTCATTTACTGTTACCCTACAAATTATTGCACTTGCGATTAATTAAATCCGTTATGTAAGGAAAAACGTTTTAATCTTAATTGGTTTGGATTTGCTTTCAAAACGTGATCGGAAATGGTTGCGGTATTTGTAAACAACATTCAATGTAAACATATCAGTGACAGCTAGAAGAAATAATCTTGATTTGAACAGCTGTTCGTTATTTCATAGAAGAATATGTGCTAAACATTGGGAGAAAACTTTACAAAAATCGCACAAAATTGGGTTTTTAAACGTCCGTTATTTTATTTACAAAGTGGTGACGCCATATTTTAATGGCTAAAGACAATCTCGCCAATCCAGTGAATGCATTAAAATGATTTGGAACTTGATATGTACTCTCGTTTTTCAGGAGTAGGCCGCGTAAAATGTCTCTTGGGTCGTAACAGACTGGAAGACAGACAGAAATTTAGATGAGACTTGTTTCGGTTTCTCTAATGTATAACACGTAAAAATAACCTAAAAGTTTATGATTCTGAGCAATGTACAGACAAAACTCTAATTTTATTTATATAGATAGGCTACAGTTTTGAGTTTTGTTGATTTATGTCACTTTTAAATCTTCCACAACATGAAATTAGTGTGGATAATCCTTAGCAATTGTTGAGTCAATCCAAACGTCTTAAATTTAAGTTTAAAATTGTAGTCATGTTGTGAGAGTTTGAAAATCATCCAAATTAACCACCATGGCTCTGTTAGGTGTTTATTTACAAAGATTCATATGTTTCAGACTGTTTCGCTGATCTTTTCCCTTCTTGGTATTTCTCTATTGTCAGGCCTCCAATAAAAAAAAAACACTCGGACTGTGATAAAGTGTTTATATTGTAAATAATTATTTACTTGATATATATTATTGAATAGATGATTTAACATTTCCTAAAAAATGCCACGTTCTAGCAAATAATTGAACTCTTTAGACTTTAGAATATGGTTAAAACAAAATTAAGCAAGTATTTTATGTTATTTTCCAATTTATTGTGCTAACAGCTGTGTCATGTAGTACACATTTTAATACAAGCCATTTCTTTTAAGCTACAATTTTAACAACAAAATTTGTAGCTCTTATTTGAGTTGTAACTCAAGGACCTATGTGAACAATTAGTAATGAAACAAGACCAAATAGGTGTTGTCTGAAAACAGTAAAACTGTTAAAAAGAGTCTGCTAGGCTCTGAGTAGCAAATAGGAGAAAAATAAGCTTTGTTTCTATTATTAAATGGTTTCTATATAGGTTCCCATGCAAAACTCAGGCACGAAATTCAAGTATGCTATCATTTTGTTAGTAAAAATTGTCATTACTGTACCATATTAACCAAGTCAACTGCTAAATTCCGCCATAGACAAATAGAATAAATATAGACTCTTAAAGGAAGGTTCCGGCACTCGCCGCTAGGAGTGCCGTGTAGTTACGGCGCACACCGCTGCAGGCGAGGAGCGCAGGAGCTGTATGTAACCAGCAGACGTTGCAGCAGTGTGTGCCGTAACTACACGGCAAACCTAACGGTGGACGCCAGAACCGCCACACGGTGGTGCGCTGTATGCTAACCGCAGCACAGCTGATGGTCTATATTTATTTTATTTGTCTATGATGCCGCAGACCAAATATTTAGGGATCTGTCTAGTCTTGGTTTTATATTTCTATCCTTTTTTAAGTTAAAATCCTCTACAATACAGAAAAACTTCTACCGAAAATACAGCTAAGCCGTTTTGTATAACTTATTCTTTGGTTAATCAATGGTTGGAAACTAAGGTTATTTTGGATCAATGGTCTGTAATTTTTTTACATTTTTTTATTACCGTTCTTTTAAAATCTACATTTATATAGACAAAATATATCAAACTTATTGACAAGTTTCTGATGACTTTGGGTTGCCAATTAGTCGACCCATGCTAAGGACAATTCCCGTTGCCTAGCCAATGTTGAATGTTCCAAGTTGAGGTTAGAGCTGTGTCAAAAACTGAACACACATCTAGTTTGTTATTCACTATTAATTAATTTATTATTATTTTTAAAACTCATTTTATATCATGTGTTTTGTGTTAAATTTTAGTAGATGTAATATTTAATTTGACTTAAAAAACATTTTAGGTAGTGTGAATTTAACAGAGTGAGTTTTTCATGTATTTGTAACGTTTAACGTTTAAAATTATTTACTTGTGTCACAACTTTGTCTTGGCAGTTTTACGAAAATTATGTTTGAAACAAATTGAATTTTTTAATGTAGTGTAAATAAACCAGTTATTTATAGTGTATTGTGTTGATGAGAACCTTTTCTTGTGTCCAATGCTAATTCTGAATATTTTATCAGGTTACAGTTAATATCAGAACCAGAAGTGGTTTTCAGCTGGTTTAAGTGAAGTATGATTGTATGGTTTTCAGTGAAAGAATGGTTCTGTTACTCTTGGCATATTGGACAACAACCTTTAAGAGTATGAAGAGAATTTGTGGGGTTGTGTACACAGTAAAAGGCTGGATAATCATAGTGTAGCAAACAGTAGGATAAGATATTACAGTAAAACAATGAACAGTGCAAAATAAGTTAGCAGCACTATAACAGTCCTATCTGAAAATAATGCTGCTTTGATTCCATTCGGATTCGCCTTCAAAATGATTCAAATCCTACCTGAAAAGCTGGAGTAACAATTTATCAAACATGTTAATAAACTGTATACCTTCCTACCTGCTTGGTGGTATTCTAGTACCCACCATTCAGTTTGTGAAAAATTACCTGATTACACCTTACCTTGGTAGGTCAGGGTAAAATTTTCCTGTGACCCCACCTGAATATTGCTCCTGTGATACACTAGTGGGTCTCGACCCTTAGTTTGGGAAACGCTGATCTAGGTAGCGAATTATTAAATTAGTCAATCATTCAAAATCCCTTGATAATAAAATTGCCATAGACCACTTACTACTGGTTACTCAAAATCTATAAAACATTTTTTTTACAACAAAAATATGTTCAAATATGTGTTATATGGATGTCTCAAATATGTTGTCTATAATCATTTTACCTAGAGTATTCAGAGTGGAATATGCTTAAAATTGGGTAAATTTGTTTACAAAGTAATAGTATTTATGAGTACTTTAACCAATTAGTGTTGATATATTTTTTGTTTTGTTTATGTCGACTGTAATAGTATTTTCATATAGTGATTTAGTGTCTCAGCTTGAAAATATAACCAGTGATAAGTTCTGGGAAAGTTACCTAATGTAGCTTGACTAGCCTTTTCTACTCATATATTATATAATTTATGGATTATGAGTTGTACTGAAAGCAGTATTGTTTGTTTGTAATTGATTTTTTCAACAAGAGCACTGCTTTTGGGGTTTCGGTCAAGGAGGTATCTTAAACATTGGCACCCCTCTTCTGTTATTTAATCATATTACTTTACCATATTTTCTTTATATTATTACATTTTTTTTAAATTTTGTACTCTAGGTATGTACCTACATTTCCTGATATGAAGTTATCACAAATTAATTTAAAAATCAATAATGCCACCCTGGTGCCTTGGTGTCACCCCTTTCTATTTACATGAACCACCCCTTGCATAAAGGGTTGTATAGGTGCAGCTAATTGATTGCTAAAAAACCCTTTATGTCCTGAGGGAAGGGTTAGAGGGGAGTGTAAAAAGGGTGAGGAAAGGATTAACTGTTGCATTTTGGTTTTTTACACAGGTCATTTACCATGATGAAGGGTTGAAATCACTGGGGTGCTTTGAATATGCCATATGGAAGGGTTAAAAAAGGGGTGTGTTTATTGTTGTGAGCATGCGTGTACTTTTCAACTATCGACCGGGATAAAAAACCGTGGTACGCACACTCCTCCCTGCAATGGCGGCTTTAGTCTCCGGAAGCTCCAGTGCGGCTCTCAGTTCTGGTCCAGGCTTCACCGAGGGAGGCTCAGCCATGTTTGAGAGAAGTTAGCCGAAGCTTTGATGAAGAAAGTTTTTCTGTGATTGTTATTTGTGAATGAAACGGATTGCACATAATTTCTAAGGCGTAACAGATTTTTTCCCATGATTCGGTAAATTGTTTGTGGGTTTTCTTGTGAAGTGAAGCCTAAAACTACATTTTTACCTTAGAAAAGTGTTTTATCACAGCTAAACATATAAGAATATTTTGTATAAAATTTCAAATCTGTAGATATTGGATGAATTTAACTGTTTACTTCAACTTACTGTGTATTTTAACCACCAAACAAATCAGCAGTATGGTTTTCTATGACAAGTTTATAGTTCTCGAAGAGAAGGGAAGCATCAACTATGGTTGTATATTTCAAGATCGTGATCATGGATAACACCTTTCAGAGGTAAGATCTCACTGTACATAAAATATTTTATAGTTTAAATTTAGATGAATAATATTTAAGTGTGTAGAATAGTTTAGATTGTAGTCACAATGAAACTAGACTTGTTACGTATTCTAGTTTAAACATTTTTTTGTTATTTCCTTACAGTGAAAGAGCAAATTGTAAAAAAAATTACATAACCATTAGCTTAAGATCCAGAATGTCTAGACGTTTTTGGACTTACAACTAAAAAATTCTACCAACTTTATGTTAACTAATTATTGGTTCGGAAATTTATTTGGTTTTTCCATTGAAGTGAAATTTCCATGCTCAGAAAATATTTTTCTTGCTTGTAAGTTATTACATCTTTGGTTTACAGAAGAGTTCAGATCATACAAAATAATTAGTGCATATGAGTGTTTGGGTAGATGAATTTTTGGTTAGTCGGAGATCAATTTAAAAAGTATAGTTAATCGTGGCTGCAGTAGAGGGTTCTTAAAACTTGGCCCAAGGTGTAAGCTATCATGGTCTCAGAGATTGTCGGGCAAAAAATTTCCTGCAATAACACCGCAATCGACAACGGAGCTACAGTAGAAATAATAATGCCTTAATATCTGACCATCTCATCGTGATTGTGTGTAAGATCTTTGGTGTTGATTCCTGAGCAGTTGCCTAGCCAGCCAATCATTCACTGGGTACCTCAGCAGAATTCAACCTGAGTGCGGATATTAGACCAATCCATTCCAGCACTAATCCTAATCTCAGCTAGTCCATTACTCTGCTGTCCCAGACCCATACACTACACTTTTGTCATAGCCAATGCAAAACTAGCTATACAATTAGAAATGCAAAGGCATGGTTAAAAGAGGCAGCCAACCTCTTTAAAAAAAGAAAAAAAAGGAAAAAAAAACTAGCCCAGTCACTGCCTCTCCAGATACTTACAGATGCAATAGTCTCATCCAGTAGCACACTAGACACAATTACCTCTGTCCTGCTAGTCTCATCCACAGACTTACTTAATTCCACGTCCATCGCACAGAACAGCTCTTATGGCAGATTATCCTGCTAATAATTTTCTTTAAACTTCATCTTTATTGTCATGAGGGTTGGGTCATCTGTCTTTGCGATACTCGTAAAGGTGTAGCAGTATATTTTACTTATTTCTATTCGTTTACTGTATGCTTTTTGTTAACATAGATATGTTACATTTGACTTAGCGACAGTACAATATTAGACCAATACTCTGCCTCACATAGACTGAAGATAATGAAAACATTATTTAAAGACCAGCTGTAGCTTGCTCCTTATTGAAATAGGACATTGTTGAATCGTCTTCTCACATAGCTTTTCTCAATATTGTATTTTCCTTTTTCCCGCTTAGTTTTTGATACTATAGTTTACCATAGTGGTACCTTTTTGGCTTTAAAAGCTGGCACATGTGACAGAATTCTGTAATTTTTTGCCCCTCCTTCCTAACTCCAAGAAACAAGCCAACACCCGCCTATATACCCTCCATGTCCTCAATAACATTTGATGTTTCACTTCAACCCTTGCTAGACTATACTCTGTAATCTATCTTGCCCTAAGATACGCTCATCAACTTCGCTTGACATGCCTCGACCGCATTTAAAGCCTGGCTACAGAAAGGCGAGTGTTACGGTTAACATCTTATCTCTCTCTCTTCTGGACCAGGAAATGGAATGGTTACACCTCCACTAAGCAACCTCAGAGACGGCCCAACCCTACTTCACCAACCGCTCTAGCCTTAGAATTACCCAGATCACAAATCCAGCAACTAACCACACCAATTCCACCAACAACAACGACCCAACCAAAGACAACAACCCACCTAGCCACAGAAACCCAACCATAGCCACAGCTTCCAAACCAGCTAAAGTAGCCCTTCGAACCACAACAACTAAACCAACCACAACAACCTTACTAACCACAAAAAAAAAACCTACCAATCACAGAAACCCAACCAGTCACAGAAACCAAACCAGCCACAGCTTCCCAAAAAGCCAAAGCAACCCTACCAACCACAACAACTAAACCAACAACAACAACGCTACCGATCACAAAAACCAAACCAAAAAGCCACATCTTCCCAACCAGCCAAAGCAACCCAACCGACCACTACAATCCAACCGACCACAACTACCCAGATGCCAAAACAACCCAACTAACTACATCGACTCAACCAACCACAGAATCCCATCCAACCAAAGCACAGACACCTAGCCACCCAAAGCATCCCAACCAACCACAACAAACCTACCAGCCACAACTTTCCATCCAATTAAAGCAAACCAATGAAACACAACAGCCCAACCAGCTAAATCGACCCAACTAGCCACAGCTTCCCAACCAACCACAGCTCCCCAACCAACAGTTCAATCAACCACTGTCAGCTCTCGCTATGCCCATCTTAAAACGTAAAACCAAACAACATAAACCTCGCCACAAGTTGCGTCACTAATTTGTAAAACAACATTCGTAACACACTCAGGATCTTTCAAAGCTCCTAATCCACCCGAGGCTGAAGAGGACAAAGTCCTTGAACATCCCCAGTAGGCTCATCAGCCACTAAAACATCACGTCATCCCACACGTCCGTTTCGAGGCTAAATCCAATTGCGATAATCTGTATATTAAACTGAGTATAAATTCTGTCAAAATTAACACGTGTAATCTGGACAACTAACTGTTTAAAAACCTTCTAAGACATCTGTGTGCTCCCCTTGGAACTCTCTTTCATTATAGTGCGAGAATGAACAATCTTATAAAAACGATTAAACTATCTTACAGTAATCATCCCTAACTAGCTATTACAGTTTGTTTGGTATTGAATGCAAAGCTCAGCCTGAAACATTTTAATAATACATTGACGTTTTTGATTAATATTAACACATTCAACAAGTATAAG